TTGTCTGACTGTCATGGAACTTGTGCCGGTAACGCGTCTGTACCTTGAACGAAAGAAACAAACCCTGAGGCGTGTTTCCTTTGGACGACAGCGAGACTTGGCTCAGCGGTGATGATATATAGGACATATAGCACAAAACTAATCACTGGTAAAGATTGAAAAAGAAGCGTGCATGAGCGACCGAAATCTCTGTGAAAAGGTCCAGTGAGTAACCGACCGCAAGGCGATGGTGAAGATATGAGAGCACCTACCATACTGGACATCATGAAGTCAGGCAATCCATCCCCAGTGTAGTGGTCACAATTACCCTGATAATAGGATTGTTGACAGGTCATGACACTCAGTCGCGACCAGGCCTATTGATCGCAACCCACGCGAGACCCGGAGGGTTACAAGGGGGACAAATTCTTGGCCAACGAGGCTTGAATCTTTGCAAAAAGTATATATAGACGGGATGTCGGAGAGAAGGGGGAACAGTGGCCGTGCATCGGTAAGTGAATTGCATCATGGCTTTTAGTTTCAGGTTGTATCTGCTCATCGTCGTCCTGTATCATTGAGTAAGCCACAGCAAGTCAATCTTCAGACAATATTACAACTCACCAATTCTTGGACCCGAGATTTCCCGGACTTCTGTTTGTCATGGTTGTGGATACGCTGAGCAGGAGGAAATGTTCCTGCATCGCCCAACTTGCGGCCACCCCCAAGTGATCTGGGGATTCTCGTGGGCTGAGTAGAGATCAGCGAGTGACTACAAGATGGCCCTGGAGAGAGGAGGGCACCTACTTTCCGTATTTGTTACCGACCAGAGAGCCAGCCATTCGTCTCCTTCGAATTCATCGTCCCTATTGTCGGAGTCCTCGAACAAGCTTTTGTCGCTATATAATACCCACACTTCTTAAAGAAGTGCCAACTCGGGACCAGGAGGCGAGTGAAAGGGCATGTGGGTGCTGCCCAGGCAGTGTTGTTCCAGCTGAGGAGGTATATAGAACAGAGGACAGGGAAGAAAGGGAAAAGAAGAATCGCTCCTGTGTCGCCCCGATGTGCGACACACCCAAGTGTGAATCAGGCGTGATCCTGCGGCTCCTAAGTAAAAAGTCAGTGAGCAACTCTCAAGTGACCTTGGAGGTAGAAGGCATTTACCTGGGGTGGTAGGCCAGAATGGAGCTCATCTGTATATATACTAGTATAAAAAGAAAGGACCGATGTGATGGGGGAGTGAAGAGGAGAGGAGATGGGGAGACGGGGGGTATTTATACCCGTCAGAGCAGCTGCCTCTCGCACATCTTATGCTGGTCTTTCGTGACAAGTTTCCAGACCATAGTCCAAACCAGAATAAAGGGGAAAACGATGACTGACACTCAAGTTGCTCTTTGCCATAGAAACCCGTGCTTGAACTCTGAAGACAGAAATAGGTGAGAAGCTTGTTGAGACAACCCCCTAAGATGATGGATTGACAAACCGCCCCGACTCCTCTGATGGTATGTATCTAAAAGCACGATGAGATTGAAATGAGCCTTTGCTCAGGATATGTGCCTACTATGGTTGTCATGAGTGGTGTGCCAAATGGCCAACTTGGTGTGCCCAACATCCGCTCCCAGAAGCATGCAGTTAAGCAAGTCCCCTCAAACGGTCGTGGCTCAAGCCTCACTCACTTGAGCGACACTCAGGCATCACTTGCAAGCAACAGACAACGGGCGGATAGACAAATGCTCATCTCAACAAGCTTCACTCAAAGGGCAAATGTTGATGGACAAATATGTCGATTCAAAAGGGCAAGCACAAGCTCCCCATGCATCCATTGATTGATTGATTGTACATACGCCCACTGTCTTTAGAGAGTGATGAGAACAAAGACAACACCAAAACCCAAACACTGTAAATGCAAACAGTTCCATGTCCTTCCATCCAATGCCATGCCTGTAGTTCCAAATAAATGTCTTCCGGCGTGTGCCAGAGATCTCTCGTAGAATCGTAATAAAAAAAATAAAAATCGCTTGTGGTAAGGGCTTCTCTCGCCCATGATTTGTTAAACATCCATTCATATCCAAAACTCTTTGTCGCGTCTGTCGCGATGACGCGGTTCGTCATAACCGACTAGTCTTGTTCTATGCGCCAAAACAAGTATGCAAAATCTCATGTAGAAGAAAATAAAGAAACACCTCAAAAGCGCCAGTAGACTCCAGTCACTCTAAGCCATGACGAGCTCTCGCTCCCGCTCCTTCTTCTCCTTGCTCTTGAACAAAGCTTTGAGCATGTTGTTGCTGTTGCGGTGTGCCTTGGGTCGGAGAACAACCTCCAAATCGTCCTTACGACTTCGGCTATCTCGGCTGTCGATCGATCGTGTCTCGATTCTCTCGGAGCGCTTGCTCCTGCTTGAGCGGTGACTGCGCTCGCTGTCGGCGATGCTCTCATCATCGCGTCGACTGCGGTGGCTGCGGTGACTCCGCTCACTTGCATCGCTTCGGTGACTGCGATGGCTTCGGTGGCTATCGGTTGTCTTGCTCGTCTTGTTGGTCTTGGTCGTTCGGGTGCTGCGTCGTGACTTGACGTCGAAATCATCTCCGTAGCGATCAACGTTCTCCTTGTTGGCCAGTGGTGTAATGAGTTCCATATCGGCCGTCTCATCCTCGCCAAATGGCACGATACCTCTTCTCCAGGTCTCAATAGAGCTGACTTCGCTGAGGTCATCCTCAATAATAAGTGCCTCATCCATACCGGCACTGTACTCAGTCGGCGCTCGTCTCGGCGCATACTCGCTCTGTGTTCGCATTGGTGCAGGGCGGTCCATGGGCTCGTACATGAGAGCCTCTCTCGCCGCCTGCTGCTCCTTGACTCTCTGAACAATTTTCCATCCTCCGAAACAGACGACCGTCACACCGACTGCGATACTTGTGCCGATAAGGAAGTGGGGTGATGAGAGAAGGGAGAAGACTGCTGGGGATCCACTCTTGAGAAGCATCAAGAATGCCGGGGATGACTTCTTGACCAGTTTGGACAGCTCTGCAAGAGAGAGCGCAACAGCGGCAGCGGAATCGGGGTCCTTCTGGAGCTGTGCCATGGTGGTAGTCGCGGAATGGTGAAGGCACTTGGCTTCAGTGAGGATTCCCTCAACGCGGTGTACCAGGGCCTTGGCCTCCTTCTCATTGCCATACTGAGGGTCCAGGTCAGTGCGGTCCGCCAGGTCTGGAGGAATGTTTCCGTATGCGAGATCCATGTCGATTTCCTTGTGAGGCTTCATCTTGACCAGTTCTCCTGTCGACCGGTTCCGCTGCACCATAGCGCCGCCACCAGGGCCGTAGGCAGAGGGTGCCACGCTGCGCATCTCGACTCGGGCAAGCTGACTCTGTGGGGGGAGAGCGAGATCCATGGGGATGGTCTCGGCGTACGGGTTCTGGTAGGTGCGAGGAGGCGCTCGGCTCGGGGTCACACTGGAGACCTCGCTGTGTGTCTTGAGGTTATCCATGGTCAGGGCAGGTCGGCTGCGGGTATCGTAGTAGTCGTCTCGAGGGCGGCGGGATTGAGAGGTTACGCTTCGCGATCGGCCACTGCGACGGGAGCTGGCTTGGCTGCGCTGGTCGAAGGCGCGGGGAGGGTAATAGCGGTCGCCATCATCGATGTATCTTGGCTGTTGGGGAGCGAAGTAGTGGGCGTCATCGTCGACGTATCTGGGCTGCTGAGGTGGAAGGCCGTGAGGGTCAAAGGACTGGGAGCGCTGAAGGGCCTTTTCCGACTTGATCTCGGCCTTCTTCTCCTTGTAAGTGCCTTGGGCGTCCTTGAAGATGGAGTAGAGCTGTTTGCCCTGCAGGACGGTTAGTACAGATCGGGAAGCTTGGGGTGGGAGACTAACGGTCTTGATGATCTTGCCGGAGTTGTTAACGATGGTGATTGTCTGCTCAAGCGCAGGCATGATGGGCGGTCAAGCTGAGGTCGCACTCTCCAAGTGATAGTGTCTTGTCGCGGTCAAGAGAGGCTAAGGCTAGAGTTGTCGTGCAGGAGGAAGCACGACAGATGCGAATGGGGCGCTTGATATGTAAGTAATCAAGATAGGAGGAGACCAGCTCCTTCTTTTGTCTGTAAGGGTCTCTCTATCTCGGTAAAGAGAAGAAAGAGGGTGCGTGTGTGAGACGACAAGGAGCTGAGGTCGTGCGAATCTAGCGTCAATGCAAGCAAGATCCGGCCTTGTAAAGGCTTGTCTTGAACGTGATGACTAGGATCCCTTTACCAGAGCAAGAGAGAAGAATGATTTACACCCGGTCCCGCGTGGGAGCGTGGGATGAGGTGAGTTGTTGCTTGAGTTCCCGCAAAAGTGGGATCCAAGTGGAGAGACTGAAGAGACGGAAAAATGTGGTTGACGATCAGAAGCGGGGGGGCAGAGGAGAGAGGTCGGTCAAGTTTGTACTCCTCAGAGTCGGTACTTGAGACCTTCAGCGAGACGAGGGCCTCCCAGAGGTAACCCAGCGCCTATGTTACAGCGGCCTCCCGGGAAGGGCAGCGCTGTGAGCCTGTGGCAGGGAACAAGCTAGGGGGGCTAGCTCGCTAGGGCCCAGCTAAACGGGCCATGTACCCACGAAGAGGAGGGACCTTGCTGGCGGTGGCGCCGGGGAAGAGAGAGAAGGGGATTGGGTCCACAGAAAAAAAGGGCTTTTTTTGGGAGGGAGCTCAGCGATGGAGTTGAGAGAGGCGGTGGACTTGTCGGTGAAGAAAGGGAGAGAAAGAAGATGGCAGGGAAAACCCAGGTTCATGAGAAGAAGGGGATGGGATATTAAGGGTAAAAACGAGGCATCAGTTCCCAAGGCGGCAAACCGGTTGGGTTGGGTATGGATGATTCTCAGGTACAGTAGCCTCCAGCTGCAAGCGAATAGAAGGAGAAGGAAACCAAAACTCGGTCGAGCCATCATCTGCTGCTACTGTCACAGTGACAGCTCCCGTCCTGTCGTCTCTCATCTCATCCCATCTGCACGATGATGATCGCTCTGCAGTTGGGTCCTGCATGGATCAAGATGGCCGTCAAGCTGGCCCTGCGACTGGTAGCAAACTGCAACGACAACCTGCTTTCGCCTACGTCGGCTCGCATGGCTGTCCGCATGGTCTGGATACTACAGAAGCCTTGGGATGATGAAATCTTGCCTATGCCGTGTCTCACAGTCCAGTCCATGAGGAAACAAGTCCGTGAGAAGGGAATCGTGAGCAACTACCCCCGATGAAACGTCTACCTGAACCTGGCGAGACGCCGCCATCAGAATGGTCTCACCACACTTCCTGCCCCGGTGTCCCCCCCCTCGACCATGACCTCGCCCAAAAGCCCAGCTCACCTTGGGTCCTGGAGACGCTGCCGATTGGCCCGACCCTGTCTACACCTCCCTCTTGGTCGGGCGCCTGTGCAGCGGTAGCGCGGAGTGACCAGGGGAGACATGTGCACCGTCTGGGAGGCCCAGAAAGCCAGCGCTTGACAGCGACCCTATCGCTTCCCCGTGCGGGCCTGGAGGATGGGAGGGGGAGGGCCTGTTCGGCGATTAAGGTCGCGACATGTGGTGTGCTCAAGACCCTATCAAAGGGAGGACGGGGCTGGGGCAGACGAGGAGACGAAGAGAGTGGCTGGGAGGGACACGGCAGAGACGGGAAGACGGTGACGGTGACGACGGATGGCCGGATGACAATGGAAGTTGACGATCCCGACAGTTTGCAAGGATCGTCTTGTTGTGAGCTCCCATCGAGTCAATGTGTGTTCCACGATAAGGCGGAAGAGTCTCGATGTGGGTGAGAGAGTCAGAGAGTGCCTAGAGTGCGTGTCGCACAAGCCTCGATCTCCACTAGCCACTCAGCCACAGTATGCCAGCTGTTTGATCGTGGCTGATGCATGCTCTTTCAGCTGCACTTGTCACACCCACCAAGAAACCAATCCTTACCATGGCCATGCATCCAAGGTCTAGATTTCTACAGTGCAGCTCGTGACTTGACGAATAACTTGGACTTCGAGGCCACCGCCTCTCCTGTATTCGTCTTGATCCCGCCACGGCTGCATCAGCAATGTGGCAAAAAGACCAAGACAAGAAAGAACTCCTTCAGGCCAATCTATGTACCTATAATGCCTCAGTCTTTCTCCGAGGGGATCGTCTTACGATGCCTGCCGCCGAGCTACTGTGCAGTCGATCGTGAACATCCATCATCCATGTTCATAAGCGGGAAAGATAATGCCTCTTTCGTGTTCTGGGAGTCTGGCGTAAGACGGTGCTCGTCCCTGATAACTGAGCCGAGTTCACCGGTGATGGGCTGATGGCCGTGGTTGGGCTCGGTCAGGGCGACTGACTGATACCGTACACGGAAGAAACGGTTTCTAGACGTTGGAAGTTGATCTTCGGAGGTTGATCAGAGGCTGCCATGTGGCAATCTCTCCGTTGGCTCCGTTTGGGTCTTGGATCCCGAACGAGATGCCGAAGTTGGCCGGCTCACCCTAGAGCGATGGACTTTGACGGGTGTACTTGGATACTGTACACGACTCTAGTCTGTGTCTGGCTCTTATTATTATATCCTCTCACTAACATCTATTCCTCTATGGTTATTATTCTACGCCCTATGTCAACATGGGTACCTCTAGACCATCATGTCATGATCCGAAAACCGCTCTAATTGCAAATCTTCCCCTCCATCGGGGCAAGTTCCGAAGGTCGGGGCCCCAAGGAAGGGATTTCCCACCCCGCGCTTGGCGGATATTGAAGAGAATGAATGAGCTGGACCGAGCCTGCCCGTACAATTATAACGCTACCTCAAAGAGGACAATGTTACACAACTTGACATTGTCCATTCAGACACGGTAGAGAGGTTTCACGGCCGCGGAATCGCGCCTGCGTCTGCGACTTCCCCCCCAATTAATGAGTCCCTGACTGCAAGAGGGAATGTCCCCGCCTCCGTAGCGTCGTAACCACCTCATCCGACCCCGGACTTTGCTTGTCTTGGCTCTGATGCTATATCCCGAAAGTCATCATCTTTTTTTTTTCATGGATGGAAAATTCTTTTCTTCAAACTTCAGCCTCGTCTTTTGGTGAGAATGAGCCTGTAGAGCCAATAGATTCTGGTTCCGACGTCTTCCGGTATTTGTTTTGTTTTGTTTAGTCTCCACATCAGCCTTGTCGTCAAACATCTTCTGTCGCAAACATCACCATTTGAATCTTTCCCCCAACAGAGCGACGAGGCTCTGTCGATAGCCTCATCATGGCCACCTCAACACCACCCACAGCCTCCATCTCTGCCCTCTGCGGCACCCTCCAGACTGCGACAGCTCGCGCTATCGATGCTCTCCGCGATTTTGTCATCTACTACCCCTCGGCCCGCTTGGACCTTGCGTCACTCTCACGCGAGCTGGCTGAGCTCCAGATGGTCTCGCGACTGCTGCACCACAATGCCGAATCCCTCGATGCGGGCACCGCGACACTCCCCCAACGCCTCGAGGCTGCACTGAGGGGAGTCGTCGAGAATGCGAGAGCTCTTTTGGAGGAGATGGATGATGCGCTGGAACCTGGGAGGAAGCCAGAAGACAGGACCCCGGCTTGGCTGGAGCACACGGCCGAAAGGCTGTCGCCGCTGGCTCGATTGGCCGAAAGCTTGAGAATTGCCATGAATCTTGGATTGGATGGGATACTACTGTAAGAAGCTCCATCCTCTAGCTCAATTGGTCACAGCTAACATGTTCAGGGCCATCAATTCTGAACCCCACGACGGTCGACGAGAACTCCCTGGGTACAGCAGCTCCCAGATCTTACAGGAAGCAGTGTCGTTGCGATCGCGAGTGGAGGAAGATTCGGATAGTGAAGACTTTCGTGTGCAGAGTCAGAGGCCGACACTTTCCGAGTTTGCCGATGCCATTCAAGAGTATATTGAGCAGACCTCAACAGCGGCACCCAATACACCACCCGAGGCACCTCCGCCATCGATATCACCACCTCCTCCACTGGGACCTCCTTCGGGGCCTCCACCGTCATTTGGTGAAAGTCTTAGACAAAACTCTAGCAACGCGACTCTTGCTACAGCCCCCGAGTAAGTATTGACTCATATTAGAGACATGCCATGGCTGACATCCCTAGAACAACCGGCTCGTCTGAAGTTGATGAACCCCCAATCCCCGAATACAATGCTATTGGCATTACAAATCCGAGTCCCCTCCGCATCAGCCTCCGACATTTGGCGAAGAAAGAGCTCTCCAATCATGAGGTGATTGAGGTGGCGTACCTCGTTCGCAGCGACAAGCCCACCATTGCCGTCTGCACTATGGAGTCACCCACTCGCTTCTATGACATCAATGCGAACCAGGTCTCGTGCTTGCAGAACCAGCACGGAGTCAACATGGTTTTCTCGAGGAATGGGCGTCAGTGGGCGTATCTCAGCGAGGAAGATAGTCGAATGCTTAACCCCCAGAGCCACGATGGTAAGACCTTCAAGAAGCCCGTCATTCACCTTGGTGACTACATCAATGGGAGGAGGGTGTCCATGCCCAAGTGGCCTGGCTCAAAGCCATTGGCCTTTTCTCAGGATGGGAAATGGCTTGCTGTGGGTACGACCCGGGGCCGAGTTGGGCTCTTGGATTGCCTCAACTTCAACAAGACATCAGTCGTGATACCCTGTCATCAGGATGAGGTGACACATGCCGTCTTTACTCCTGATAGCAGGATACTGGTCACTCAGTCTCGCGACGGAATGATCCGCTTGACTGACACGGAGACGCGCAAGGCTATAGCCAAGCTCGAGACTGACACATGGAAGAAGCCCATGTTCCTGGGCGTCGCGCCTCAAGGCGATATTATCGTGTCCATTTGGGGCGATACCGTCTTCCACTGGAATCACGGGACACAAGCTCTCGAGTCGTTTGAGCTTAGCAGCCGCAGGACACGCGAGGGTTGGCCTATGGCCATATCTCCCGACTGCCGATTCCTGTGCTGCCGAACCGATGATGGCGTTGACGTGAGCGACCTATATTCTGGTCGTGTGCTGTACACTATCAAGTTCCAGAGTGGCTATGCTACTACTGCGGCGTTTAGCTGGGATGGACGGTATTTGATCTTGGGAAAGGCGGCGTCATGGATGGGATTCAGAGTTGCCATGTCGACCTTGGATGTGTGGGAATTGGTGTTTTAAGTATCATGGCGTTTAAAATGGGATTGTTCACCGTCTTGATGACATTGACGTTGAGCAAGCCGTGTATGGTTATAGAATGTATCCAAAGTGTATCATTCAAAAGATAAGGATCACGTCACTCGACTTCTTTCCACCTCGCTTCTAACATACCAACTTGAAGGACACTACCTCCTCCAACTTGAGATCTCATCTCGCTGGCTTGTCGATCGTAGGCATGGCCTTGCATCACGAATGAGTTCGCGTGTCCGTACCCGGCGTACGAGTTTCCTACTGTGTAGCTATGGCCCATGACTGCATCTTGCGACCAGCCTAGACTTTTGTAAAAAGTCCCCTGTTGACCCAGATATTGAGCCTTCATCACTGCTAACCGTTGTTGTACCAGGATCTGCTCGGCCTGCATGATTGTCTGCGTGTAGATAACGTGTCTCTGCTCTGCAATTGCCAGTAGGCCCTCGAGATCACCCGTCTTGCACGCTTCGGTGTACAACCCCCTCATACGAGGCGAGAAGAGATCGCACATCCTCTCGTTATCCGGCTCCCTCGCGCCCTTGAGTGGAAATCGAGGTTCGAGTGCTGTCCCCTGGGCAAAGTTGAGATAGCATTCTTCGCAGATGGCCAACACACCCCATCCCCACCACGGACGGTTCTTGCCAGACTTGAGCTTTGCTCGGGGACATGGTCTCACGTTTGTCCATTTTGCAGCATAATCGGCCAGAAGCTTCCAGTCACCTAGATTGTGAGCGTTGTCGTAGGCTTGGAGACTCCCCTGTACGCGGGCGTGGTTCATGTTGAAGCAGCAGAGATACGTCTCGTCTTGAGATACTTCTTTGTCTTGGATGAACCAACGTGACCCGCCGACGGTCTTTATGACGCCTTCGTAGCAGGCGCCGCATATTCCCCAACCTGGTGTATCGCCGGGCAGCGTGTACCAAGTTCCGCCCTTGATGCCTTCTTTGTGGCAGAAGGGATGCTTGTCGACTTCAAAGGCGGCTTTCCAGAAGAGGCTCCTATCCTCGTCGGCGAGTGCCTGACGCATTGGGATAAGGTGGTTGACCTGGCCCATTGTGCACCGCGTCCCAAAGTCTCCTCCAGTGACCTGCTCAAACAAATCTTCATCCTCGGACCGGTAAAAGTAGTCAAAGAAGCAGGTCACGCATGCCTGGAGACTGGAAGGTCCGTTATTGAGTTTGGGCTTGTACCATTGACGGTCGTTTGCCTTGATGTCTTCCATCTGTGGACATGGGGGTAATGTCACCCTCACGCTCATCTCCCCTGCAAACTTTGCCCAGTTGTCCTCTTTGAGGTACTCTGATAACTTGCGTTTGAGGAACCAGACTGTTGAGTCGCAGTAGCACGCTCCCTGGACGGTCTGGAGCTGGTAGTGCTTTGCAAAGGATGTCCCGCTGACGCCGTCCTCGAAGCAGGCTTGACAGAGGGTGCTGTTGGGGACATCGGACGCCGTGTACCAGGAATCTCCTTCTGTCTGTATTTGTTCGAGGCAGTCTCTGATGGTCATTCGTTTCTTCATAAAGGTCACACACTCATCCAGACTACCTGAGTTGATGGCTTCAGGGAAGAGTGTTTCTGTGAGACGACGTGATGAGAAGCGACACCTGCGTTGTTCCTTGTCATCACAGTACACCTTGGTGAAAGAGTCCCGGAATCTGGAGTCGTAGATGTGTTTGATGTAGCACCAGGCGCAAATGGTGAACTCGGGTACCGTAGGGTGAAAGAACCAATGCTGTGGTGCTGATGTTGTAGCTGAGGAGCATTGCGGGAGTGGCTTTGCGCCGGAGGCGTGTTCTTGTGGTGGTCCCGGTGTGTGGACGCGAGGTGTTTTGGTGCGAGTAGGAGTGGCTTCTCGTCTAGGCTGGGAGACATGGGGTGAAGCTTGAGGTTGCTGTTGAGGACTGTGTGCTGGCTGGCTGGAAGAGTCCGGTGGTGGTGAAAAGTAAGGAGCTTGGGAAGGACTCGTCACCCCTTGATTTGGAGCCGGTGATGGATGCAAGTTTTGATCATCCTGGGCCGGGTTTGTCTGTTCTCGAGGTGGGAGACTTGGTGGAGGAGGCGGATAGTAAGGGGTCTGTGAAGGGCTTGTCACCCCCTGACTTGGGGCTGGTGAAAGATGCGAGTCCCTGCTCTCTCCTCGAGCTAGGCTTGTCTGAGGCGGCGGGGGAGCTGAAGCGTATGGGGCCTGAGGTTGGGGCTGTGAAGGACTTGGTGGGGGTGGTGGATAATGAGGGACCTGCTGCTGCGATGGGTTGACTACTGGTTGGTCTGGAGATATTCTAGGCGGTAATGATGGCGACTGAAAAGTGCTTTGGGGAGCCGAAGGAGTTGGCTGCCCCTGCACTGGCTGAGAAGGACTGTATTGAGCATGGTATTGCTGCTGGGAGGGACTCGGCGGAGGTGGAGGATAGTAAGGGGCCTGTTGTGGCGACGGATCCGATGGCAACTGAATTGTCGGCCCTGAAGTTGGAGATAGGTAGACGCTCTGCCGGTTCTGGTGACTCGGGCTTGTCGTTTGAATGGGGGGTGGTCCTGGTGGTGGCGGAGGCACATACTGCGCCTGTGAAGGACTCGGTGGTGGATGACTCGATGCACCCGGAGCAGGCGAGAGATATGAACTTTGATGGCTGGGAGGAGGTTGATATGATTGCGGCTGGCCTGTTCCAACCATAGAAACCGGTCTCCTCGGCAGTGGTGGCGCAACTTCTGTTTCCTCCTTGGCCTTCTGGATCTCATCCAGAAGTCTCTGCTGCTCCCTTATGATCTCTTCCTCGGCGCGTTGTTGCTGCTTAGCCTCCTCTGCATTCAACACAGCCAGTTCATCTTGCGCTTGTCGCTGTTGCTTCTCTGCTTCGAGATTCAGCCTAGCCATCTCCTCCTCTGCGTTCTTCATCTGCGCTTCGTACTGGGCCTTATACTGTGCTGCCAGCCTCTCTGCTTCGCGCCACTGCGCCTCAAGCTGCTTCGTTGCTTCATCCTGAGCAGCCCGGGAGCGTCCAATCTCCTGGAGAGCCTGGGCTTGGGCAGCTTCCAGTTGGTCCTGAGCTCGTGCCTGCTCCTGAGCCGCTTGAGCCTTGGCGGCTTGTAGTTGAGCCTCTGCCTGGGCTTCTTCTCGGGCTGCTTGGGCTCTGTGAGCTTGTAGTTGAGCCTCTGCTTCGGCTTGCTCTCGGGCTACTTGGGCTTGAGCAACTTGTACTTGTGCTTCGGCCTCGGCTTGATCTCGGGCTACTTGCGCTCTGTAAGCTTGTAACTGTGCTTCAGCCTGTGCCTGGACCTGCGGTAGACCTTGAGGCTGCTGGGGACTGGTCGGGCCATATGGCGGCGGAGGCGGAACGTGCTGATACTGCGGTTGTTGATATTGATATTGCTGTTGGGGCTGAGGTTGCTGATACTGTTGCTGATACTGAGCCTGAGGTTGTCCATAAGGCGACTGAGGCTGCTGGTACTGAGACTGATGTTGTCGCTGCCCAGAACCTCCAGGTGAACTCTGCTGTTGACCTTGCTGCTGCCTCGCCCTCTCCCTCTGATACTCCTCGCTCGCCTGCTGCACCGCCTTTGTGAGAGCTTCCTTGAACCACGCCATGTTTGATGCCCGATGAGGGGAGTGAGGGGATTCGAGATTGATAAATAGCTGAAGGGTGACAGGGGGCCCCCCGGAATGATCGGGGGCTTGGCATTTGTGGTGGGCCTTTTGGTGATGCGAGACATTCAGGGTTGAGATCAAGCTTATTTGCAAACCTAGGTATGTTCTTTAATATGTTGTCTATTCGTGTCTACTCAGTTACTCATATACTATTGCTCGCTGGCTGCCGCATCTTTGGGTCTTTTTGTTATCATGATCATGTTCACTCTCTTCTATCGCTAAATATCGCTAATCTTCCATCTCGGCTGTTGAAACACCAAGAATCCTGATGACGTAGTAAGCCAGGGAACGCAGATCCACCGCGGAATGCGCCCGTGCCTAGAGATCTATTTCACTCTTCAACACATATTTGCTACGTTGTCTGATACTCTGTGCCTCTGGGAGCAAAAGAGAAATTGGGTTAATAATGCCAAGTCCACTTCATGAGACTTACCTGATGTCCATCATCAACTTTGTACTTTCGCTTTTGACAATTCTGCTGACTTTGACTTGATTCATCATAAGTATCAACATTCTGTTCGAACAAGCGACACCGAAGAGAGTCATGTACCATTGATATACAGCCGTCTACCAGAACCCATCATCCCCCCATCCCTTCCTCTCCCCCCTGACACTCTCAACCAACCCATCCCTCGCCCTTTGGATCTTTCTTGTCGTATCCATACTACAGCAAAGTCCAACATCAAACTCTTTCAGGTCAGTTTCGCCCATGGTAGACAACGCCGCGAGACCTAGGTATGCGTGGTACATGTCAGGTGGTCCTCCTACGGCTTTGGAGAAGCCGCCGATTTGGTGCTGTGTGATGTCGAGGATATAACGCCGGGAGGGAGGGGCGTTGATGATGGATGAGTTACCGAGCATCTAACCTGTGAGTATGGTGTCTGTAGTAACAGAGAAGGGGACTTACTGCGAGTGTACCGCCAACCCACCAACAATAGCACGTATCAGCCTTCTTGTTCCACCGTCCATTGAAACCAACATGTCCATAGTTGGTCTCTCCAAGCTTGCTCTCCAGGAAATTCTCCTCTACCTCGTCCTCCTCTTCTTCCTTGGCGAGGTAGGCGAACTGCCTGGAGGCGAGGAACTGAAGGAGTCCTTCACGGTTGGGAATCCCCTGCTTGAGAGCGCTCTCAGGGGGATGGGCTGAGGTTGAGTCTAGTGGACGGTCGAGGAGGGATAGAGCGCCGATTGCGCAGTATGCGTATCCGGCTGGGGAAGTTAGCTTGAGATGAGTACAAGGAGGGGGTGAGCATACCGTGCGATTCGTGCTGTGAGGACTCGGCAACTCCGCCGTCATAGGTCTGAAAGTTGTCAGTATGAATGTTTTTTTTTTTTTTTTTTTTTTTTTTTTAGAAACAGGTGGCCTACCTGTCCTCTTCGGATATGGGCAATCATCTCATCAACGTTGACATCCTCAACCCAAGCATCCTCACCCTCCTTGACATCCCCCCTCAGCATCCATCGAATACAACTCGCCAGGTAACTGTGCCTCATATCCCTCCCACCCACGATCTGTCCATCCCAGATATTCTGACCGAAACTTCCATCTTCTCTCTGCAATCCCTTCAACCACCTGAGCAGTTTCGTCCTCTCAACGTCCTTGAACGCAGCACTTGCTTCGTCCTCGTTCTCAGCTGCGACACCTAACAAAATGAGTGCGAAAAACGTAGCCGCAATGTTTGCAGTTCCCTTTGATGCATCCTGCCCTTGTAGAGCGTGCGTTGAACTCCCGCAGAAGCCACCATCGGGATGCTGCAGACTCAGAACCCAGCGACGGATGGCTGCGCGATCCGAGGGCGTCAGGGGTGCGTCCAGCAGATCTAGGGCTGAAATTGTAAAGGTGGCAAATGTGAGACGGGTTGAGTCGTATGCCGTGTAGGGCGATGGGAGGTATGTTTTGTGGCAGCGTTGCCAGTACTTGATGTGTTTCTGCTTATGCAGTGGTGAAGCGTCAGATGAGTCTGCCATGATGAGAGAATGAAGAAGTTGTCGTCGCGAAAGGTCTTATGGTTTAGGTTTAATGAAAGGAAATGAGAGGATGAAAAGAAATGGAGGGTAAACGCAAGCCCCTCGTGAAAGAAGAAATGCCGCCGATATACGATCTGAGATGATGCTTCACAGCTCAAGTCCTAGCTCAGCTTGTAGGCCTTGTTGGGGCTTCTCACCAGCCATGCACCGCCACACCACATCTCTCGCATTAAGCTTCCCGCTCTGCGCCACAGGTCCCCCAGCGATCTAATTGGCCAAGACACACGAAACACCCCACGATTGTTTGAGCGCGCCATGTGACGCAGCCTAGACTACCTAATGCCGAAAGTACAGCAGCTAAGGTAGAGTAGGCCACCCTAGCTTTTATCCATCCCGCCGCGCATCACGTTCATTCGGGCATTCGCAGCGGATAAAAGTACAGCGTGACCACACGCAGACGGACAGACAGACACCAAGTGTGACCTTCACTCGCTTCTAGTCTGTCTTTGATCCTCGGGTCTATATTTCAGCCTCCGCCGTTTTGTTCTTCTTTCTGAGTTCCCCTCCTTTCACGAGCTACAACTTCCAAGTGCCGAGACGAACAGCTTCCCTTGGGACTCAACAACATCTTGGCGCCTTGAACGGGACCATCTCGAACCCTTGCCTAGATACATACAACCCTCTCGATCGATCTGCCATCATGGCGCTCATATCCGCTAAAACCATCATCACCTCCGTCTCCCTGTTCCACCTCACCCTCGCCTACTTCTTCCTCACCAACCCGAGCTCCCTCGATGGACAAGCCCTCGTCTATATGCTCGGAGAGAGCATGGGAATGGTATGCCTTTCTCTATCTTGTGCCGAGGCACAGATGGGACAAAGCTAACAGACGCAGCCCTTCGCCAGAGGCTTCGAAATACAAAGTCCCCCCCTCGCTTTCCTCGCCGCCGTCCTCATCTTTATCGGTTTCAGCGATCTCGTTTCTCTCTCCATGCCTGATGAGGTCTGCCTAGTGTTTCACTGGGGAACCCAAGGTCCGTCCCTCGCACCAAACCACAATCAACCTAGCTAACATCTCCCTAGCTCCCTTGCGATCATTCCTCTCCCTCGGCTTCGTCGTCTACATCTACATCTTCGGCCCCTCCTCTCCCATGTACGACTCTTCCGCTCGCAGCCGCCTCTCCCACCCGAGTTCACACAACCCATCCTACCGTCCTGCTGGCTGGGGCGGCGACATGCTCAAGAACCGTCTGTTCTTTACATTCATCTTTATCGAGACCATGACCTGGTTCTGGATCTGGGTCACTCTCCGAGAGGAGCGTGAGGCCATCATGAGCAAGAAGTCCCGGAGACGGAGCCAGTCGTACTCCAACTAAGGAGTCAGCTGTGTCTTGGGCTTAGGTGGGCTTCTCGGAGTAACGGTGTCATTTTCGGTTGGAGGTACGAAGTGTTCTTAAAACAAGATGCCACTTTGGGATGTTATAGCAAGGTTATAGGATTTCGGTTGCATAGGGATCGTAGTAGAGATCCATGACTGATACGTATGTGCTTTTATATAGTTTGACGAAATTGACCTGTTCGTTTCACTTGCAATCATGTCACTGGGCTTTTACTTTGGACAGATAGTTGACCCAAAACGAAGCAAGGAATGGCTCTTGAGCCTCTATCATTCCGTGGTCGCATATATAACAAAAGAGGTATCCATGACTAGGTATTGTACAGCAGTCCAGTCCATCCATGCCAACTGATAATGATGATGGAAGGCGACAAAGCTCGAGTTGCGAAGCAGAGGAACAAAGAAACAACAAAAACAAGGTGTAAAACGGCGTCTAGTGCCGAGGAAGCTTTTTCGAGAACCCCCCATGGATAAAAAATAACAATGCTCACTTGCCAATTCCCAGGTAATTATAATATTCCTTTCGTCAAGTCGTTGGAACCCCCACACCATCTGCTCTTCTCATGTACTGGCGAACGTACTTCTATCTCGTTTATGCTGCGGGAGCTTTCCCAGCAGCTACTGAAGTCGAGGTTTCGGCTTTTGTCGAGACCGCAACCTCTGGCCTCTTCTCGATGATGGTGGGCGCCGGTTCCAGTTTTGGTGTTTCATGCTCTTCAAAGATCTGCTCTTCGATCTTTTCCCCTGGACCCCCAATGACCGGACTAAAGACATCGACTTCTTCGATATCATCGTCCTCTCCGGATCCCTCATCCTCCTCTTGAATGGTGATTTCTCCAGATCGACGTCCCAGTCCAGAGGCACTCGCACTTCGGGAATGCGAACCGGATCCACTGTTGCGTTGTCCTTGTGAAGATCCAGCAAAGTTAAGTGTCGGCCCCTTGAATAAGTTGCGTTTCCGCTTGGCAAACATGATGCCAGAAGAGAAGGGGTTCGGTGATCCGGGTGCCTGCGGGGGACCAGATGGCATACCTTCGTTAAAGATGCTCAATGGAGGTGGTGTCGCTCGAACAAGACGGATATTTGATGGAAACGACACAGAAGTAGGTGTTGCTGGTAGAACCTTGACAGAATGATGAGGTGAATGGCCTCGCTGAAGAGGCGTTTTCGACATGGATGTAGAAAAAGAAGCCGCTGAGCTGGTGGACGATGCCTTTGAGTGGGAATGATGATGATGGTGGATCGATCGAACCGACGACACAGATGATGATGTTGACTTTCGGCCTCGCAGTCCAGCTGACGACCGCCGAATCGTCGACCTCGGGGTCAGGGGCGAGGGTGACAACGACTGTCGCTTGTACGACGATCCCGTAGTGATACGTGGCGGGGGGTAGGTAGGAGATGTCAACCCTCCTGAGGCTGTCCTCTGAACACTGCTGCTGGCCTGATGTGTCCTCGCGACATGGCCGTTAGCCACGACTCCCTTGGGCAGCCCGGCTGTTGGCTGTGTCCCCGGTGAGCCGGAAGCCGGGTACTTGCTAGTTTGCGGCCGTGAGCTCCCATCCTTACTGCTGGTGGCACTGCCCTCTTTCTTATGCAGGTCGGGTGTGCTCCGACTTGTCCGCCTCTCGTGCCCACGTTTGCTCCTCCTCGTCGTGTTTTCAGCCAACCAGTGTGTCATATTCTTCCAGTGGGTTATGAATGCGAGGCTGGGCTTCCTCCGTGTCTTTTCGGAACCGCTTGCCTGGCTCTGCTGGCTCTGAGCACTGCCACCATCCGTCCCCAGTGCATCCGATGTCGTAACCAGATGAAGAGTCGAGCCCCGTGATCGAGCACTGCGTATTAGGCCCTCCTTAGGAGGTGGAATGGGCCGGCGCTGTCGAGAGGTCGAAACTGATCTGATCGAATCCTTGTCGATGGGCGGAGGAGGATGATCACCGTCGGCGTTTGCTCCTCCTGGTTCTTTTCCAACTTCGAGTAGTTGAGGGAGATCCGATACCACATAATCCACGTAATGGGCGCTCCTCCGCTCGCTCCTCCCTCGACTTCGTGATCCTGATCCCGAGTGCTCTAGCCTCATGTGTCGTGACATGCCATTAGCCTCGTCCACCTCATGTAGGATGGGAGCTATCCGTTCCAATCGGCTCGATGCTGCGGACAAACGTCGTATGCTGCGGCTTTCAGCCTCCCTCTCTTTCCTCTTCGCCTCCTTTCTCCGCATCTTGCGCTGCTCCTTTTCGAGAAGGAGAGCCCACCATCCTGCAAGAGTATCGCACTTTTGAGCGAGCACACTTTCGATTACGGCGTCAATGTTGACACCTGCGCTTCGCATCCTCTGTAAACAATCCTTCTCCAGGGGAGTCGAGAAGGGAGGCGATTGCTGGACATCGAGAATGGCTCGCTGGGTAGGGGCGTGCTCGGCGAGGAACGGGTCGGCGAGGATGTCTGGCAATGTTGGACGTAGGAGCGGCCTCTTGGACAAGAGTGCCTTGATAAGCGGAACCGCATCGGCTGGAAGATGATCGGGAAATTTGGGTTCCTCGGTCAGGATCTTGGTTCGGGTAACGTTATCGTCATCGTCGTCGAAGGGAAGCTCGCCGCAGAGTAGAGCATATAGAATTACACCGAGACTCCAAACATCCACCTTTTCGCCAGCATATTTCTCGCCCTTGAGCATCTCGGGTGCTGAATAGCAAATGGTACCGCAAAAAGTCTGGAGGTGGTTGGTCCTACCCTCATACTCTCTTGTGAACCCAAAGTCGACCAGCTTGACATTTTCATGTTTGTCGAAGAGAATATTTTCGAGCTTGAGATCGCGGTGAACGCACGAGTGGTTGTGGACGTAGCAGACGGCGCCGACGAGCTGTGTAAAGATCTTTTGGACTTTTTGGACGGGTAGCGGACCGTGTTCGAGGAGGTGATTGTAGAGTTCGTCGCCTGGGAGCGTTAGCAGAGAAAGGGAGTGGACTCAGGGATATTGTGCGTACCGGAACAGTACTCGAGAACCATCCAAACCATGTTCTCCGTCACGATGACCTCGTACAACCTCGCAATGTGCGGATGTATAAACTGTCGATGGTGATGGATCTCCCGGGCAAGGTTGGAGTCGCCCTTGTTGGCGGACTTGAGGACGACCTTGTTAAAGATTAGCTTCGTTCGTTCGTGTATTATCTCGAGTCGTTGCGGACCTTGGAGCCATTGGTGAGCTTGTGGGAGGCGAGGTAAACCTTGCCAAACGATCCCTTTCCAATCAACCGACCAAGAGTATAGGAGCCGACGGATTTGAGATCCTTGCTGGAGAATTCACTGCACGAGGAACGTATTAGCGATAGTGACGGCGAGGTGAACGGAGATATCGTACTCGAGAAGCTCCTGATACGAGCGGGCAAGCTATTCAAGAGGGTTAGAGCTGCATTCCATCCGAAGCCCAACGGAGCTCCATGTTGGGAGACCCAGTCAACGCACCTTGGCCTTGCGCACCAGCTCAGCCTGTCCTTTGACGGCCTGCATCCCTCCACGCCGCCTGGCCACGCCGGGGGAGGGAGACGGGATCTAGTTGGCGTCGTCGGAGCGGGAATCGGGAGGCGGCGATCGGGTCAGGTCGAGCAGCGGTGGGATATGGATGGCGGCGGGAGCGTCTCCCAGTGACAGTGGCGTATTGCTTTCGGGCAGTCGCGGCGGCACATGCGCAGGATGGCCAGAAACGCGCATTCGAAGAGGTAAGGACAGGATGGGAGGGGCGAGCGCGTGTATTGAAGCTTGTTCGGTCGATGGTATGTTGTGATAGCTCTCGTTGGTTGTTGAGAGGTCCAGCTAGAGCTGGAGACGATGGAACAAGGAGGGGAGTCGCGAGGGGTCGAGATGCCGCTGTAGAAAATCGAAAGATACTCCGATCCGCCCGAGAAAGAAGAGAGTGACACGAACAAGAGGCACGCAGAAGGGGATGCTATGCTTGGAGGTGACGTGACGTGACAAATGTTGGTTCCAAGTTGTATGTAGGTGTCAAGGTTTGGGGCAATAATTTTGGAGCTGGAGATTGGATGTTCAGGTTGCTCCAAAGACCGAAAAGGTACCTCTGACGCCAGCGAAAATCAGCGGTGCAGCCAAGTACCCCTCCCGTCAGCCTCGAATTGATGCCGTCAGCGCCAACTGTTTGATACAAAGATCAAGAGATGCTAAACGGTTCAACTCAACTCTTCAAAGATTGCAAATGGGCAGAGATGCTCTCGGCAGTGGCGCGACAGGTCGCCTAACCTCCAATCCGCGAGCATCGGGAGAGTGGGTGACTACGGGTGACCATTCCCCGACTTGGACAAGGGGACAGGGAACGACAAGGGGGAGCGATTCGCCTGTGGAAGGGATTTGAGGCCCTTTAATCAAAACATGCAGGGGGGCCTCAAGGTTGAAAGATATAACATGACTGTCGCTCGCTCCTTTGAAGCTTTTATTCTGCTGTGGGTTTGCATCACCGTCCATAATTGTTGTGGACAATTCAGTGATCGACAGCTCGCATATCCAACCTGGATGTCATGTGCATTTACACGTAAGTATGGAGTAACTGTTGTCTGTTTCTATTGTTAGTTGTGCTTGCATCAAGGATGTTCCTTTCACTTTATTCACTGTGAAGTCAACATGCATGTTTCCTCTTCATCTACTCCGCGCCTAGCGTTGGATAGTGACTCCCATGTAAGGTGAGGACTATGCTTGATGGAACTGAGTGGGAATAGCTTCTTGCGTACTTGACAATCGAACTTGAGTGTCTCGGCTTCATTACTCACCCATCCGAGCTTCCATCAACCCTCATGACCCGTCTTAGCCACCTACGCACTTAGACTTCATCCATCTCACTCAGCGCATCCTCCAGATCCCACCACGTACGTTAGCTTGTTCTTGCCAACAAATCCCAAGTATAAAGATAAGACCACTATGGCGTAATGGTGCTCTATCAAAGACAGGCTCCTCGCTAATCATTTGAACAAATCCTCCGAGGCGCGTTACCCACTTGGCGCGTGGGTGAAGCAATCGTGAGCTGTCCCAAGCTCCCTTACACGCAATCCCACGACGATAGCCAACTACTGACTCCAAGCTTGAATCAAGGATAAGACAAAGCACTCAGGCCGAGAGCATCTCTAGCTTCCCCACACATCATCGGCGTGATATCCTGATATCGTTAAGATGGAGGGCAGTCCCGCTTTAGCGATTGGTATCGTCTCGTCTCGTCTCGTCTCGTCTCAGCAAAATGTCATCCAGACCAACTAACTACGCTAGACCAATGACTGCTGCCAACAAACTTAATCTCGACGTTAGGGAGGAACCGACTGGGAGCTAGTGACCCCCAAGAGGACACGCACCTCTCGCATCACATCCTCATCGCCTAGACAGTGACCAGGAGCGCCTGTTCTTGGTTTGGCTCGGTTCCGATAGGCTCGTCCGAAGCCCCCAGATGGCACCTACCTTTCCGTTCATCCCCATGATCGTATATCCGTTCTGTGTCCATATCACTGCTCTCCCTATCACTTGCATCATCCTCTTGATCTTCAGGTGACTGCTATCCGAGACTGTTCTGCAACATCTTATGCAAGGGCAACATTTAGTCCACCTGCAGTGTTCTGGTCCATCGGGTATTATCCTGAAAAGGCCGGGCTGGACTCCTGATGGGCCCTCCCATCTTATGTGTAATGCCAATGCAGTATCAGAAGAATCTCCGACCATCGCGGCTACGCTTCAAGCGGGGAAACCTGTGCCTGGATTAACAGTTATCGAAACTCAAAGGTTGACTGGCATGCAAGGTCCATATTCCCCTCGTCCACACGCGACCGATTCTCAGGGACCATCGAATCATCGTCATCGAGCTGTTGCATTAAAGTTTTCGAGGCGTCCCGATGATGGCGTGCATCAAGCTACAGCTCCTCGGGTCCCTGCGCCGGTAGCGCCTGTTCATGCACTCTTTAAAGTTTCCTTGAAGCTATCCAGACCCTCGAATTAGGTCTAGGTAGGTCTGGCCCACTGACTCGTTGGCATGCTTTGGGTTAACTGGAATGCTGGGCTCTGGAATGAAGGGAGCCTCCAACCAGATGTTGCTCCGCCCCGTGGCCTAGAGTTCCCATATGGTTTTACTTTCCGAGACTGAGGCTCAAGGGTCCTAAGAGGGTCCGATCTGGACGCGTCTCCTCGATATCGGCCGCCACCGGTTACCGGTAGGTCGGATGTTGTGATAGCCCCAAACCCTCTCCTCCCAAGATGGTATATCTGAGATGATCCCAACCCGTTCGGCTGGGCTGATATTTCTCCTGTAACCGTTAGAGCTTCTTTGCTTCACAACGGGTGTCCTGTCGAACAAGGACCTGCGAACTCTTATTTCCTGTTCTACTTCAACCGCCACACCCTTAACAACATGGTCAACTGCAACACAAAGACCCTTCTGGGTCTTCTGGTCATCGCTACCTTGGCCGATGCCTACTGGCGCATGTCGTGCAGTATTATCCAGACTGGGCGAGTTGATCCCATCATTGCTCCTGGACGTGTTGCTGCGCATCTTCACAAGGTATCGGGTGCCAGCAACTTTGGTGTCTCGGCTACGTACGACGACCTACAGGCTTCACGATGCAGCTCCTGCGAGGTTCAAGACGACAAGTCGGCATACTGGACACCGCAGCTCTTCTACCAACACTCGAATGGCAGCTTTCAGCTGGTTCCTAATGGCGGCACTGTTGTGTACTATCTCGGCCGCGGCGAGAACAGGTCCAACATTGAACCATTCCCTCCTGGATTCAAGATGCTTTCAGGAGACAGCACTGCTCGATCGGCGGATACGAAGACGATGACATACAGCAAGACTGGATACAAGGGTCGACCAGTGGCAGAGCGTATCAGCTTTGCTTGCTTGGATAGTTCTGGTCCTTCCAAGGAGCGCAACTTTATGTGGAAGACGGACTGCGACAACGGCATGCGAGCGCAAGTTCACTTTCAAACTTGCTGGAACGGAGGTGACTATCAGTCCGATCAAAGCCACGTTGCGTACTTGTCACAGATTGACAACGGCATTTGCCCGCCATCACATCCTCGCATGCTCCCTCACCTGTTCCTCGAGGTCATCTATGGAGTCAACAACATCGACAAGAGCAAGGGTGGCAAGTTTGTCTTTGCCCAAGGTGATACGACTGGATACGGGTTTCACGGTGACTTCCTCAACGGTTGGGATATGTCGGTTCTCAAGGGTGCCATCAAGTCTTGCATCAACAACGACGCCATCGGCGGAGCCATTTCCAAGTGTCCAATTTTGGCCTCGTCGCAGACTCCTTTCTTCAGCGACAACTGCCCTGAGATGCCCCCTATCGTCAACGAGACTGTACGTGGAATGCTTGATCAGCTCCCTGGCTGCAACCAGGTCACAAGCGGCCCTGCCAAAGCACCCCAAGGCATCTGTGCTACTCAGCCACCCTTCAATGACTTTGGTGATATGGGCATTGGCAAGTGGTACAACCCTTCGCCAGGTGACAAGGTCGGATCTTGGGCATACCTTGGCTGCGCGGCAGAGGGGGTGAATGCTCGTGCGCTGAACAAGTACGCCGTGACCTCTGATATCATGACCATCGACTACTGTACTGCTGTTTGCAAGGAGCAAGGATACCCTCTCGCGGGTATGGAGAATGGTCGCGAATGTTACTGCGCAAGCGCGCTGACAAATGGTGCTTCATACGTGAAGGCGTCCATTTGCGCAGCAGCACCCAAGATGATTTGCAGTGGCAACATGACGCAGTACTGCGGAGGGCCGAACCTGCTTACTGTCTGGAACGATACATCTTATACGCCTCCCGTTCAACTGGTCATCGGCTCGACCAAGATCGCCAACAACACAGCTACATACCAAGGATGCTACTCCGAGCCTTCAGGCGGTCGCGCCCTCTCGTCGGATCGTACCTCAGATACTGTTGGCATGACCAACGAGATGTGTGTCGCCTTCTGCCAAGCAGGTGGCTATCTCTATGCTGGAACAGAGTATTCTCAAGAGTGCTACTGCGGCAACACGATTGGCGGTGACAATATCCCAGATATCTCCCAGTGCTCCATGCAATGCAAAGGCAACATCTTTAGCTATTGCGGTGCTGGCAACAGGCTGAGTGTCTGGAAGATAACACAACCTGAGAAGTCAGCTGGGCCTGTCACTGCCTTCAATGGTGCTGCCGTCTACACTGGCTGCTATATCGATGGAGGTGCTGGTGGTCGGACACTGCCTGGTGTCGTCTTCACCGGTTCTTCTGTGTCGCTTGACACATGCTTCGCCTTTTGCAAGAAGCTCAACTTCCCCCTCTTCGGCATGGAGTATGGACGAGAGTGCTACTGTGGCTATGCGCCTAAGACTCAATCTTCCATTGCACCCGACGGCGATTGCAGGATGCCCTGTGCCGGCGATGCCTCTCAGAAGTGTGGTGCTGGCAATCGCATCTCCATCTGGAACAACACCCTCTACACGCCCATGGCCAGCCCCGAAAGCTTCAACATCCAACCTCAGTACCTCGGCTGTTACACCGAAGGCAAGAAGGGCCTGGCCCTGGGTAAGGCCAAGACGTCTAACAGCAAGATGACGGTCGAGGTGTGTGCAAACTACTGCGCCAACAAAGGCCTCGCCTTCATGGGAGTGCAGAATGGCCAGGATTGCTACTGCAGCAATGCTGGGCCCTCGAGCGGTAGCGTTGAGGCGCCTGAGAAGGAATGCAACGTTGTTTGCAAGGGCAACAAGGGACAGAAGTGTGGTGCGGCCAACAGACTCAACGTCTACAAGGTCAATGCCGCCAAGAACAGTGCCAAACCTGTTCAGGCCAAGGTTCAGGACGTTTCTCCCACGACCTTGCACAAAGCGACCACGACATCCAAGGCAGTCAATGTCAAGGGCAAAGCGACAACCTCTTCCAAGTTGGCTAATGTGAAGGCAAAGACAACCACATCCAAGGTGGCAAACGTCAAAGCCAAGTCAACGACGTCCAAGGTCGTCAATGCTAAGGTAAAGGCGACGACGTCCAAAGTGGCCAACGTGAAGGCTAAAACGACGACATCCAAAGCCAAGTCTACTGCCTCCGTCCGCCTGGCTGTCAAAGGGAAGACGTCAATGTCCAAGGTCGTTGTTCAGAAAGCCAAACAGACTTCTACGGCTCGAGTCGCTGTACAGGCAAAGAAGACCTCATCCTCAAAGGTTGTCAATGTCAAAGCCAAACCCACCACCAGCCACCGGGCAGCGGTGAAGGCCAAGGCACAGACGACCTCGAAGCCCGTCCAGGCCAAGGTGCAAGCGAAAACGACCACCCGCCCTACCATAACCTCCAAGGTTGTCAAAGTGGCAGCCGAAAAGACAACTACGGCAAAGGTTCAGGCGAAGAAGACCACGACATCCAAGACGAAGTCGACTTCCACTCTTGTTCGTGTGGCAAAAAAGACTCGTAGGGCTTTGGAGCCTGAGGTGATTGTTGTCCCTGTCTTCAAGAGGAGAAAGGGTGAGGACTCTGATGGAGGAAAGAAGAACAATGGTGGTGGTGATGGCAAGAACAAGAGCAAGGGTAAGGGCAAAGGAAAGGATGACGATGATGCCGGCAAGAGGAAGACCTCAACCTTGACCAGTGTCACTTCATCCTCATCCGTCACCAAGACGGAGGACTCGAGGAAGGGAAGAGAGACTAAGCACTCCGATGATAGGAAGGAGAGTAAGAGCCGGGAAGACTCCTCCAAGGGGAAGAAAACCTTGACAAAGTCTTCCTCATCCTCGGCTACCGCAACCGCCTCAGTATCGAAGACTGAGGATCACAAGAAGGGAAAGCCAACCAAGGCTCCCGAGAAAGGAGAAAAGGGCGAGAAGAGTGAGAAGGGAGAGCACAAAGAAAAAGGCACAAGCTCCAAGGATTCGACCAAGTCAAAAACGGCGACGACTCGCCCAACCCCAACTGGCTCAACTGCTGCATCACAGGCGACCAAAGACTCCAAGGGAAAGGGACATGGGGATTCAGACAAGTCGAGGAACAAGAAACCCTCGACAAAGTCCAAGTTTAGGCTGGTCACAAGGATCTCAGGGGAAAGGAGGAGATCAAGCGGTTCAGGAGCATCATCTTCAACCGATGATACGACATAGAGGCAGGGGTTCAGTCTCTGTAGATATTTAGCTGACTCTGGGAAGAGTCTGGTATATATTGTAAATGATTCGTTGTAATGTTAATATACTTGAACTCGAGCATTGTCTGCTCACTGTCTTGTCTCTGTTGCCTTCTACTCTGCGCCTTGACTTGCTCCGGCTGTTTCTCAAATCGTAATGCTCCCCTTGCGTGTAACTGAGCTTTGTTGCCCTTGAGGTGCTCTTCCAATCGACTCAAGTCCTACCTCGATGGTGTAGTAGACCTTGATCTATTGATTAGTAGCGCCATCTCATGAGACCCATGGCCTTGCCTCTACCGCACCCGCCCCAGTCGGCGCGAGGTTACCGAGAAAACTCAAGTCTATGCCCTGCAAAATCCAATCGCCTACCGCGGTCTCAAACTCGGGCATAGCTGTCTGCGCTTCCTGCGATTCTTTGTTGAGGCTGAAGATAGCGGGATGGCTGGCCCTCCTGGTAGCCCCCTGTGTAAGGGACTCTGCGTGCTCGTTCTGGCCCCTTGATAGCGGTGGAATTGATGGCGAAGAAGATGTGTCAGTCCTGCTGTAATGAATCTTGACGGTGCCAAAGTACGGAATGAAGATGTCCAGCACGTTGCCGTCCTCGCTAAGCCTGCCAAACTGCTCTTCATTATCGTGTGTCTCGGCGGGCGAGGAGTCCACGCTGTACCACCCACCGGCTGCAACATCAGCCTCAATTACAAGGAGATGCTGCAGGATGGTGATGGCCTTCTTTACAAGAATATTATCACGGGCGGTGGCCATCCTTTCCATATTCTCAACCGCACGCTCCATCATTCCCCGGTCAGACGGCCGCTGGTGTGTCAGGAAGCATAGCACGCTGCTGTTGGTGGTCATGTTTTCGGCGGCAATCTGGCGGCATGTTTCCATGTGAGCAAGGCATAACGCTGATATTGCGATGAAAGTGCTGAATTCGAGACCGTGGCAGTAGGAGCTGACGGGATAAATGACGCGGAAGGCGAGAAAGCGGCGAAGGAGCTCACGGCTTGCGTGGACGGCTGTCATCTTGCTGTAGTCGTACTTGCTCTGGGCGGAGGAGTAGAGTAGGTAGGGGAAGTGAAGTTGGACAAGCAACTGGTAGTGGATGAGCTGATCTGCGATGCGGACTGTCGCTTCCAAGATGCGTATCTCTTCACCCTCCTCTTCCCCTGGGTTAGATTTGTAGGTGGTGACCTCGCTACCGGATAGCCACCACTGGGGCGGCATAATTTCTGACGAATCTCGCAGCAGTTGGTCAATCTCACGCGTCTCGGCTACTCCGTCTCCAATGTCGCCTTGGTTGCGTGCCAGGATGCGTCCCCCTGCTACAGCGTCAAGGCGATGCATTCGCTCTACTGGGGTGCATCGCTCCATCGACTCAGGGTGGGTGAGGACACTCTCGGGGGAACAATGCGGCAGGCCTAGCATCATGGAGATATGGCGGTCTATTTGCATAACTCGAAACCACATGTGTTCACCGTCAACGCTTTGACGAGTTTCTGGCTCCAGAGCCTCTAATGACAAGCTTGTGGCACTGCCGCGGTGGAGTTTCATTACCTGGCACATGGCCACGGCTCTGCGAATCGCGAGCCATGCGCGGCGAAGGTTCCCAGCAGCCTCATGGTAAAGACACTCCAAAGAGATGCACTCTATACCCTCCAGGGAGCTGGTGAACTCGTCCCTGGTCGCCACGAGGGTAATGGCGGCTTCTGCCATGCGGGACATGATATCGTAATACTTGGTATGGGATTGTATGTTTTGAATATAGAGACCTAAGAGGAAGATCTTTTTTGCAATGGGCACAGGGTGTGAGCCTGGCGGTGGTAGTTGCAACATGTCTCTAGGCTGCGGTATGAGGGGTCCGTCTTGTGGTGGTGAGGTTTCATTAGACGGAGTGTTGGGAATGTAGCCGAGCTTGTGAAGGATTTCCAGAAAGGATGTGCCGTCGCTGAGTGGCTCACTCAAGATGGTCTCAAGTTCGTGCGGCTTCGGCCAAGTCGCAGCAAGAGCTCGGGATATTTCATCGAGTGTGCCTGTGACTGCCACCTCTCCAGCGGACAAGGTGGGCGAGGTCCACTCGGGGGCCTCTGAAGTTGTGGTACTCGTTTGGGGCAAAGTGACGGCCGAGATAGGCTTGTCCTGAGGGGTGACGCGGGAAGGACTGCCAGGGTCACCGGTGTTGGGACCAGTGGGCCCGGAACTCTTGACCAGCATCTCAACGGATGCTTCCAAGCGGCCGAGTCTATCTCGGTAAGCCGGTGACCCGTCGCCGTCGGTGGAACGGAAAGTCGTAGGTTCATCCGGGAACTCCTGGCCGACACACGCCGTTCGGCGGCGTTTACACCCTGTACAACGCATGTCGGCGGAAGCTGCAAATGTGCAGCGAGTCTTCCGCCGTTTGCATTCCCAGCAACTCTTTGTGCCTTTACGGACGCGGAGCCTCTTTCCCGCGGGCTGGACTTCGGCCGCCGATGTACGAGGGGACTCCCATCCAGGGATGGAGGCGGCGGCGTCCATCATGACCGAGATACGCAGTGAGATGGAAGCTTTGAGAACGATACTATGCAGGAGGTTGACCTCGGAGGTGATGGTAGGAGCGATGAACTGGAGACAAACTCGGCGGAAAAAGCATTGCCGTCTAGCATGGTTCGGCGGAAACAATATGTTTTTGGTCGCTGGTAGTTGAGACGGCGGAGTGGTTAACTATCCGCACCTCATTAGTAATAATTATCATATTAGAGATGGGTAACGTTGATATATCCTCCTCCGACTAGTGGGTGATTCGGCCGAAATCTCGGCGGAGTGTGCACTGTACCCGGCAATCCAACAACCAGGATGATAAGGTCTATGTTTATAAGTATCACGACAAGAAACATTATACTTGCCTCAAAAGATTAAATCTACAGCCATCCATATTACAGCCATCTCATCATAGAAAGTTGCTCCTTTACTTAAAGACACAATGGTCAAGATTGCTATCGCAGGCGGCACTGGAAGTATGTTCCCCCTTTCAGTGCCCTGTTGAAAGATTACAGTACTAATCTTCCAATTAGACCTCGGCCGAGAGGTTATCGATAGTCTTCTTGCGGCTGGGAAGCATGAGATTCTACTCTTATCCAGAAAGGCATGGCTCTGAAAACACCAGCCCTCTGGATCAACCCCGCTGACCATGAGCTAGGATACTCCTTCTGACGGGTCTCTGTCGGGCGTGAAATGGATCAAGGCAGACTATCAAGACCCAACCCAACTGAAGGGTGTGCTACAGGGCGTCGATACTGTCCTCTCCTTCATCGTCGCACACTTGGATGCGGGTGGAGTGGCTCAAAAGAATCTCATTGACGCATGCGTTGCAGCCGGGGTTAGAAGGTTCGCCCCTAGCGAATGGTTCTCGTAAGTTAATATGGCGCGGCAAAAATGACAAACTCTAACTACTCGTTTGTGTATAGGTCGAGTTTTGAGAATTTTCCATGGTATGAAACCAAGGGCATAGTCCGCGAGTATCTCGAGACACTTAACAAGCACGAAAAAGTAAGCTTTACCGATGTTTTAAAATGTGTTTTATATAGAGCTTGGACTGATGATCTGGCTTTAGGTCCTCGAGTACTCGCTTTTCCAGCCAGGACTCTTTCTAGACGAGCTAGTCTTCCCTTACAGGTCCGCCAAATATGTCATTCCTCTGGAGTACACCATTAGCTTTGAGAAGCGGCGAGCACTCATCCTAGAGGGAAGCGAAGACGCCCGAATCTCCCTCACCACGGTTCAGGACATTGTTCAGGTTGTCGCCAGAGCTGTCGACTACGAGGGCGTCTGGCCGGTGGTAGGAGGTATCCGGGGCAACAGCATCACGATTGGACAGCTCATCGCCCTTGGAGAAAAGATCCGCGGTCCGTTCAAAGTTGAAAAGCTCCGGGCTGAAGACCTCAAGGCTGGAATCGTCAAGAGTGATTGGAAGCTCAAGATCGAGCACCCTGCTATCGGACCAGAAAATGCCGACGCTTGGGGGGAAATGGTTTCTCGCTACATGCTTTTAGCCCTTGGCGCCGGCGAAGTTGACTGCTCTGATGAATGGAACCAGTTGTTGCCTGACTATAAGTTTACTCAGGCAGAGGAGTTCTTGGCGAAGTGGTGGGATGGTAAGCCGTAAGGATTATTAGCCTCTATATCTTCTCTTCACTATGCTTCTAGGAGATCCCGCACCATCTCAGGGTCGAGCTTCTTCTTTAGGTACTTCTGAATCAATTTCAACCGCACAATAACATCCTCCTTCTCTGCATCAGAGCTCTTCATCCACTCCTCATATCCCTGAGCCGTTCTGGAAGCAATGATGTAGCTCTGTACATTGCTTCCAAACAACTTCTGCACTTCTTTGTGTACCCCCTTCATGACATAACCAGGGATGCCAAAAACGCCAGCACACGGCTTGGCTATGAACCCTCCAACCCCTCTCCCGATACCTTTGAAAAACCCGCCGAAGCCCTCTTTCTGCGCGCCTCTCCAGGGTTGAGTGAATAGGCCGGTGACACCATCGTACCAACCCAGGCCAAATTCTCTCCCTGCTGCTCGGGCACCTGATTTAAAGTCGCTGACTTGTTCTTGAGGACGAACTGTGTCGTCTCCTAGAAGTTTGGGGACGTTATGGAGTCCTTTCGTAAAACTCACTGATATATCCATGGGTCCCTGCACGATCGCCTTTATGATACGGCCAAGGCCTTTGCTTGTGTGTGCGCCAGTCTGGCGCATCATGTCGTGGTCCTTAGAATCCGACATGGAGCTTGATCCAATGTTGGAAGTAGAAGATGAGGAACCGGGAGTGCTTTGAACACGACCAAGAGAATCCTGCACACCTAAGTTTGCCTGGCTTGGCTGCACTGATGCCTGGGACTGCTTTCGGCTGGGACCAGACGACATGTTCAATGCCTTTAATGTCTCCGATGGAAAATCGACCAGCCCCATCAACATGCTGCCGACCGACCCAGCAAATGCCATGGTACCTCCGGATATTGGCTCCAAAGGACCTTCGTCAGTGTAATGCTCTTGTGGCCGAAAGAGCTTCAAGTCACGGAAATCCAAAAGATTTGCATTCGCTAAAGTGCAGGCTGCGAATGCGCTTAACCTGATCTGAGTGCGCTTGATGCGCCATGCAGCTGGCCGAGATGGTGCGAGGGTGCAACGGAGACGGTCAACCTCTAGATGTTGATGGAATGACTGAGCTCCCATGTCGGTGCCTCTCTCTTCTGACATCTTGCTTGCGAGTTCTCTGGCACGTTCCAGGCTTGAAGGTTTCAGGCAGAAGTTGATGGCTTCGGCTAGCTTGTCCGCCGTGAGTTGTTTGTGAGGGATCGGGTCGGGACCGGCGCCTGCTCGCGCGACCATGGAACCCCAGAAAGGCTGGTCTCCGAAGAAGGGGATGACTAGAGTTGGCCGTCCTGCAGTGATGCCTGCCGCTGTGGTTCCTGCGCCGCCATGGTGAACGACGCACGAGACTTGCTTGAAAAGCCAGTCATGGGGCACGTTGCCTAGCATGAAGACGTTATCAGGGATACGAAGCTCGTCCGCGCCCATGCCTCCCCAGCCTTTGGAAAGGAGGACTCGCTGGCCGGTCTTCCTGACGGCTTCGAAGATCAACTCCGTCATGGCGTTTGGATCGTCCAGAACGATGCTCCCGAATCCAATGTAGATGGGAGGTGGACCGGCGTCGAGAAATGCCTGGAGCTCAGGGAGAGGGGTGTAGTTGGAGGCCAAGTTAAGAAGATAAAACCCGGACACTGATACGTAGGAACCCCAGTCCTTCGGTTTGGGTATCAAGGCTGGAGACCAACAGTAGGTGTGAGGAATCTTGAGACGCTGGAGCATCCCGGGGCCCCATATTATACTCACAGGATCCAGGCCGAGACACCTCGCGCGAAATCGGTTGATGATGTCGCCTAGGGCTTGCCACGAGAGGAGTTCGATCATGGAATAACTTATGTAATTTGTGAGTTGAGGGTCGGCGTTGGATGATTGGATGTTGGCCAGCGGATGGGGAAAGGCCTGAGTGGGAGAATATGGCATGGTGAACATGATGTGAAGAGGGATGCCTAGCTTCTCCGCGCAATGAATATGGGCAAAGCTTGGGGGGTTGGCGATGATGCAGTCGGCGACAAAGGGTCTTGTTGCAGGGTCATTGCCAGAGAGCTCGGAAATGTCATCTAGATTCATCCCATCTCCAGCTTGGTAACATGATCGCCAGCAGCCTTGAATGTACTCGGCGACATCCCTTCTTCGCTCCCCGATCTCTCCACCAACCAGACTGCGAAAGCCCGGCATCAGGCCAGGATTCTTAACCATGAAGGCCATCAGACGGGAGGGGTCGCCCCCGATACTGAAGAATTCCAGGCCATTCTCCTGCACAAACTCCTTGAAGGTTGGATGAGTTGCCAGACGTACTCGATGACCGTAGGTGTCTTTTAGAACCTTGCCCAAGGCAACAAACGGCTGCACATCTCCGCGTGATCCTACGACTTGGATGACGACGTTCAGGGGCGGAGGCGGAGGAACTCCCTCTTCACCTCCTAAGGATGGAGGGATGTACGGGGGAGGAGGTGGGCGATCATCTTCAGCAATCTCTTGGCGGAGGGCAGGAGTAAAGATTTGGGACAGACGCCTGTTGAGATGATTGATGCGGATGTTGACACGGCCATCATCGGTCACGCAAGCACTGGTGCCCGGGGCGGCTTTTTCGTTGCTGATCTCGCCATAGGTGTCGCCATAAGCAGGAGGGGGAGCGTCGTCTTCAGCATTGATGAGATCAATGTCTTGTAGAAGAGCGTTCTGTCCTGGGGGACTTTCGAGATTGGCTGCAGCAGCTTGTGCTTGTTGAAGAATGGATTGCTGCATCACCGTCTCCGGTTCTTTTGTTGGAGTTTGGGTAGCCATGGTATGAGTGTGAAAGGACACAGTATGTCAAATTGATCCAGTCAAGAAAGTATGAAGGTAATATATGATATATCCGTCATGAGAGACCGATTGAGCTGAGTGGTTGGGCGAGGTGACGCGGCAGGGAGAGTTGATAGTAGAGATTCTGAATGAACTCGTACATCCTTGCCAGTTTCAAATGTTTTTGATTTCACTATGAGGCTGAGCAGAATAAAGATGCATCTGATGGCGTACCAAAATCCTTCTTCAAGGCACCAACTCAAAGACCGAGAATCAAGATGTTGGTGTTGTTTCCACTCTGCTCGGTCTTGCCCCACGGTGTCAGCCTTTAGTGCAGGCTGATATAATGCTATTGGTTGAATGACCGAGCTGCCCCGTTCTTTTGCTCGGTCTTTGACTTTACGCCGAGATAATTTTGGCGATCCTGACCCCTGACATCAGATCCTTCGGAAACGAGGAAGTACTCTATACTTGAGCCGCCGCTAATACCCCATGTTATGCTCCTGTACTAGTACATTTATCACTCAAGTATTGCTGAGCACGTTCCACGCGGCATGGGCCGCCTCAACTGACGCGTATAAAACGGTTATTGTGCCATGTCTTGCTTATTATCCTCGTATCATCCTCGCTCGGTCTTTGGCTTTCTCGGTCTTTATTCTCAACTTACAACCAACCACCCAGCAGCCAGCATGTCGTCAGAAACGGAGAAAGCGAAGCGGACGAGGACCAATGTCAAGCAATCAAAATTCGGCTGCTTCACTTGCAAGTATGATCACCCCTGGTCAGCCTTCACATACGCATGACTGACCTGATGCGTCCAGAGCTCGACGAGTAAAATGTGATGAAGCTAAGCCGTCTTGCCGACGATGCTTGACTGCACAGCGACATTGTCAAGGCTACCCACGTGGAGCACCCTCTGAGTCGTCATCCTCACCATCGACTATAACAGCCTCTTCAGCATTGTCATCATCACCTACCTCAAGACTTTCGTCAGCTTCTTCATCACCTCCTATCTTCTTAATACCGGACCTCCTCTCCCCTTCAAGTCCCTTGGCAAAGCTCGCCTGCACTGTACTAGTACAGAGTCCTCGCAGGGCAAAGAACAAGCTCGAGCTGGAGTTTTGGTCCCGCACCGTCCCCCAGCTGACCCACTCCGTCCCATCTGTCCAAGCTGCGGTCGAAGCTTTTGGGGCCTGCTATAAAGACTATGTCCTAGGAGGTGATTCTACTACTGCAGGCCTCGAGACTACAAAGCGATACATCAAAGCTTTGAAACTTGCGCAACTCGATCTTTCTACTCTACAACATGGACCCTTACCCTGCATGATCGCCTGTCTTCTTCTGGCTAGCATCGAGGCTATACAGCAGCGACTCTATAGTGGACATGTGCATCTAAATGGCGCGCTAGCTTTGATGGCATCTCACTCCAGCGAAGAAGCAACACCCATGATCGATATGGAATATGTCTCATTATTCCGAAAGCTCGATCTGCATATCGCCACCTATGCTATCGGAGTCGCACCACATCTGCCCCCTCAGCCTCCGATCACAGCAGACGAGTTGTTGTCCGGTCCGCCTGATAAATCTCTCTCCAGGGTATTACACTCATGCTACCACTTCATTTCTGCAGGTTATGTGTACAAGTACACCAGCCGACGAATAATCCCTCCAGAGTTGCTCATTGAACAAGGCCGTCAGCTCAGCAACATGAGACAATGGCTTGAATACAACCAAGTACCATCCTCTCCAACGAAAAACAATGCAGTTCAAGATGAGTCGCTGCTCGTCCTTCGGACTCAATGCCTTGCCGCCTTGGTTTATGCGTCGTGCGTTCTCGATCCCCGGGAAACTGCGTACGATTGCTTTGGGCCAGAGTTTGAAGAGATAGTCACCTTGGTTGAAGCTCTTTCTCCCAGTACAGACCAGGACCAGGCATTACAGCACGGAGACTTGAGCACCCTATTGTCATACACACCTGAAATGGGCATCATTCATCCACTGTACTTTGTGGCACGAAAATACAGGCATAGACGCTGGCGCCGCAGAGCATTGAGTCTATTGATAAAGAGTGGTAGGGAGGGACCATGGTGCGGAGAGATTGAGGGCGCTGCGGCGTCATCTGTGATCTGGGCAGAAGAGGGACTCGCCTACAACACGTCGTTGTACCTACCTGGGTCTGAAGACACAACCATGGATGACCCCATCAACATCCTTGAGAGAAACAGAGTGCACGTCAGTGGTCCAGTTGCCGTGGACGAGATAGAGGACGAGTATGGGAATGTTGAATCGAACCAGATGTCACATAAAAGGCTTACAAAGGTGCACATCTTCAGATGCCGTGATATAGAGGCGATGTTACGGGATGATGGACATCAACCTCGTCAGCATCCTTGGAAGGGCTCAAACCATTGGGAGGAGTGGATGGATCCGCTTGAACCTGTATCATAGACACCTAGTTCGTGACTGATTTACACTTTTGCTTTAAGAAAATGGGGTCCCATTGTGAGTTCACCGCAAAGTCCGCCATAGATACTTGGGAAGATGGGTATGTAGAGGAGCAAAGGTCTGAAAGAATACAACGAGGCTATTACATACGTACCTAGTTAGACGCGAAATAATATCAACTCAAGTCACAACAGCAAATGACACAGTTATCAATACATAGCTAATAGCATCAAAACTCAATACTGTAGAATACATCAGTAAGCTGGTTAATGAGAGTGAAGGTGAAAAAAGTGTAAAACTAGTGAAAGGCAAGGAAAGATTTGCCAACCTAGTGGAAGAGATACAATGTAATCAACTAAGACGAATACCACCAAAGACAGCACCGAACTTCCCCAGCACCTTTCTCAAGTACTCATTTCAGTATCAGTTGAGTGTCTCGACGTCCCAGATATATGACTCTTGTCGTTAATCGGCATCTTGGCCATCTTCCTGAGCGGGCTAATAACATTTTGGTAGAACGCATGCTGAAAGTCATTGTCGTCCCCATGACGGTCACCATATTTGGCAAAGCTGACGCAATAGCGTACGGCTTCTTGGAACTCAGGCACCGTCTCGACGTCGAGGCAGACTAAATGATGTTCCATCACTCTGTCGAAACTGCGCCCTAGTGTGTGCACCTCCCAGAGCCCGAGCTGGAGGAGGACAGTGCCAAGGTTGAACATGAAATCTTCCAGCTTGCTGCTGCCGTGTTTGATCATGGCACGAAGAAAAGGCATCCTCTTGGATTCGTAAGGGTAGAATTCAATATTCTTGATTCCCCATGCGTCTCCAAATTCCCTCCATCCGTAACGGAGAGCCGCCTCGGCGATCTTGAAGGCCAACTTGAACTGGTCCTCTTTGAGCTTGCGACTGCGCTCAAAAAGATGGGGATGAAGCCAACCAATGCTCTTCTCCCCGTCTCGGATAATGTCGTAGAGATTGAGAGGCTCGCAGCTCGTCTTGGGCCTCCTCTTCTCCCCTAGATAGAACATTCGGTGATGGCCACTCTCTTGATCATCGCCGATGCACATGGCCAGGCGATTACTGCCCTGGGCAAGGCTCCCGGGACACACCTGAATGCGACAAAAGTCATCACTTCCTCGCCTTTCCTGTGATGTTTGGGATAGTTCCGTAGACAATGAGGGAGTAGTAGAAGAGTTGGAGTCCCTACGAAACCTCTGTTGCAACCCCTCAATCACCGCCTGAGGCGACGAAGGCTCCGAGCAGACAGCCTCACTTGCGTCTCCCGGAAGGATGAGCATAGAATGTGCTTCGAACCAGATGTAGTGTCCCTGGCAAAAAGTTGATTCGATGGCAACGTGATGGGTAGTGATGGCGACCTTGTTTCGAACAATATCTCGCGGCTCCCTTCCGGGCACAAGGCCGACAAGAGCCGTGTGGCTGTGCCCTTGCTCCTGCTCATTCAGAGGGCAAGCCTGGCATAGGTGACGATATAGTGTCCGAGTGGCAGAGCTGGAGACAAACAACTCACCAAAGGCCTTTGTTGATTGAAAGGATGGGTGACAAGTTGAAAGCTGGATGAGCTGACTCTGAATGGCCGCAATGTCGATCTCGATCTGCTTGACAAGCTCGCCGAGGTTCTTGAGGACCTCGGACCTGCTGGGGCTTTTGGAACTTTGGGAGACTTTGGAGTTCTTGGAGACCCTAGAGCTCCTAGCACGGCCTGCCCCCGTGCGGCTCTAGCAGCAATGCATCAGTGTCCGTCGGTAAAACTTCTTTCAGCTCTCTGGCGATACGTACTTGGCTTCGTTCCGAAATCTGTGATATCTCACCGATGGCCTTGTTGAGCTTGTGATGAATTTCTCGGAGCCTTTCTCTCAGCTCGGCGCTTCTCTGGCTCATCCCGTAGTCCGGCATTGTGTCTTGTGATACAAGAGCCGATGCACCGTGGTGCCGGGAGTTTCCTGGAAGCCTGGGCCATTTCTTTATGGACTCCACTTGAACGTTGATGCGCAGTTTCTGGTCGGTGGCCCTTTGTATCAATTTCTCGACACGACGGTCCTTCATGCTGGCAGTTTGGCCAGTTCTGTCTAACAAGGCCTGATATTTCTGCTCTATCCTGGCGCCCATGCCGTTGATGTACTCGGCGTCGGCCTTCTTGATTGTTGGCGCCAGCCTGGGTATGGGCTTGGATTCGCCATGACTATCCTGGTCCTCCTCGAGAGCCTGGATTGATCCAAAGTCGAACTTCTCTTTAACCGAAGATGATGTCGGTGATGAGTTTTGAACGGGAGTGACTCCCAAACTGTTCATGTAAATACTGAAGGTTTGGTTTTGCCTGGCGGGGCCATTGTGTTGGAATGAGTTGCCGCTTGACTCGTTTCCAGTCGCATAATTCGACTCCATACTCGGATACATTGCATAGAGCTAAGAAGGCTAAGCTGCAATGACAATTCAACAAGAGCGGTGAGAGCAATTCAAGTTGGGATCTTGACCACTTGGAGAGGTGAACGGATCATGGGAAAGATATCGTACGGGTAAGGGTCGACTCGGATGCCGACCAAGATTCCGGACCATCAATCAAAAGAGGTTGAGCCTCACTCAGGAAGACGGGTTATCCAATCCCCGGCGATTCCGGTCACACACTTATCTTGGGGCTTTCCCGGTCAACCACGCAATCTGATGTTACCAGCTTCTGACTGGCCCCCGCGTGTTTCAACCGCATTGCATGCATAGGCAGAAGACTTCACACAGTGTACTTGACGTCGCTTACGCCGAGCCAAGGCAACATTCACACCGGTGTGAGTAGTCAGCCTGGGTTGCATCTACTGCCCCCAAACCCACAGCCTGCTGCGAAATGGGTGTCCTCATCCGCCCTTCGCTTCCCAAATACATGACACCAGAGCAATCAGCTGATAAAAAATTGCATCAAAATGCAGTGCGGCTGAAGAGAGGTCCAACAAATTGGCAATTCCTGGGGGAGGGTGTAAATTCCCTCACGGTCTTGAGACGGCGCATGTCAGGCTGGCAGCATGCAATCCTTTCAGCCGCAAAAAGGCAGACGCGTTGAGGCTTGGTAGGGAATTGTAATTCTAGGCGTTCTCAGATTCCAGCCGCCTTTTTTCTTCTTTCCTCCAGAATACGCCTTGTTGGCTTTCTCGTCGTCGCCTTGCTAGCAACAGCAGCTTGTGACAAGTCCGTCATTCGAAAAGACATCAACCATGGTACGGTGGCATTACAATTACGGTTGAACAAAGTAACTTAGGTTGTTTCCAGGCTGATATCTTCGGAGCCGCTGCGGCTGCCACAGCCATTATCGGCCAGTCCCTCAACCTGATCCGAAGAGTGACATCGACCATCAAGCACTACAAGAGCCACGACGAGAGGTTGGAATGTATTTACAATGACCTTTCCGGTATCATTGATATCATAGAACTTGTCGAAAACCTCGAGCCGCTCAGAACCCCACGAGTCTCCAGCGCTGTGAACAACATGCTCGGACACGCTGAAAAGCTGGACCTTCACGTCCAGAGCTTGAAGGAAAAGCATAGCACGAGATCCCCCGCCCGCCAAGTGATAAACCAGCTTATGGATGGTGCTCAAGACCTGGAAGATACCAAAAAGATGGTCGGCGAGCTTACGACGCTCAAGGCCACGCTCATGCTTGAGATCCAGGTGGTCAATATCCGTCTGTTCGTGGAAAGGGACCAAACACAGCAGAACGAGTCTGGTTGCACTTACGTTTTGAACAAAGCTTTTCTGCAACAGGTCAATCAAGCTGTCGAGCAAAGACTTGGCAAGGGGAACGGACTCAGGATACTCGAGCTGCTGCAACGCAAGACTCCAGATGGTGCGTACTCCATTCTCCCCTGTCATCACACAAGAGTTGACCAGTTTCCCTGCACAGGCAATGGAATGATATGCCTTACGAAGGAAGAGTACGAAGATCTCGCCTCTTATCCGTTGGGCGAGAATGATGTGAACAGCCAACCAGGTGGGTTATTGACTTTTTGTACTGTCATAATGGCACTGACTCGAGTCCAAGGCCCGACCCAAGTCTTAGAAAACACGTGCGACGATCGAGCATTCCAGGTCAACGGGTCTGTGAGCGATATTGGAGCAGAAGTCACCCACGCTCAAACCATCAAAGGCAACCAGGCACGCGGCCAAAGCATCCAAATGAACGGTTCTATGGACGGGAACGCGCTTGGCCAGATGCTAGCGTCAAGAAACAAGACGATGGAAGCCATCGCCAAGCCACGTCAACGGCAACAGCCACCACCAGTGTATCAACAGCTGGTCAATGGGCCCCGTCAAGCACGGGCTTATTCGCCGAGGCCAAATTACGGCCTGCGGCGTGCAAACAAGCGCTCAAATCCCCGTATTAATGGGACTCAAGGAACCTTGCCGGCTCTGGGACAGGTCGCCATGGCTGAGAGACAGGTCTCGGTGGTTGTATCTCAGTTCAGAGCAGATGACGATGGAAGACATGACAGGATACTTGAGTCGCTGGACGACATCTCATCCAACAGAGATGGGAGGGCATCGTAAGAGTGATGGTACTACAGATATGAAAGAGATTGATCTGATGGTGGATGCCACATTCTTTTCTCTCTGCAACTCCCAATTCTTTCCTAATATCGCGCGGTCCTCATCTTCTTGATGCCGGGGCCTGGTTTATCCTTATGCTATCATGAGCGGAGGAACTTGTATACCTCAAAGCTAAACTTGTTTCATTACTTCTATCACTATTCACGATCGTTCTTAGCACTTTGGTGCCATATGTTCAATTCGTCATTCACTGGCTACCTCAATGCCCTTTTCCTTTGCTGTTATCCATGAAGTTTCGAAAATGGGCCATTAGCCGCAACAGGAAAAGAATGTACTTATCAACACATTACGGCATGAAAAGTCAATGCTATAAAATCGCGTAAACCATCGCAATGCCTTGAAACGCCCATAACCACGTGAATCACCCATTCACTGTGACAATGATACCGTTACTCAGCCCAAGACGTAGTGACTGAGACAACATCTGCAACCTGCCAATATCAAACCTGAGGGCCTCTAGAGGAGTCTCCTCCTCAACCGTGCAAGTTGACCCCTGAGTCATGGAGAAACCATCACAATCAGTCATTGCGTCATCTTCAACACTAGCTACTGAGATCTTTGACTCAATCTGTTTGATCAAATGCTGTAGGGACTCTGCCAAATCTTCAGACTTCAATAATGCCTGCCGCTCGCCTTGGGACTTTAGTCAGTAACAATAATACTTAGAAGGGAGGAAGAACTTACTGTAGCTCTTTATCAGTGTGTTTGCCACCCCAGTCAGACATTTCAGGACGCCCTGCGCAACTTCGTGTTTGATGAATGGCAAGCGATCCAGGTCGTCATTAGAAAAAGCGGTTTTCCAGACCCGTAGTCTCTTGAGTTCTTCTCCCAGCAGGAGATTTTCGAGATTGAATGTCGTTTGGTTTGTGCCGTCGCGAGGACCTGGGGTGCAGTCTCTTGCCTCCAGCTCCTCGTCATCAGATATTGCGGCATCCGATGGCAATTCATCGACGCCATCGAATTCGGGGCTAGAGTTTGGGCTATCACTACACTCTTCTCTGCTTGTGATATCATCTGCGACGGTGGTGGGAGGGCTGACGGGGCCTTGCCTTGCCTCATCCTGGCCTTGGCTCAACGGTAGGGCTTCGTCCTGAATGACCAGGCTCCAGAATTGAGTTATCAAGCCGAAAAGTCTTGATACCATTTGGCCATTATCTTCATGGACACTCGAAATGGGATCTTTTACTTCCGATTCTGGTGTCAGAACCTGTGCTCTGGACACCTCTTCCACCAGGGGCACATGGTCACCAGGCTGTGTAGCCAAAGACGATTGGTTTGCGCAAGATCTTGAGACTGATCGAGTGAAGTATTTTTGCGGCAAGCATGGCTCGCAATGATAGGTATCAATGGAACCTCTTCGCACCATTGTGAGATCGCAGGATAGATAATGTCAAAAGCCTCGACGCGTCAAAGAATTGTGTTAAAGGGAAGGGCATAAGAGAGGACATCTGGTTCGCATAGAACCAAGTGGACTATGAGATTCAATAGGTAGACTGGAAAGGTTGCCTTAATTAGGGCCGTGAACATAGAGACTGACCCGTTGTCGGGCCTGTGGGTGACTAGACGCTTCTGAGCCCGAGCCGGACGGACTGTTGGGCAGCACATGCGTTGGCAGGCTACTTGATGGAGTACACACCACGACTCCAAGCGGTAACAACAGGGCCTAAACTGCTATCCTGCATAGGTATCTGGCAGAGGTCAGGTGGTGAGATCCGGCAAAGGTTGCCCTACGCGGGAGGTGCGGGAGGTTGTTGGTTGTCTCTTTCACCACACCAGCACTTTCGACTCAGCTCCTTACCGAAAAGACTCCTTGGCTGCATAGGGTTGCAAGTCTCCACTGTGATCCTTTAGGCCGCTGCAATGTGATCACAAATTACAGTTGCCGGCTGTGTTGCTCTTGCAGGTAGTGTGTCCGATTCTACTCCGAGAGGGTTGTCTCAAGCGGGGGAATGAGAGATAAAGAGCCGCTATTACGCGCGAGAAACATCCAATGCCCAATAAGAAGTATGTTTCAACCCTCAAGGCTGTCTGTCTTGCTGAAAGTCTGACTATGATAAGAAGAGACAGCCGTGGCGCCTGCGGGATGTGTGATAGAGGCGTCAGTTTTAACATCGGGGCACTGTCGGCTGAGAGGCCTCCACCAGGCTCGCACTGTTGAGTGCCAAGTGGAATGAGTGTTGGCGTCTTGGAACTTCGGCGATTTCCACGAGTTTCTCCCTCTATGGATTGGGTCGACATGGCTAGAACCGGGACTCTGACACTTGAAAACTGGAAGTAGTTACACGGGGCTAATTCCATGGAGCGAGAAGCTATCGGACACTCTCCTATGGTAGCATTGATGTGATGAGCCCCAGTCAACATCACCTTGGGGCAGATAGGGGAGGTGCTTTTCAAGAACTGCTCGGCAGATGGGAATCAGCTGTCATTTTGTAAGAATGGATATAATTGGTCCCAATGTAGCGCAATGCGTCGAGAGACACTGGTAAGCGGTCCCCTCATGTCGGACGATGGTGAGTTGCAACCATATGGCCAAAGCCACTCTTCCACCCTGTCCAAGGAAGAATAGCATTGGTCACTTACTGATTCAGAAAGCCTTTGCGTGACTATAGGTGTTCTTTCTACAATTCAACATCGGGATTCTGTATTAGGGTGTTTTGGTCGTCCCAGTTGAGTTTGTGGTGATGTACCCAAGAGACCATGCCCCCTGACCTAGGCAGCTGTGTGACTTAGCTAGTAGATTTGAGAGGAAAAGCATCCCTCGACGGACTAGCCATCGCATTCAAGCTGTGATCAAGCACTGCGTAGCATTGATGGTCAAAAGGAGCAAGGCAAACCTGATAAATCTGCACTAACAGGGGAGACTACCTCGTTCCTGCGTCACTGGTTGTTGATGATAGAGCTTGGGGGTAATCACACATATCATTAAGCTTAACGATGACTTACAACCAAAGTTAATTAAATTCTACAGGAAAGGAAAAGAGTGAAAGTCTTCAAGAGGCCTCTTTTGCGGTTGTGTCTGCGATTTTCTCGCTCTTGTCTTCACCCTTTTCCCAGCCTTCAATCAGCTCGTTGTCCGCCTCCCCCTCATCGTCACTCTCATTCCTATTCTTTATCACCTTCCTCGCTGCTCGCTTTCCTACCACAGGCAACTTCTTGACGCCGATATCCTTGGCAGCCTGTGGTAGCAACTCTGGGTCTAGCAGTCCTGCTTGTACCAAAACGCTGGCCTGGTCCCAGTACACATGTTCATGATAGAGTCTGCCACCCCTCAGAGTGACAATGCTCACCATCATGATTTCAATCTTTTTGTTGGTAGGCGGGACTCCGGGCAGCATCCACGGGACTTCCTGTGTGTGCTTGAAGCGCAGGTGAATCTCATCCACGACTCGGTCAGCGCCGATGGTACGCGATATAAGCGTTGTCTTTATAGAAGGTGGGTTGGTGAAGAATTCTGTATAGAAACGCTTTAGCTCCGCCGATCCGATGCCTCCTGTCAGGGTTGGCATGTTGGTGACATGAGGCGTCTTGTGTGTCGTATAGGTAGACATGGCATGTTCGGGGTGCTTGGAGAAGAATTTGCCTGTTGATATTAGTCTGGATCTTTAATGTTACCCTAATCATTCTCTAGGACTCACTCTGCACGTTGTTGTCCAAAGCAGCTTCCAAGTCGGGGTTAATCCCAAACACTCTTCTCGCCAAAGCCAAGCTCCGGCTCCAGGCCAGGTCGGCAGATATCCCGTCATACTCCTCCATATCATGTTCAGCGAAGCCTGGCTGGGCGTCGTACGTATAGCTAGGATACGCGAGGTTCAACTTGCCGCCGGTGCCGAGGCCTCTGCTAATCGTTCTGCGTCTCGTTCGCTTTTTGCCCTGGATGCCCACCATCTGGGACTGCTTCACTACGCCGACTTCTTCACCAGCTGTGAAATGTACCAAGGCACTAATAGCGCTTGGAAATCGGCCATTGGGATCTGGGATTGAAGAGGGATAGTAGGCAATCAAAAGGCCGAGCTTGAATTCTGGGTTGTTGTCCAAGACATGGAAATGCTCGAGGCATGTAGCTGCTGCGTCGTCATATGCTACCCTGTGTCAACGCTCGACCAAGGTGCTATTTACATGATCTCACTTACCTATGATTCCAAACTTCTCACAAGGTCCCAGATTCTCTTTGCTCAACGACTTGATCTTGCGTAGGTACTTATCACCATGGCTCTCCATTGAGATGTACTCGACATCAAAGCCCTCAGCTCGCCACTCGGCGAGAGTCAGCTGGTCAAATTCGTCGCTTTCTCCCGTCACGTACAACTTGGGGGGGTTAGACGGGAAGTCGCCGGAGAGGAAGTTTTGGTCCCTGTAATTATTTCCAGTCATGTTGTCGTTGAGGACCTGGACATTGCGACCCTTTGACTCGGGGACGGCCGCTTTGATCAAATCTGGGACGTTGACGTTCATTTTGGTAGCGTTAATTATTGAGGAGAGTTTAGAAAACGAATGATCCAGGTGATGGAGTAACTTGTCATGTTATTCACTTGTTGTTCCAAGTTCCAAGCCCTCATGACATCATGTTTGGAGCTACCCTGCGTGAGTGTGATGTCAGAATGGTCATGATTGGCTGAGTAATCATCCTTCTAAGCTTCCACCCGACTTCAATGCTTCGTTCGTCAAAGTAGCCACGTATTTTACCCGAGGTGCAATAGGTATTTCATCTCATTGGTATAATTACATATTATAGAAGTTCTAAACATTTATACGTGGTTAAATATAGGAGCCAAACGGTCCAGGTTCACGATGTACGGCGCCATGGGTCACTAACAAGCTGTTCCCCACTCAGGTATATAAGCTGGACCACAACGGAAGACCACCTGAATATAATCACTGAGTTTAGATGGGTACAGCCGAAAGCTCTACCGATGACAAACTGAGACCACTGGGACCAAGAACAACACCATAGCCGTCGCTGCTAAGACCCTCGATGTAGAGGGAAGAATAGGATCCCCTATCATCGCAGTGGAGCATGTCACCCTGGTAGTAACAGAATTTACCAGCCACTGAGCACTGGATTTTCTCACTGGCTGTCAGTTGGCAGGTGATGGGTACTTGCTGCACATCAGGATTGACGTCTGGCTGACAGCCGATGAGATCGCCATAGCCTTGGCCGGTTCTGAAGAAGGCGCAGATGCTTTGTGACCCGCGTTCGGTCAGGTGCCGAGTGGCGCCATTCACAACGAACACGCCGGTTTGGTATGATGTGTATGGATTGTTGAAGTAAACCTCTCCGCCAAGGATGGTCCTAACTTTGAGGAACCCACTGGCAGCTGAGCCAGCTTCTGGGATGATGTTGAAAGCTGTTGAGTCTGGCTGAGGGGAGGTCGAGGTGGCGGATGTCTGGGTCGACAGAGAGGTGGTTGCCTCGGACGTAGTAGCCTCGGAGGTTAAAAGCGTTGTTGAATCCGAGCTCACTGGGGCACTACTGGTGGATGATACGAAGGTGGTTGACTCGGTAGAAGACTCAGTGAGTGTCAAAGATGTGGTTGATGAGTCAGTTCCTGAGGTAGTGGAATCCGTGGTAACAACCGTGGTGAAAGATACGGAATATGAGGTAGCGGATTCAGCCTCAGAAGAGGTTACGGCTGCTAGAGGTCGCATTAGTTCATGCCGTATGGCCTAATGTTGACGCTGCACTCACTTGAGGTAGTACCAGGAATGCAAGGGCCTGCAATTGAAGATTCGATGTAGACAAGGCTAAAAGCCAACAAAAGGCCGACCCGGGGAACCATCGTGGTGATTGAAGGTGTTTGAGCGAGTGACAATTAGTTGGAGAGAATGAGGGATGCATTGCAATGAAAGTTGAGAGGTTCTTGGCCTTTATCTCACAAGCTCACCCCGTGTCTCTCTACAGCTAATTTCCTTGGCATCCGATATCCGTCAATAGTTGATCAATAGTGTGGTTTCGAGCGCCACTAGGCCACCAGAGCTGCACGCAATATCAACACGCTAGTGACAACCCCCAGCTTCTCCAGGGGCCCGACCTGTCGATCTGTCTCATTTTGGGCAAGCTTGCGCCCAGTTCCTGCCAAGAGATGTTGTTATCAGAACGGGAACAGACGAGTATCACCTTCCTCTTGTTTAGCTCGCCACATCTTGCGGCATAGCTGTGAGTTGGCGCGGAGCGACGGCGCCGCTTTCCCCTTACCAAAGATTTAGCTGCAGGGATCATTGCCGAGGCTCCGAGTATAAGCACTACTACTCATCATCCCCCAGAGGACATATTAATGGCTTTCGATATTCTTGCAGTAAACAGACCCTGATGCCTTGTTTCTTTAGTGTCCCTCTCTAGTCCGGCTATGAGGTCATCTGTTATTCTAGCCAGCACAGAGAGATGATTGAGAAGGGACTTCAGAGTGGTGACCTCGATGGCTTGAGGTATTGATATTGTTGGAGAATATCAGCGCCCACACCTTTCTGATGTGGTCCGTTATGTAGATACAAGTCTGGGTTTCCCCATTCAAAGGTGCGATGCCTTTGTCCTATCAGTCTTGATCGCCGCGTCGAAGTCGATCCCCATATCTTCCATCACACGTATGGCCACAGGACGACCGCCACCCCAGACGCCACCACCTGGATGCATAAAGGGGCCGGCTAGATACAAACCCTTTACTCCAAGGACACGATACTGAGCCAACTCTGGAGTAGGACGAAGAGGGCCCATCTGATCTGAAGACATCGAGAGACCACAGATATCACCGCCCTGGAAACTGGGTGTATCATCCTGGTGGTCTTTGGGGGTAACGACGTGATATGCCCGGATTTGATCGGGAGTAAAGTCCACAAGATAGTCAGACAAGTAGCGGAAGAACTTTTGCATCACCTCATCTTTGACCTCATCCCATCCCTGGAAGCCAACGCGAGCGTGGTCTGCACGAACCATCACAACGGCATGGAGGATGAACTTTCCAGCTGAAGCCCGTGTTGGGTCGGTAACATTGATGGCTGACGCGCTCGTCATGATGACATCTGGTATCTCGCTTTTATCCATGGTGTCGTAGCTCTTGAGGAGCTCCTCGACGCTACCTGGGCAGATGGTGTTCATCACCACATGGTTTGCCACTCCTCCTGCCTTGAAGTTGAGTGGGTTTTCCAAGGTAGCGTGGACGACCACAAGGTTGTACTCGGACAGTTTGGTCTTGGAAGCCGCCGCTGTGATAGTTGGGTCGATGCCATCCACAAGCTTGCCCAAGATGTGTGGGTGAATCTGAGCCACGACACATTCTCGCGCTCGAATCTCACCGGCTCGCGTTCGGACGCCAACAGCTCGGCCATTCTCGGTAACGACCTTGATGACTTCGGTGTTGAGACGAATTTCCCCTCCATGTGCCTCCAGGCATCTGGAAACAGCTGCAGTAAAGGCTGAGCCACCTCCTCGGGGCACTGCCAACCCGTACAAGGTCATCAATCCAATGCCCAGATACGCCATCAAGCCAGTTCCTGGGGTCTTGGGATGCGCCAGTTGAATCTCGGTGACAAGTCGAAGAATGGCTACCCTCACAATTGGGTCCTTGAAGTACTCGTTGACTATGTCAAGAGAGCTACACTTCGCACTCGACTCAAGAGCCGCGGCGACATCGGGATGGCTGGATAAATCTGGGGGTGTCGTAGACAGAGGAACAAACATGCCTGGCATGACGAGCTTGGTGATCTTGGTCGCGAGTTTGGCGAAGCGTTTGTACGCTTCGCCTTCCACTAGGTTTGAGATGGCGGTGATGGCATCGGCAGTCCGCTTCATGTCTCGGTATAGAGAAAGGACACCCTCTTTGAAGATGATGGCATACGCCGGCTCCAGTGGAAGATACTGCAACCCGTACTTGGACTGAAGTTGAGCTTATCATCAGTGATCAGGGGGTTACCCATGATCATCTGATGGATGGCACTGTGACGTTCGCTGGTGTAGCCTGGCTCAGCCATAGGCAGAGACGCCACACCTCCGCCAGGGTACGACTGCCGTTCAAGAACGAGAACCTTTTTTCCAGCTTTGGCAAGGTATGCAGCTGCAAGAAGGCCATTGTGACCCGAGCCAACGATGATAACGTCAAATTCTGGCTCAAAAGACGTGAGACGGCCGAGCTTTGAAAAGTCGTTCGTCATTATGTGGCGTAGTTGGCGATTGACGGTGAGTTGAACCCAAGGTAGGTATGTTGGTCAAAGATTGATCAGAGGAGAGGTTTGATTAAAGGTTGAGTAACGGTTGATAGAAACACTTTGGCGAGTAGGTTTATATATAAAACAATAACTATCGCCCGGCAGCTCATAGAGAGTATCTTAACGTCGGGAACTCATTACATCAATGTTTGATATGCAAGATGTGCAAGTACATGCGGTTCCCTTCTTTACCAGAAAATACGTAAGACACACCACATGGGCCCAGACGATTTAACTCAGAGACACGATAAGGGATCTCACATATTTCTACGAAGAGGTTTGATATGAGTAGAAGAGGCTATTAACAAGGGCCTGAGACCTCTGAAAGCGGCGCGAATCTGCGTGGTGCGAGGTTGTCCCACCTACCCTAGACAAAATCACCAAATAGACGCGTCGGAGGCAATTTGATTCCGGCCATGACAAACTACTAAAATGACTAATCTTTCCAAGACTTGGCACGTCCAAAACACCCTCGAGGGAAGACCCAGACAACTTCTTCTTCTTCATGGCCACATCAAAGTCAAAATAAGATGGAAAATGATATTCCTGAAGACGGCTCGTCGCATCCTCGGGCCCGATTGCACAACGTAAGTCTTCAATTCGCTCAACCTTGCTCACAAATGTCCCCCAAACACCCAGTGCATGCTTTAACGGACCCTTGTATGTAGGCTTGCCTGGCTTGCCAGAAACGCAAGTCAAAATGCGATGGTCAGCGTCCCTCATGCTGCCAATGCCAAAAGCGCGGCATTCAATGCGTGTATCAGCAAAGGAGATTTCGAGGTCCCGGCAAAAGGTGCAAAGCCATTTCACCACTTATCGAGCAAGACTAACCCCTAGCAGCAAGGAGTATGCACATAAATTGGAGGAGAGGCTCAAGCGACTCGAAGAGTCTCTTAAGCCGGGCGCGTCTAGCTCCACCGATGAAGGCCACAGTGACCACGTTGAAGGCTCTCCATCCCCCTTGCAGGATGCAAGGACTGAAGAGCCCACGAGCACGGCTTCTACGCAAGCAAATGCTTTGAGTCAGAATCTGACTGCATTGCACATGTCGCCTTTGGAGAGGATCTGTGTCGCGGAGTCTTCAAACGAAGGCGCCAGCCAGCAGCAGCCGGGCAATCCCACGGCATCATTTCTACAAATGCACTTCATCGAGTTCATAAGATCCACGGTCAAGACTGACAAGTTCAAGATGGCACTGTTCAGCCCACCGCATTCCTACACCAAAGTCCTGACGAGGCTTGAGGACGTCGTCCAAGATATTTCCGATCTGTACCCCCTTCTCGAGATGAGCCATCTCCAAGAGCTTATCACGCCTCAAGAATCCGACAACTTTGTAGAAAGGTCGGCTAGGATGGCAATTTGCAACGCCTCGCTCGCACTGGGTGTTCAATGCAAAACTGCAAACTCTGCGTTTGGCGAGCTGGCACCAGCATCCTGGGCGTACACCAAGAGTGCTTTTTCTATAGTTCCACTCTTGCTTTTCCAAGGCACTAGCGAACTCGCTTCTGAAGCCATGCTCATCATGGTCATGTTCATGTTGGGCAACGCAGATCTTCATATCGCATCTCATCTCAACACGCTTGCAGTGCGTGCATACCAGATGTGCCAACTTTCCCGTTCTCACGAAGCATGTGTGAAGGATACGGAGATTCAGTTGCGCGTTTTCTGGACTCTCGCTTGCCTGGATATTGATCTTGCGTTCAAGATTGGTATACCGCCAATGATCCCAGATCTTTCAGGCAAAGATCTCCCAGCAGAGATCCCACTGGATCCTGCTTTGTGTCTCGAAGTGCCGGGGATGGATCATGGTATCAACATCATGAGACATCGAGCTGAGCTTACAAAGATTCAGCATGACGTATACCATCAGCTCCTTTCTAGTGCTACAAAGCACCTTTCTTGGCAGGATATTTCGATGAGAGCCGAAAGCTTGCATCGAGAGTTGGAAGATTGGAAAATGAACATCCCGGCATCGTTTCGACCTCACGAGCAATACCGGCCTGGCAGAGAGAATCTGCCACTTCCCGTTATCTTGATGCATTTTATATATCATGACCTGAAAATGAAAATGCAGAGAATGATAGGCCTCACCTCCGTGGGCGACTGCATAGCATCAGCGCAAGCAACAATTCGTTTAATGCATTGCCTGCCCACGCAGCAGTTTGCAGCTCTTTGGTATGTCTTCCTTGCCCACAGCCGGGATTCATTGCTCATATGCACAGGCGCGTTTTGGTTTATCCAACATCTGCCGCTCTTGTCCTTTTGGCTGCTGTCAGTCAAGATACAGCTGGGCTCAATGCAGAACCCAGTGTGAATGGAATCCGGGAGCTGACGCATTACCTTGGTGACATGTTGTCAAGAAAGGGCTGTGATTTAGGAAAAGCTCTTCCGTGGTTCTCTAGGTTCGAGGAGGTGGCAGCTGCAATATCAACCGGAGATACCGCCATAGAATATCAGGAAATGCACAAGGTGAGAGAATCTGCACAATGAACCATCTGGTGCAGGACTGGGCTAACGGCACATACAAATAGAATCTCTCTCAGGTCCTCTCGCCCGACGTGGATTTTATGCGGCTTGCTCAGAGCTTTCTTGGGAGGGTGGCTACTGATGATGCAGTCCGGATCCAGAAACTGTCAGAGATTCTTCGTATTTGTTGGTCACCGGAAGATGAGTTTGGTCCATTTGTCCCTGATACATTAAAGCCAAGGACGCACAACTTCGACTTTGCATTTGCCTAGATTTCATCGCTTATGGAGGAATGCCCATCAAAAGACAAGAAAAAAAATTGATATCAAGGATCGTCATCTCATCTACATAACTCCCTCTCCGTAGACCTTACGTCACAGTCGCCTGGGAGGATCTAACCATGTGCTCTGGTCCTTCAAAGGCTCCTTTCCTTTCAGGGTAGTCTATTTATCCGTCTCTCTCTTGCCTGCGTCTGCTGTCCAGACAATTGCCCGCTCCAACTGGCCCATGAACCACTCATCCTCATAGGCCTCGTCAAAGTGTCCCAGGGCCGTGTAAAATGACCGACCGCCTTCAAACTCCTGACACCACACCAGTGGGTGGTCGTCGCCCATATTGCCGCCCTGGAACGAACTTGTGTCGCCGCGCACCAGCACATGCAGGTTTGCGTTCTCCCGTGGGTGCGTCTTGAAGTTATACCACTCATCCATCCACCGCCGCTCACCAACTGAGTTACCCGACATGATCTCATGCCCCGCGTCTTCGATCACCAGCGTTCCCTCCTCTGGGGTGGGGTGATAGTCAAAGTGCGCACCGACGAGGCGGCCATACCATTCTGACTCCTTGTTACCACTCGCGGCAGCGTGGACACCGATGAAGCCACCACCGGCGCGTACATAACTCTGCAGGGCGGCAAGTTGGACGTCGTTGAGGAACGGGCCGGTGGTGTGGAGGAAAATAACGGTTGCGTAGCCAGCGAGGGTATCAGGAGACAAGATGCTGGCGTCCTCGGTGGACACCAGGTTAAACAAACGCGTGCGATCCCCGAGCACGCGTAGAGCGGCGATGCTGGCAGGGATGCACTCGTGGCGGTAACCAGCTGTCTTGGACAAGGCAAGGACCCGCAAACGAGGTTGTTGTGGCGTCTCGGGTACTCTATCTACTGTTGTCATGTTGATGGTGAGGGAGTTGTGAGATAAGCTATGATGGATCTAGTACAAGGAGAAGGAGTTTTCCGTAATCGTGCTGAATGGTCGGATATTTTACGAAGAAAGCGTTAAATATGTCACGGTTCTTTGCTCTGATTTTCGGTTTGGTCGGCTTATTAATCGAGACATCGGCATCCTCCCCGAGAACTACTCCGGATCTTCAGGAGTGCGGAGCAAGAATCTGCGGCTTCAAAGATAAATTAATCACTTTCCGATACAGGTCTACATAACTACCCAAGCTAAAATTAGATGGATTTGCAGAAGCAGGCTCTGGAGTTTTTAGCCACGGGGCTTAGGTATGGATTTTATTCCGCAGCCAGGTCCCGCTACTGGCTTAGGTATCTTATGATGTTCTCTATCATCTCTCTAACCTGTTTTGCATCAAGTCCCTTTGGCCTTAAAGCGGTTAACTTGATGATGAGAGATTCCTAGCACCCGGAGTAGCATCCCGATTGTCGAACCCTTTGTTGTCCTTTCTTCAACATCAGTCCTGCTGCCAAACACTGGTCGTATTGGCAAGCATGAGGCTCCTCAATACCGAGCGTGTCGACACTAAATGTCCGAGGCCTAGCTAGACTACTAGACTTTAGGCCAAAGACGTTCAGAATTTGCTAGGGGAAGTTAAAATTTATTATTATACTTACTCGTTATTATCCATTTCAAGATAAGGGTATGAGAGTTGCCCGACCTTATTATGCATACCTACGCGCCAACTTTGGTGGGGTTGATGCATCGCTTAGAAGAATCTTTATTAATTAACTTACTTGGTATAGTATAATTAATGCTTAGATCAATGTCAGAGCTGACGATCCGTCCCATGATGTCCAACAACTTAGTCTGTTCGCGCCTGCGGCCTTTGACACTCCTCGTCCTGTCGCCAATCTTTCCTCTTCCGTAGATGAAGATTCCCGTCTTCGTCAGGCCGTACAACCCAGCACATTCCAATAGCCACAAATGTAGCCATTTCTGTCACCACTAGGAGAGGTTGTGTTAGCAAGAGACGGCAAAGCACATAATTTGACTCACAAGCCCCAACAAATACTTGCCACCACCCCCAGGCAACATCGCCATCACCATTACCTCGCGGAAATTCTAGAGTCGGCACGGCGAGAAACGTACACACGAACGAGACGGGTGTCTAAGTAAGCTCATTAGTAAAGGATCGTAACAACCCTTTCCGGGGGAGTACGGGAAATCCTACGAAAAAAACGGTGACAACGGTGAAGATGAAAAGCAGCTTGGTTTGCCACTCTCCATCCAGTGCTCTGTCTTCGGCTTTGTTGGCTAACCGACGTGTATCTCTTGCCACATTCAGGTTGGCTTGTTTCTGCTTGATGTCTAGCAGATGGTTGAGCTGTGAGGGTTGAAACGATGTTAGAAGTCCTAAAGTACAGAGCGGAGGGCATTTCCCAATGAAAAAAATATTGGATAGGGATACTTTGACTCACCGAGTTCTCTACCGAGGATGCGTCCCGCGAAAGCTTTTGAATCTTGGAAATCCGGAAGAGGATGCTCTGTTTCAGGTCGTCCAGTGTACCCTTTTCTGAAAATGGTAAATTCCTTCGGCCGGCTTCATATTGATCGACCACGGTTCTCTGGTCCTCGAGAACCCGTTCGATCATTCTCAACTCATCTTGAATATCCTTGATCTCCCGAATATACCCAACCTCCTTTCCAATGTCGCACATATTCTTTTCGTCTTTCCCCCTTGCCTCCCGGCTGCAGTTTTTAGGTTGGGTTGAATCCCTCCACGCTTCTTGCTTTCCATGGAATTCTTCATAACAGTGAGCCTCTTGATGTGCCTGAAAAATAAGAAAGATCATTAATAGGCATTCGATTTTAACTCTTGATTTTTTTCCGTTAATGACCTACCCAGTGTGCGATGCTCTGTTCAAAGATATCAAGCACATTCTCGTTGAGACCGGCAATAGGGGGTGCATCAACGAGGTCAAAGGCGCATTTCATCATTTGGAGAAACATAGAGTCCAAACTCAAAGGTCGATCTTGCTCCATGATTTTGCAAATGCGAGCTACGAAAGTTGATTGCTCCTTGATAGGGTGCCGGCGATCAGGCAATGCAGTAATAACAGTTTCTACCAAAAGACTATCAGATATCCGCGTATCCAGGAACTGCCGCGATATAGGTAACACTTACTGGCGTCGATTTTCCAGACCCACATCTGATTTACCATGAGAAGACTCTTGTTTTTGTTCTTTCGTCGATCCGCGTATTTGGCCACCACCTGATCTTTATCGCGATACGTCGAGTCCGTGAGAGACAAGTAGTAAGACTGGTCCAGTGTGAATGGGACGTGCAAATTCCCTGGACTTCCATCGGGAGTGTTGTACTTCTCCCCGAGCTTGTTCATGTTTAAGAAATTCTCCCTGCACTTAGGGTCTTGGCACTTTCCCCTAGGGAGACAATCAAGGGCTTGAGTGTCAAGGAACGGAACCTGGAACATGAAATGTTAGCTTTGACGTCATCCGGGTACATCTGGTATATCAAAAACCCACGGCCAGTGAAAATATTCCCCCGTGGGACCCAAGGTAGGGAGTGAACGATGGCCTGCGTAGTCGAGCATGAGGAGCTGGTCCTCGAACTTCGTGGTATGATCCGCCAACAAACGTCGCCATCGCGTCAGAATATGCTCTTAATATAGCCCCCTTCATGCCGCTTAGTAAACCGATGATGTCCTAACGTTGCGTGTTAGTGTGGTAAAAGTCTTTCATAGTCGGTTTTCGAACCTCGACCCAGACTTTCTACTGCCATGTTAGCAGGCTGAAGGTGGCTAGCTTTGGTTAGCTTTGCTGGCAGCTTACATTGTTCACAGGTAGATGCACCCATCTCCAACAATCCTCCACCGACTGCCCAGTCGCCCAACCCTCAAGTTCCTGAATCACGCGCAACCCAAAATCATTCGCAGTTTGGCTGTATAGAAAGTTCCCAATGGGAACTTCACGAACTTCCGGGTCACGTCTAGAATAATGGCATTGAAGTTGCAGCTTGAAATAGTTGCAAAGCTCGATGGTCCCGCCATCCACGCCCGCTTCTCGTGGTTCAGGCTCTCTTTCGGCCGCCTCTTTCACAGCAGTCGAACTGCTCAACAGCACCAGGATGTGCTGAAGGATACGCTGTTCAGTGTTAGTCAGATCTGGAGACATAAGCTCCAATGACACAAGGTCTTGAACGGTCCGTCCATCTTTGCGTCGACGCTTGGTAGAAGCGCCCTGTTCCAACAACAATTTGACGACCTGGACGTGGTCCTCCCTTAGAGGAGGGGTTTGTTGTCGGCTCTGGGGCAGGAACCGGCGATGCTTGCGACCCCTCTCGATTACAGCATGCAACACCGTGTCACCACTAGAAGTGATTACCGCGTCGACATTTGCCTTGTGTTCGATAAGCATACTCGCGATCTGACAATTAGCAAAGCAAGCAGCTTCATGAAGAGCTGTGTATCCAAGCCGATCCCGTTCATTCGGGTCCACGCGTTGAACATTGTCGGCCACCGAGTCCGAGATGTCGCTGCTCAATAGGTCGTGGACTGTACTTGTATCCCCCCTTGCTGATGCCAAGAGCAAGTCCAAGACACTGGGTCTGACACCTTCTATGGGCGATACACCTTTTTCCAGGAGCAGGTCGACCATCGACTGAGGCTCGGGGTTGGAGGTAGCGATATCCAGCGCTGTCCGCCCGAATTTGTCCACGACATTGAGGTCAATATCCGCGTCAATGAGTAGGCGAGCCACGGTGTCATAATGGTTTTCTAAGGCGCCGAAAAGGGCTGTCCCGTTAAACGGGTCTAGTCCTTTGACAATCGCTTCATTTTCGAGAAGTTTGCGGACCTTCCACTCCTGACCTTTGCGTGCAGCCACATGTAGCTGGAAGTTATCTTCACCTACAGGTTGCCCTGTCCCTGAGACAATTTTCATGTCCACGGCGAGCTCCTCGTCGCCGTATCTAAGAACGAGGGCGCGAACAAGACCATGGCTAAACTTGAAGGCGTTTCTGAGGCGTGTGTGGAGGTTGAAGTGGTCAAAGACGGGGAGGTCCGCCCTGCGGGAGCCAGTCTCGTCCATGGCGAGGATCTGGCCCTCCTGTATATCAAGAATACGGTACTGATGGAAAACAGGCCCGTACATAATAGGGACGACAACGCCAGGAGCGGGTTTGGAGGTGATGGATGACTGCTCATGGGGCTGCTTGGTGAAGAGGTCAACACCGGCGTATCGGTACTGGCCGGTGGCAGAGGGGGTATTATCGATGCGTTTGACCCAACAGGGACGGCCTTGGAGCATCAGGAAGTTACCCAGGCGGATCTCGCGGCAGGGGATGGTGACCATTTGTGGGGCGTGATCGTCATCGCCAGTGAGGTAATATATACCTGGAAGGATTCGCAATATTAGCCGTTCTTGTAGTTCAAAATCCATCGGAAGTAAGCTTACCGTCATCATCGTAGTAACCCATGATGCCGCTGCGATGCTCTCCTTTGACACAGTGGTTGAAAGCTTGATGAGTGAGCCGAATAATTCTCACAGGAGCAGTTGTATGCTTTGAAGATAGACAGGTAAATTGTTTGTCGAAAAGGATCAGATGTTCATGCTCTTGGGATGTAATGATTGCCCTGGCTAAGGAAATAAGTTGGTGGAAACGAATAAGCAAGCGGGGAAGCCTCGGGCGACAGCACAGGCGTTGGTGGTCGGTCTTTATCTCTAGAATCTTTCAGCTCTAGGGGAGAAGTTGCCTCTTTTCTCCAAACTCGCATATGCATGGCCAGCGGAATGGTTGCACGACAGGTCGGGCGGCCCGATTGGACGCAGGCACGCCCTGAAGCAACCGAGGCCTCCTCATATTAGCCCAGCCATGCTGATTTTGGCGTTTCGTTCTAAGAAATTCCAAAGGGATCTAATGTGGCTAGAGGAATGACATTAAGTAGCAACGAAGTATTCAATAGATCGACCTGCTTCTTCCAGATTACCTTTTTAATGTTCCATCGCACCGTTGAACTTCCTAGCCCCTTCGATATCCGGCAACCAGCTGTATTTTTCCTTGCAGAAAATCTCAACAGTAGGTCTATGCTTTGTCTCGTTTAGGGCCAAGTCATCCAGAGTGCCCGCCTTGATTACAACAACCCCTGGGATATTCTCGCTCACGATGTAAAGTGTAGTCCCGCATTCCAGGCAGAAGTGAAAATATCGATCTTTCCCCGACTCTCCCTTGTCTGTGTATGCCTTGGAAATGCCCGAAGTCGTGAAGTTGGCGGCCGGTACGAGAAGGTTGTGGGTGTAAACAGAGCTGGAGGAGCGCTTGCAACCGTTGCAATGGCAGAGTACCTGAAGACCAAGACACAGATTAGCAGAGAGAACATATAGCGACAGAAGGTTCACTCCTACACAGACAAGAGGATCGATGTTGAAAGCGTAGGTCAAGGTACCGCAGGCACATGAGCCAGTAGTCATTCCGTCGGCGCCTTTGAGGGTATTTTGTCGGTGGTGGGTTGTGATTACAAAAAGTAGCAAATCAAATAAGTCTTGAATTTTGGATGAAACTGAAAGTTTCGGTATCTGAGGACGTTCCCAACTTACGGGGCTCTTTTTTATTGCTTCAGATCAAGTTAGGAAGCTGCTTGAAAAGTCTCTTGCACAACCAAGGTCTTCATGTAAGATGTTCTCCTCGCATCCCACTTTACCTCCGATGACCTTTATCGGATAACTGAGCAAGTGACTAAGACTACCCCATCTTCTCTCGCCTCGCCTGTCATTGCTTATCCTATCATTGTGTAGGAATTGAGCTCCAGGCAACCGAACTGGGTCAATATTCCGCAACGGAGGGCATCGCTGGTTGCGTAGCCCTGATACCGCTCCGATCGGCACGAGATCTAGCAATATATCTAGGTTGGTCGAGTCGTAGAAGGGAGATAGTTCGAAGGCAAACGTTAGGTGAAAAACTTTGTATATTTAGGTTGCTGCCAGGCCTGAGTCCCGCTCCCCTGACTACATCAATACCTGGTGCATGAGCTTAAACTGGCAAGATACAACGACATTATTCGACAGTCATAGCGACACCAGGTTTATGCTAAACAATGCATGATTTAAAAACTAACTCCAATCACCACTAATTAGAAGCAAGCGGATACGTATAGAGTCCCTGATGTTGGAAATTTTTACTACCTAATACAACGCAACCCTAGACTTCGAATCATGCACGTCGGTTTCTGGATATCCCACACTGCATTAGTATTATGCAGTTATGAAGGCCTTGCTTCACAAATCCGTTCAAAAGAGGCCTCCAGGCTTAGGGGATAGCTGTTGCGGAAAAGTATTCAAGCATCCGGCAAAGAAATCACAAAATCGTTATAACAGAGCTGCAGAAGATAGCGATCCATAACGTATACGTAGGCGCAGCACAGCCGGCCAGTTATTGGGACCGAAAGCAGTGTCTGCTGATACGCCACATACAGGGCAGGCTGTCAACCACAAGCCTTGATGCTTTGTGATTCGCAGCCTGGTTTCAGCCCTGGCCCTCGCTGGCATCTCAAATGAGAGTAGTAGTGCTTGGCTACCGCCCACCTGACCGGAATTCCATGGCATTCTTAGTCTCGGCATGGCCACCTTTGCTGGCCTGTTCATTCCCCGTCTGCATGAGCTGCCTCATACGGGTCCCTGGAGGGCCAAGTTTCACCCCTCTGGGGTGTTGACTCGGTTCTGCCTCGACGAAGACCCCATACGTGAGGTGAACCACACAGAATACGAGCTCCCCGCTTGGATACAGAAATAAGCTTAATTTAGAATACAACGATGGCTTCGTAGGCCGTCTTCTGACCTCGGCTGAGACCCACACAGCCTCGTTCAATGATGATCCCATCGAAAGTGCAGGTCAGCCAACTAATAATACTCCTTCATGCGTTGGCAGTGTGGCAAATGGCAACATCCGAGTCACAGATGTCAGAAGTAGGTCGCCAATACAAGACCATTGGGCGTTCTGGTGTCGAAACTTGAAGAAGTTGGAAGACGAGCGCGTAGAATCCAGAATGTCGATGATTCGTCCCAACACATAGTAAGTGAGGTGACACTTGGCTCTTAACTCTCAGACTTGGATAGAAGAAAATGGAAGAGCCGGAGCTTGACTATAAGTATAGCGCTTTACTCTACTCTTCTTCCTTCACCATTCCTCTCCGGCATTTCACAACACATATTAGACCCCACCAACACAAAGATACCACACTCATCCTCTCGCACCGATCCAAGGTAAGCACTCGATTGTGCTCATTGAAATTTCGTAACTAACATCTGGCTGTTTCAAAAAGACGCAAACATGGACAGCAACCGTGAAGCAGAGGCGCAAAGGGCTCAGTACTATTACCACATGCGACAGCGGCAACGGGCTCAGCAGCAGCAAGCTCAGCAGAGGCAAGCTCAACAGCAGAATCCTCAGCTGATTGTGTGCCTGAAATTCTCTCCTGAGGGCATGCGCCGTCTTGGATGGTAGTAGATCTTGGTTGGACCTCAGAGGCCCGTCACACTCTGCCTCGCACTTGTCTAGTTAGATGAATTGATCACTTTTGCCACGGTCCCTTACTTAACCACGTCTCTAAACCCTTAAGCATCATGGTGATACGTGCAGGAGGGCGAGCCAGGAGCATAGCCAATGCCACCAGAGGAATTGCAACTGCCCAGTAAACCCAGAACTGCGAACCACTAGGACCATAAGAGCCATCGATGCTAAATAGGCCAGCAACAAAGGTCAGCGGGAGGAAGAAGAAAGCGAGTGCAGTTAGGCGGCCGACGTTGGCCGCTTCGGCCAAGGCGCGGCGATTCTCCAGCAGAGTCATCCCCGTCGTCACCACGGGTATGATGCTCTCGAGACGGTTTGCGTGATCTGTGATTTCCGTCGCCAGGGCCGCGTAGTCTTCTTTGAGTGCTGCCCAGGCAGCACCGGCGGCGTGTCTGCAGGGTGCGCTACCTCCCGATCCGCGCCTGCACGGGAAGTACGAGGAGCTGTTGCAGCCTACGTCATCCATACCGGGTGCAGGACGGTCCAAAAACCGGGCGACCTGTCGCATCTTGCGCGTAGAGGCCATTACACGCCGGCGCCACGTCTGTAGGGCACGGAGCCGTGCATCCAGGGCATCGAGCTTATCTGTCCAGTCCATCGGCCCTGCGACAAGACGTGTCGATGAAACACGACCGTCACTACCACGCCATTCGTATTCTTTGAGGCTAAAGTCTATGAGCGTGATGTAGTTCACCCACTCAGCTGCCACGATTCGGAGTGGCAAGTATGCGAGTGCCTGCAACGAAGGCGGCGCAGATGCCTCTAACATGGCTAGGGCTGGTGTAGAGGCAGACATCCAATAGTAGACGAGCTCGTCAAGCATACCTCGGCGATCACTCTGTGCCTTGTAATTTTTATTGGTGCTATTGTTGTTCAGCTGGAGAGTAACTCCGGAGTCATGTGGTGTGGTCTTGTCCCGAAAGTCCTCGCAACCACCCAAAAATGGGGTCATGCTGAAGTCCTTGGGTAGCCGTGAGTGCAAGTGTGAGCGCATCGGTGCATAGTCGGTCCAATCCTGGAAGGGCGGATCCACGAGCATGATACCTAGGTCACAGTTTAGCAGGATAGACATGGGATTAAGCTGTAAAGTCACAGCTTATCATGGGTACTGAGCTTACCCAAGAACTTCCCATCCGCCCTCACTGTCACCGTGACCACGCACGCGTGCTGTGCTAACCCTACGCGCTTCTCTTTGATGGGAGATAGGACAAAAAGCTTCCGCTGGTGATTGCAGGTGCGCACTAGCTGCGCCATGTCCAAGTCGAGACCATGAGTCACCACAGTGCGGTGGTAGTACAGAGGCAGAAAGTTGAGAGAGCGCTCCCGTGATGGTAACGTGCAGGCTTGAGGATCCTGCGCTCTCAAGTTGTGCCATGCCTGGCGGATATATGATGCAAAGAACATCGGGTCCAGGTCGAGGGAGCTTCCAAGGATTTCCATCTCCTCAGGTGATATATCTTCCAAGATGAGAATTTGGCCAAGCGTGGGGGAGGCGGAACCGGGAGCACCAGCCGTTTGAATCTCTGAGGGGAGGTCTGCGGATTGAATCCAACGGCATGTTGGCGACTTGTTGTAAGCCACAAAGTCCAACGACACTATTCGGGAATGTCCCCTTTGCGTGCGTGGCTGCGATAAAAAGTCGTACAGATTTGTGAGGCAGGGGCTGCGCTCCATCTGCATCTTGACCTTTTGTCTATACATCATAGTGTAGTTTCCACGGGTTGTATTCAGACTTGGGCCTGATAGAACAGTTGAGTGTTTGTGTAGGCGCCTTCTGATGATGATGTTTGGCCAGACAAAATCCTGCTGTGAAGCTGTTGGAGAGGCAAGGTCCCATGCTGGTGCCCCTCATACTTGCTAAAGTGAGCCTCGCAGGGGTCGGCGTAGCCTGGTGTTTGCTAGAGAGGCAAAGAAGCCAGCCCTGAGCCTAAGAAAGACAGCTTTTACAGGCCATCAACATGCCAACAAACGCCCGCATGCATCTGAAAGTGGGGATATGCTGAGCCACACCACAGGGCTGTTTTCCAATGTCTTTGATTACAAGAGTTGCCGAACTGGGTCTATCCAATCAACCCCAGTTTCTTTGCGTTAGGTTGAAAATCAGCCGCCCTGCCTCAACTGTGCCCTTCTTGGCATGCACTGCCCGCCGCGGGGTCACTGGGATGACGGAGGTGTTGGGTTCTAGTTCTCTGATTTCCCATTGTTATGGAGAGGGACGGGACACTCCCGCACGATCCCGAATCACCATATCTGTCTTCAACAATTTAAGCACCCGCTGTTGACAACAGAGCAGGCATAATTCATTGCCGTACCCTTAGGCGACAAATTGCGCGACTCCTGACTCATGATCCTCCGAAGCCTCGTCAAAAAGTGACACCCGTAGCTCCTCCTAGGACACTCGGGGGAACCCACGCACAAAAATGAGTGGTACAATATCCGCCTTGGACAACGACGGCCGGTCCAGGGAGGGGTTCATCACCGTAACGGCACGAGATGGCATGCCCCTCAGATTTTACCGAACTCAAGAGCACGACAAGGGTAATGCCGCAATAAAATCCTTCATCCGGGACGAATTCGCCGGGGATCAGGATGAATGGGATGCACTGAGAAGATATGCAGTCGAAGTCATTGAGGATGGCTTACGTGATCTGGGCATCCGAGCACGAGTGACAAGCAGAGTCAAGTCTCTCCAATCTTTAGAGAAGAAGCTGCACGAGAGGAACCTCCAGAAGCCATACTCTGACAGGGACAGCATCTTGGCCGACCAAATCGACTTCGTCGGCATTCGTATCATCTTGTTCTACCCCAATCAGAAGTCTGAGGTCATTCAGATGCTTGGGAGACTCTTCGAGTATCGTTCTACGCGCTCGTTTCGTCGAGACTGGAAGCCTAAAAAGTGGCAAGTCAACGACAAAGTGCATGGGGAATATTCAGCAGATCACATCTGGTTGCGCATCCAAGATACCGAACCTCCTACGGAGGCACCAATGCCCGGGAAATACATCAACCAACCTTTCGAAGTTCAGCTCCGCTCACTACTGATGGATGTCTGGTCATCGATGAGCCATGATCTACAGTACAAATCATACCAAGGGACTCTCTCCGCCACGGAGCACAGTCTACTCGATATGCTGAAAGGTTCTACGGAAAAGGGCGATGCTGAGATCGGCTTACTTGGGCAACCTGAGAAACCGAAGCTCCATGGGGCTGGCGACAAAACACTGCCCGTGCCAAGAGCATTTGACGAAATCCTCGAACAACACCTGCTGCGAGACAAGTCTCGTGAAGAGCACCATGATGAAGTCGAGTTGCTCATCACAGCGCTCAAAGAGGCTGCTGTAACCGCTCCCCCAAAGGTCGGAGAATGCCTTGTCGAGTGTGCGGAGCAGCTTACGGCACTCCGTTCCCAACATCTTGACCGCCTCGAGTTGGACAAAAAGCCCCTCAGTCTCAATGAAGTACACAAGATACTCACAGACCACATACCGCAACACGTCATTTCCGAAGTGCCCATGGGGAACATGGAGCTCTTGCTATTGATGCTACAGCGCATGAACGCCAGCACTCCGGACAAACTAAGAGGCTTTCTGTTGAACCGGAATGTCAGAGGTCGTATTGACGAGGATTTGAAGTCGTGGAGCCGACATGACAAGCTGCTACCTCCAACAATATCCCTCTACATATTGAAGAGGATTCTGGAAGAGTTGGTTCGTGAAGACATGATCACGATAAAAGACGAGTCGCGACGTTTCTATTATGGGGACAACCTGATTTCAGCGGCAGAAAACGCTTGGCTTCATTCCAATTCGTTCGATCCTGCGGACAGTTTGCTCAGTCACTCCCTCTCACAAACCCTGATATGGGTCTACCACGCTGTTGACCGAGGTTCAAACTGTACGCTCCAGCCTTGGCAGATTGAAAAGTGCGCAAGAGTCTGGGCCGCGTTTGTGTGTGTTAGGAAGAATCGACCAGCACTTTCGGGGATTAGGAGACCATTCCCTTCACCTCTGGATATTGTGTATAGAAGTACTTCCCATGGTTGTCACTGTCGAGGTGGTAAGTTTTGTTCCATCTGTGGGTTCATAGACCTTGTCGCAGAGCTGTCGTACCTGGGTTTAATGCCAAGCCCACAAGAGCTTGCAGACAAGCAGGCTTGTTCTTCTTCTCTGCATTCTCAAGTCCAGCGCCATGAACACCTTTTGGATGCACAAGTCAGCAGCAGTAGCCTGGTTATTCCGCCTCGAAATCAGTGCCTCTTCAAATTCATACGACAGCTGCAATCGATCGATCCAGAGTCGTGGAATAGAGGGATTGGCAAGTTCTTTTCAAAGCAGGAGGGACGTCTAGCTGAGCTTTTATGGGGCGATGAGGTCGACGGCCATGTCTCTTCTCCGGTGCGTATTTCAGCCTGGCTTGCTGAAATTGGTGAAGATGGTCTTCTCCAGGAGTACCTTGACCCCGAGTGGGATCCGACTGCCACAACAACAAGTGGACTATCCAAGATGGGGAAACTGGTGCATTTGGCCATAACCCTTGGCAATGAGGAGATGAAGAAGATTACTTTATCTATCGTGTACACCGTCTCCAACGAGCCAGGAGGGAGTGAATGTGAAAGTGGCAGCTCGATTGTAGAGCGCATCGCGTTCTGGCTTGCTGATATCGGGGAACATGACCTTCTTCAGGAGTACCTCAACCCGGCATGCGACTTGGCAAGAACGGCGCGTGGTTTTGTCATGATGCGGAAGCTATCCGAGCTGGCTACCAAGTATGGTAATGAAGATGTGAAGGAGTTTACCAGTTCGATGAGAATCCCCAGTTTGAAGCAGTCTAGGGCGGCTCCAAAAGACAAGAGCATAGATGGTCAATAGGATAGTTATCTGAGAGTATGTGGCGTTTTAACTTTGTCTACAAGCCTCACCAAGCTTGACTTTGGCTCATGGAATGTGGCTGGAGAACTCTATACCGGGCCGGCTTCTGTTGGTAATCACTTGTTGACTGGAAGATCCGATATCGGTTTGTTACATAATAGATCTATCTCGGGACTTCTTTTAAAGGGGGAGATCTCCATACCCCGCACGTGGAGGTGTCATTTGTGAGCCTGCTGTTGGGCCTTTCCTTTGGAGGGTATTCCGACACAGTACGGTCGCACCTCCAAAGGCATAGTCTCCTGAAAATTGTCTTGATGTTGCAGACCTCTCATCGCTATACCTTTGGAGGCTGGAAATCTCCATAAATCTGCAGCTGTTCATATTGCTTGGCCACTAAAGGAAGTTGTAGCCGGAAGGCGTGCAATCAAGACACAGCTCAGTCTTGGCATTTGCAACATAAATACTCCCTTGCTTGCATCCTGTCCGACGTTGACATCATCAACCTTTCAACCTTTGTCTCCCTGACTATTCATCTGTCAAACCCCTTGTCCAGCTTTCATTAATCTATCAATTGCTCTCATGATGCTAGCCGTTCACCCTTTTGATCCCCTCAGCCCTGAGGAAATCTCCAAGGTGAGCCTCGTCCCAGTCAAAAACCCCATATGATAACTTACTCGTGAGTGGTTGCTCCATATAGGCTGCTGACATTGTTCGACCTCACTTTGCGGGGCAAGAGATCAACTTCCGCGTCATTACCCTACGCGAGCCCCCCAAGGCTGAAATGATACCCTTCCTGGATCAAGAACATCATGGCCATTCTCCAGGTCAGCCTCCTACACGATGTGCCCGTGTCGAAGTGGTGTTGGAAAACAAGAGCGGAAACCACCAGCTCTTCGAGTTGGTCGTTGACCTCGACAACAACCGCGTCAGTGCGAAGCAGCATCATCCCGGGAAGCATTCCTATATCGACGCCGAGTATATGGGCAAGGTTGAGAAAGCTTGTCTGGCAAACGAGGAGGTCCAAAAAGAGATTCGCAGTCTTCAACTTCCTGAGGGTGCTACCGTGGTGGTGGAGCCATGGGCCTATGCCACTGATGGCAGGAACGACATGACCCAGCGCATTACCATGGTATGAGTTGGCGTACATCTGAATTAATGCACACAAGACTAACCATCTCTTAGTGCTGGTTCTATCTCCGCCTCGTGGAAAACCCTGATGCCAACTACTATGCATACCCTCTCGACTTGTGTGCTGAGGTCTCGGAGCAACTCAAGGTCACCAAAGTGTATCGACTACCAATTACTCCCAACGAACGAATCCACAACGAGTCCCGTCCTTTTGATCGAAGGAGAATTCACCCTCAGTCTGCCAGCGAATATCACCCTGATTTGCGACCCAGCCCCCGCACCACCACCAAGCCTTATCAGGTGGTGCAGCCTGATGGCCCCTCCTTTGAGATCCGTGGAAATCAACTTACTTGGGAGAAGTGGCATCTCCGAGTTGGTTTCAACTACCGCGAAGGTTTAACGCTCCACGATATCCGCTACGATGGACGTAGTCTTTTCTACCGGCTGTCTTTGGCCGAAATGTTTGTCCCATACGGTGACCCTAGGTCTCCTTACCCTCGCAAGGCCGCATTTGATCTCGGAAATGACGGCGCTGGCCTCAATGCCAACAACCTAAAGCTCGGATGCGACTGTCTCGGTACCATCAAGTACTTCGATGGTTATCACAACACAAGCGAGGGTACGCCTACCAAGTTGCCCAACGTCATCTGCTGCCATGAGCAGGATGATGGTATTCTGTGGAAACACACCAACTTTAGAACTGGCAACGCCGTCGTCACGCGTTCCCGCATCCTAGTGCTGCAAACCATCATCACAGTTAGCAACTACGAGTACATCTTTGCTTTCCACTTCTGTCAGGATACTTCCATCTTCTACGAGGTTCGAGCGACTGGAATTCTATCCACCGCGCCCACAGACGTTGGGTTTAAGGAGAACACCCCTTATGGCACAGTTGTTGCGCCAGGAGTGCTAGCCCCCTATCATCAGCACCTCTTCAGCTTGCGCATAGACCCAGCCATTGATGGACACTCCAACTCACTTTCTATTGAAGAGTCCAAGGCCTTGCCATATGGAGATTCCCCTGTGCATAACCCTTTTGGTGTCGGTTACGTGACAGAACAGAAGATCGTTGAGCGAGAGGGTGGCTTCGATCTCGACCATACCAAGGCCCGAACCTTCAAGTTCATCAATGAGAACAAGGTCAACCCTATCACAAACACTCCAGTCGGCTTCAAGCTTTTGCCAGCTTATAGCCAGATGCTGCTATCTCACCCCGACTCATTCCACGCCAAGCGTTCTGAGTTTGGCAAGCATGCCGTCTGGATCACTCGCTACGAAGACGACGACCATTTCCCTTCTGGTAAACATACGATGCAGTCGCCGGGCGGCGATGGGATCGCCTCCAAGATCCTCAAACGCAATACGGAGGGGACGGCTCATTCTGTGAGGAATAGCGACATTGTCATCTGGCACACCTTTGGCTCGACTCACAACCCGCGTATTGAAGACTGGCCGGTCATGCCAAGCGAGAAGATGATGGTTGGGCTCAAGCCAGTCAATTTCTTCTCAGGTAACCCTAGTATAGACGTTGCCGTCTCAACACAGGAGAAGAACAAGAGTGTCCTGTACACCGGGGATGAACAAACCCAAGGTGTCTGCTGTAGATCCAAGATTTAATCAGCTACTAGACACGGATTGGAGACACTTTAGAATTTAAAGACCTGAGGCTATAATCTCGCTTTGCTTCCTGGTCGGCGATGACAGTCACGGGTCAAGAAAGTGGTATCAATGGTAGAAACTGGTCATTCTGCCCCTCCATCAGGCCTTAGAGGAAGGTTATCCAACCTGTTGGGTGATTTTCCAACAGTCAAGCACAGGCTCCATCAGCATAGATCCAAGTGACTCCTACATGTTCCGAGTTGCCAGTATCTGGAAGGTTGTCACAATCAATAGTATTTACCTCCTTATTTTGCCAACTCGGATCTTATGTATAGCTTTGGCCAATAGCCGTCAAGTGTCACATATGGTGACGCCAAATCAGAGGACGCAAGTGGTAGTGGCTGAGCAGCAACCATGATCTGCAAGGCATCCCACCTCAGTAATCACTGCGTGGCTGTGCAAGGTGTTTTGGTACGAAGGCAGCAACCACCAAGATCCATCACAACTTGTTACGACGCGATTATCTTCTTTCACGAATGTAAAGTGTCAACTCGCTTTCGCTTTTCCCCTCTAAATTTGTTTCAATTTCTTCCCTTCTCTTGGTGGCCGAAATCAGGCTCTAGCTACCCATCGCCATGTCTACAGACCTCGTCCTCAGCCGAGGTTGCCGCCACAACGATTGGTGGTCTATGCCCCAGACCTCTGTTGAATTCTGCAGAAGCTGTGGATTCTCCCTCATCTATGCTGCCAGCCGCCCGTCTAAAGATGTCTACGCTGAAGTTCAGGTCCAACCTCGTCCGCAAGACACGTTCGATCCGGCGCGGATCACACCACCTGGTGCCCGCAGCTACCAGTACCAGCCTCTTGACCTCACTAATGGGCGCCAGATTCGTGTTCTTGTGCTCAAGGCAGGAAAGCTTGAAGATCCTCTCCAGTGTGAACTGGAACATGTCAACCTACAGCAGGGGCCCATCTACGAGGCACTTTCTTACACCTGGGCCGACGATAAAGGCGATGACTCAATCAGCAGAGCGATACAATGCGGCAGTGAAAGCCAGTCCATTGGTATCACCAACAACTGCGAGCTGGCTCTCTTGCGCCTCCGCAAACACGATGTGGATCGCCGACTCTGGGTTGACGCCGTGTGCATTGATCAATCCAACATACTGGAGCGGAACCACCAAGTCAAGAATATGATTGCCATTTTCCGAAGCGCAATTCGTGTTGTGGTCTTCTTGGGTGAAGGAAATCCTATCCTTGACCGACTGGTAGACTACATGAGCAATGACACTGGCGGCCAGTTACCACAGGTCACGGACTTTATTTCTTTGTTTCGAAGCCGGTGGTTTCATCGAGTCTGGGTGCTGCAGGAGGTTGCCGTGGCCAAGAGCATCTTGGTCATGTATGGAATGAAGCAGATGAGCTGGGTGGACCTTATTAAGCATGGAAACCTCTTCTTACGACTGATGGCCGCTCGCAATCTCTCGTTGGTGCTACCTCCAGTCATTTCTTACGGCCTACGACAGACGGAGGCCGGAGACCGCCGATTGGAAGGAGTATGTTCCCCCTGGAACTCGCCACTGTTGACCAAAGCTGACCAATTCTAGCGTTCGGATCTCTTGTCGTTATTGCAGGTGTCTCGGAATTGTGCCTGCAAGGATGCTCGAGACAAAGTGTATTCCATCTTGGGACTCCTTCAAGAGGAGTCAGTGCTATCACTACAGGCGGATTACTCACCTTCAACCACACCTGGCTGGATATTTCTGCAAGCCGCTGCCTGGCACGTCGATACTACCAAGACTTTGGAAATTCTCTCGCAAGTGGACGGGACCTCGGCATTATACATGCCATCCTGGGTTCCGGACTGGACGAGGAAATCCCCCACCGCTTTACCAGCACAGTTCAAAAAGCTGCGGGAGTTCTCTGCCCCTCGGATAGCGGTTCCGGACGGCCAAACCATACGTTCAACTGCCAGGCTAGGTTACCCCCTGGAGTCTATTCTCGAAGTGACTGGATGGCGGTATGGTACCGTCTGGACAGACAGAAAGATCTTTGGCCAAGCTCTGGTTCCCTCAGGCGGCACCAACGGATCTATCTACAACCAAACATCGGACCTGTATGCTCAATCGTCTTCAACAATGGGCAATATTCACTGGCTTCTTAATCCGTCCCAGAATCCCGGAACTCAACACTGCGACGAAAGGGTAGATTTCTGGAGTCGGATCCTTTCATTGTACCATGGTGCCACTCCTTCTGGTGATTTCAATCCCAGTGACACGACCTTCCCGGCAGATATCCCACCAGCGTTTGGCGGATTCTGCTTGAACTGTTTTCAGATGGACCAGATGCACTGGCAAAGAATCAAGGCGGCCACAAAGCTGAATATCGCACAGACAGCGGAGCAGGCGACCAATCAGGTTATGAAAAACTGGACAACATCCAGCTGGATTACCGAGCAGGAAATTAGTCCCATTATCAAGAGTACGGTCGAACAGGTCATCCAGCGGGCGACTAAGGAGGCTATTGAGAGGCAGATCAAACAGGTCACTATCTTGCATGAAAGGATGGGCATCATTTGGTCTATCAATGAGCCCATCGAGCAGGCTACCGAGCAGGCCATGAATATTGTCCGCCAGGCTGCACCCCGCTGGGCTATCGAGCAGGCTAGTAACCAGCATATTCACGCTATCCATGAGGCCGTCAATCGGACTATCAAACTGGCCAACAAAAAGGTAACATGCCGCTGCATGTCTCAATCACCATCTCCAGGGCACTTTGACAAGGATGAGCTTGAGCAATTCATCACCAGCATGAGTCAGTATGGCATGAGCCGTAGAATATTCGGCACGGATCACTCGCTCGGGCTCGGTCCTATGGAACTTGAAGATTGGGATGAAGTATGGACCCTGGAAGGAGCTACAGTTCCATTTATACTCCGCCCTGTTGGCGACCACTACAAACTCGTCGGCGCATGCTACATTCACGGAGCAAGTAAGACTACTTATCGCTGCTCTGTTTGCTCTTACGAGACTGTCCGGGACCAAATTACGCTGCACGAAACCACGCAACCAGCGACGGGAGCAATTATATCTGAAGGATTTCCCATAGGGCCCGATGGTGTTTTCCAGTCAGCCGTCCTAGACCCGTTATCAGGGGCATTCGAGGAGAGAAGAGAACTGCCTTTTGCATCAACCCTCTCAGGCTCTCTAGCAAAGATTAAAATCCAGTGACACTAGTCTAGAGCGTTGCCAACTACATCAAGTATGCACCGAGTCAGTGCTAACATAAAGCTTCGGGCAAATTGTATGCTTTCCAAACGTCATCTTTTTTACTCCAGGACCTGACTCATTACTTTCGCTGTGCCTTGACACGTCAATGATCGATTGACGTGTCAAGCGAGTGTGTTGTAACTACCAAGTAGCGCCCTTGGCAAGCAAATATGCGAACCATTGGACTCTCCCCGAGCGGGTCATGCAAAAAGAGCCAGTTTCGGCTTGTGAAGAGGTAACATGACAGCTAAACCCCAGCGATTGACCTGTCAGAGGCTGAGCGAACCCCGCAAGCACTGGGCGGTGAGGCTCTCCGGCGGAGTTTTCGGGCAGCCAAGCAGTCCTGATACCTCGGCTTTTTACCTTGATCTGTGTACCCTGTTCATATGAGTCATCTTTAAAACTATCAATCACATTGGGCTCTGATTTGGCTCCGAAATAGGTACCATAACCTTGCTATTTCACTTGCAGTTACCAACATCTTTGGCGCCTCTATCTTGTGCGTATTCATTCTCAACTCTGTCTTTTGTCTCTCATTAATTCGCTTCTGAACATTTTTTTTGTCTTGTCTTCACACAAGACAATTATCATTATCACCAACCCCAACTAAATGAATCTTCCTGGAAGCCTCGTTCACCGCCATATGCTCCAAATCGTCGAGTCCGCCACCACATACGTCCCGGTTCCTTGGATCAGAGAACAACTTCTCCGACGAAAAGGTCTCCAGCTTCACCAGGTAGCTGGAATCTTCCACCATCAATCTATCCTCAACTCCTTCGCCATCGCCGAGACTCTCGTGGAGCAAGACCGATTCGATGAGGCAGAGGAAATCCTGCAAATCATCATTCGGGGCCTACGAGCCGTCAAACAGCTAGAATCGGTGCACGACAAAGCAATAGAGCTTCTTGGCTCTATCTACAAGACATGGTACCACCGACTGTTTCTGGACGACGATGTTTTGCTTCCCGACAATGTTGATGTCGAAGCAACAAAAATACTGGAATCGTTTATTTCTCTCCACCTCGACCTCTCAGATATGCCATCAGCGTCATGTCTGGACAATCTTGGCAGGGTTCTGGCTTGGGCGGGCCTGGACAAGGATGCCGAACAAGCCATGACCTTCAAGATGCTGCTTCTCAGAATGAAGAGCGAAAGCGGGACTCGAGAGTCATTCGGATGCTGCGATATCTGCGACCAGAACATACCCTTGGAAGTGGCGTACTTCTGCCGCATGTGCGAGAGCATGAATGTGTGCCAACGCTGCTACGAGGCGAACCTTGGAAATGCGGCCTGCAACTTGGCCAGTTGCTTTCCTCATCTCATCAAAGTGGCGCCTGAACCAACCACCGAAAACATTGCCGGGCAGATACAAGCCTGGCTTCCCCCTGTCTTGGATACTATCCGTTCTTGGAACTTGGAAACAGGAACCGAGAAGGAAATGATGTCTCCAAAGCGACTCTTCTCGCCCGACGACTTGCAGACAGCAGTACGGTTGTGCGACGATGTCGATGCGGACGACCGTGATTTCATCAGTCTGCTTTCGGTTCTTCACGCGGTCTTGATGCAGAGCGTCCAGACTGATGAGTTCAAGACGCTCTTCCAGGCTCAGGAAGGTCCGAATGTGCTGTCCACCATCGGCTTGCTAGCCATGGTTAGCAACACGAGATCTGGACTTACTCTGAAGTATCAGGATGCATTTTGCGGCGATGGTAAGTCGTGGCCCTGCTTCTACGCCCATGTCGGGAGTTCATGTTAGTTCAATGCTGATGCATATCCCGCAGGCTTTGACGAGTGGGATGTTCCCAGTCTACTCCCCGCAGAAGCCGAAAATCTCGACTTGGAAGATAGCGAGATGGCAGACGAATACGGGCAGGCTCTCGCTCAAGTGGCTTCCCGTGTGATTCGGCTGGCACGCCCGAGAGACAGGGGATCGCTCAAGCCATCCAAGGAGATCCAACACGGTAACTCGGTCGCCGAGAAAGGAAACGCCCTACAAAAGAAGCGTGTTGTTCCGCAAGAACTGTACGGCACTTTGGACCTCCACTCAAATCCCAATGCGATCCGTCTCGTGGAACTGCTTCCTGGGACGGGCAAGGATCCTATTCGGTGCAATTTGCGCATCGAGTCCCGAACCGATGAACAACTCTCGTACCAGGCGCTGTCATACGTCTGGGGCAATCCAAAACCAGAGGAGCTGGTCAACATCGAAATCGGTGGTCAGCCGGCACCCGTCACGCCCAACCTTTACTCTGCGCTCTCATATCTACGTCTCGCGTCGGCCTCAAGGCTCCTCTGGATTGACGCTCTAGGCATCAACCAAGCAAATACCGAGGAGCGGAATTTGCAGGTCGCCAAGATGGCCACGATCTACCAGAGAGCATCTGCTGTTCTGATATTTCTCGGCGAGGAGGAGAGCAGCAAGAAACGCAGCGAGAATCTATCCTATGCGGACTTGTTTACATTCCTCAACAGAGAGGTGGACATTTATGGCATCCACGAAGATGATGATTGCGACAAAAAGGAACAAGAACAGCAACGGTTCAGACGGGCGCTCCAGGAGACGGGCGTTCGGAAGGTTTCCTTGCTCCGGACCTTCTATCATCTTTGTTCCAGAGAGTGGTGGAATCGTCTATGGATCTTGCAGGAGTACGCCATCGCTTCGACAGATCCCATCTTCATGCTCGGAACCTGGCAAACAAGTGGAAGTGCTCTGCTGAGAGACATGGACATGCTCGCAAACGAGCATCGGAGAGCGTTCAGACAGGAAGAAACAAGGATCCTGTTGTACAACTCTACGCCTTACTATCCCATGACGCAGGCGTCGGGTGTGCTCAATTGCCGTCCAGCCAGGACTGACGGATTTGAGTACAAGTCTTGGTTGTATCCGCTACTCATCTCGACCCATTCTTGGTGCATGGACCGTCGAGATATCATTTATGGACGCCACGCTCTGATGCATCCTGTGTTACAACAACTCCTTCGGCCGGACTACAGCCTCACCACAGAGGAGCTTTACGAAAAGGTGGCTATTTGGCTTCTCATGTTTGAGAGAGGTATCAGCATGTTTTGGGACTTCCCGGTGCGTCTGTCGCCAGACCTACCGTCGTGGGTTCCCGACTTCTCCAAGCCACGGCAAATGTCCGACGTGGACATGAAGTGGGAAGTCTACGAAGAGAAACTCTGTTTCGATCCCTATCCGACCATCTACAATGGGGAAATGGCCCTCTACGGTCGTCCTATCGACACTATCAGGGAGGTTTTCCGGTTACGCCCACAATCAGAAGACTTCAGGGCCGATCTTGTTCGAAGGCTATGGTTCTTGGACCTTGGTCTATCAACTCTCGGCACTCGCTATCCGCTGTGGCAGAGACACTCCTTGTCCGCCAAGCTCCCCGGGCTGTACACTGAGCAGCCTTTACACGCATGGTGTACGAGTGCGGAGTCCAGCCGGGACACCAGCTCCTCGACATTCCTCCTCGACAATGTAACCATGAAAATGTTGGAAGAGGTCATCCACAGTATTGTCAGCCCTGTGAAGGAAAAGGTGGACAGAGAGAAGGCCATTGCAGACTGTATGGCGCCCATCATGGGAAAGACAGGCAAGACACCACCCGCCTTTGAGAGGGCTCGTGAAAGCCTCAAACGGCTCTCTCTGAAGCTGGGATCCATCAAGGGGTTTCTTTTGAACACGGATACTACTCGTCCTGACTTTCTCGGGGCGACATTCTTCGACTTTGACCGGTTAGCCGACAGCCTGCAGTGTCTACGCACGCCATCGTTGGACGAGCCGACTGGCATCAATGCCCCTCAGCGCAGGTTTGTCAATGCCATACTGAAGAGAGTACGAGGAGGCACACAGAGTGGTAGTATCATGTACCGCGATGGGAAGATGAAGGGCAACCAAAGCAATGACCCGGTCACTCCCTTCCCGGGACTTCCTCTGCCCAACTATGGGGCCATTCAAAGCTGGGTTGAGAATGACACTGCATTCACGGAAGAAGTGGAGCTCATTTCTACCTTACTCCTTCAAATTGCACAAAGGGTCAAGGAGAATGACTCCGACGTCTTTCAAGACACATTCAATGAGTTGGAACAAGTCACGATACTGGATTTCCTTGAGGACAAGAAGCTGAAGGAATGGGTCGTCACCTTTAACAAACTCCGGCAACAGTACTCGAGTCGTTCCAGCATTCGGAGGAGTGTGGTTCGCTCTGAAGGAGCCCGGTTGTTTGAAGATCGGGCATTTTTCATCACAAATTCAGGCTTGGTCGGCGTGTCAGGGAATGGCACTGAGGGTGTTGCCGTCGGCGATGAGGTCATCATGTTGGACGCTGCACCCATGCCCATGGTTCTTCGAGGTGGCAAGGGCAGTGGCAAAGCACAACACGAGATTGTGGGATACGCGCATGTGCGGGGACTGGAGCCATCGAGGGTTCTGGATCTGCCTGAGCAGTGGTGGCCAGAGCTGCGGTTATTCAAGATTGTGTAGACATTACGACTGAGTGCAGAGCTGAAAGCTCTTCAAGCTAGTGGGCACCTGCAGAATCAAGGTGCTGCATGTTACAAAGAAGACAAGAGCCAAGAATTTCGCAAGACAAGCCCTGGGTTAACACAGTAGTGAATGCTATGTAGAAACCGTAAATCTAACTCCTATCATCTGCTTCACCACAGCTTGGGCGTAACCGTAACTCGGTCTTCTAGCTCAGTCAACTCATCAAGGGCCGAGCTTTACCTATAATGAAGAACAGATTGTAGCCATAACCCAAAATCATACCATGAAATTAAAAGAGCTTAATAGGTTCAAACGAAACTGTCATGTAAAACACCCCGTGCGGTGACCACTGCCACTGTTGTTCAGTTAATTGGGGGCGCGTGATTTTGACCACCTTTATTTCGATGCTCCCCGACAGCTATTTGGCGCTTTCTGTCTACCTCGCCAGTCTAACGAAACTGATCCGCGAGAAATCTAACAGCCTTGACACGAAATCAGCGGTCAAGAAAACGGCGTTATCCTTTGGGCAGTTCAAGAGCTTGTGGGGCTATCCCAGCCAAATGTTGGCAAATGAAACTAACAACTGTTAAGGGATACTTAATTTGTGGCGGATTTTCTGCATGACTGCTTGTCTTCCTCATCTCATACGAACTACCTCCCTGTACTCACTGGTTAGGGTTAGATCTCCCCGCTCATTGCTACCTTGTTTCCACATTCCATCGTCGAGATGGCAAGTTCCCACTCTGAATTCTTCTTTCAACTTATTCTTTACAAGACCTGCGGTAGGCAACATGGCAAGCGCTTCGAATGACGCGAGCAGATTCAAAGGTCCAGTCGGCCCCCTACGCCATCGCTGCCCGCAATGCACAGCGACAGGCCCTGAACTCCTCCGATGCAGTGCCTGTCGTGGGGTCCGATACTGTAGCCGCGAACACCAGGCTGCCGACCGTTCTCAGCACAAATCTGCCTGTAACAAGATAAAGAAAGCACGTGTTAATGTTTCCAGAGAAGAAGACCTGGTCCGTAACGGCACAGGCTTCTTGGAGCCTGCCAACGCCTTTGAGACGCATGTCGGTCGCTTCTATGGCCTCATGAACACCCGCGATTACATGAGCCATCGATTATTTTTGGCCAATCGTCTATGTGAGCTTAGCACGCTTGACGGTGTTCACGAAGCCCTTGAACATATGCGGGATATGCTGAGACTGAACCGGAGCGATAACATAGGACTGCGAGATCTTGTGCCGGCCATGATGCTGCGACTGGATCTCGATCAGGAGTGCTATGATTTTGTCAAGTGGTGGGCGACGTGTGATTCACATGAGGATTACGATTGGGAAGACATGACTCTACCTCATCTCGATATTCACGGGGCCGATGTCTTCGAGTATCCGGATTTCTTAGAGCGGCATCCGGCATTGAACCACATTATCGCCATCCTACTACTGAAATTAAAGCTGCTCGTTGATATTCGCAACCTCAAGATGACGCGAAAGATCCTTGCATTGCGCCGCGTTCCACACGACCTCTGGCAGTCAATCGAGCTATCGGTGATCCGGAGCCCGCTCTCGCTCAAGCTCCAAAGGGACTCCCCTGAAGCGCTCATCCAGACAGAGGCGAATCTCCTGTTCCAGACTCGCCAGCGAGGCTATATTCTCCCCGAAGCCAACTACAGTTTCATGTACTACTTCTTCGACCCGGACGAAGCACTCTGTGCCAGACCAGAGGGATACTCCAGGGGCAGTTGGGAAGAAATGGCCCTTGCGATGCAGTACTCATACGCCGCATGGTGGGAGACGGAAGGCATCATGGACCTGTTGAACGAAGCACGAGCGTGTGCGGCGCGATCCTCTGGGCGCGATGTTGAGACCATGGTGGCCCGAAGTTCGGACAGCCGGGAGGCGGAAGAGTTGTTAGCGGATCTGAACGTGAAACAGATTTGGCATCACCTTGATGAGGCATTCAAGAACGCCTCGTATCTGGGTCCCTGGTCTGAGCGGCCGTCTGAGCGGCATATACGTCAGAGGGAGGAAGTTTGGGCGCGATATATGCCAGAGAACATAACCTTTATCGCTGGATGAGCGGGTGGACGGTGGTGATAGAGATTAGGCAGCGTTTTCTTGATTGGATAAGGGGGTTGAGACGATAAATTGCACTCTTTGTTCTGCTCTGTCTCCTTCATTTATCACTAGTCCAAAGATTTTTCCTGGGGCAGCTTCTCCTTAGGTAAGTTAATAGTATTTGTGAACGCCAACGAATTTGGAAGTCAAGATGCCGCCAACAGTCCCATCCTTGGACGAGGGGGGTGGAATGTTCCTAGCATGTTGCAGTTATACTACCCCCCGACCTGACTTTTCTTGTTAGGGGAAGAGGAGCCTACGCTGTTAGTAGGAAAGCTCAGATTCGTTCAAGTATGCTGGTTGATCCCATTTGGAGTCCATAAATTAGAAGTCTCCATCCTCATCAGATGCTGGATCTGCTGGAGTTAGGCTCAGAAGACAATAGATGCTGTCAGGCCACAGCCTTTCCATTTTCCCTGACACATCGCCCAGAGTACCCAGGTCAATAACCTCCTTCCATTCATTTCCCAAAGTCCACTCATGTGCATCATTCTTTGGTCGTTTCAATTCGCTTATAAGCGTTTCATTTTGTTCAGCGCGTTGAAGGACGCAACTACTGCGGTCATCGTCAAAAATGATTTTGAGATGGAATGGAGAACTATCGGGGCTCTCATATGTCACAAGAGCCAATTTCTTTTCTCCAGGTGCCCAAGGACCGAAATATATCGTTGATTCATCGACGCTTGAGAAAATCGCATGTGGGTGTAGTTCCCTAGGGTGATACCCAGCCTCGGTCAATTCTTTCGCCACGAATAGGGTATATTGGCGCCGGTTTCTCTCCATTTCGGTCGAGGGGTTTCTGGAAAGATATAACTGTCTCGTTGTCGCTCCAACAAGCGCGGTAGGGAGCATAAAGACGGGCATGCTGCAGGGGTCTCACACAAGGATATCGTCATCCTCGCCAGCGTCACCTGCCGGGTATAGCGGTATAGACATGACTAACTCGGTCCTAGATTTTCTTGTGGCATTGAAAAAGGCATATTGAGCACCATTTTGGACCGTCAAGACAGGAATCTGGATCTGAACCCCAAGATTTGTCACCGTGTAATGAGACTTGCGCCCAGCCTTTACAGGCACGATCTCGCCGCCCCCAGAAAAGTCCAAGGGAGAGGTAGCAAAAACCCCCCCATGGGTCGGTCCCCTGGCGAAGCCCCAAGAGAAGATGGTGTGGTCATAAGTCCGACTGATAATTTCCTCCTGTAGCCGAATAAACGCACGCTTGCCCCCTTCGCCATACAGAAGAGGCATGTTGATACTAAAGATACCGAGCAAGGAGTATGCCATGTCCTCGGAGCGCGTAGTCTCACGCTCAGCGGCCCAGGACATCTTCTCAGACACGCTGATGCTATCCATATCCACCTCATGCCGGAGGGCAGCGACAGATATGTTGGTAATGTTTGAGAGCTTTTGAGACAAGTCATCATCGGGACCTGGCCTCTTTCGAATGACAGGTGGCTCGAAGCCTTTGGGTTGCGTCTTCTTGGCGTACTTCTGCCCAATGCTTATCCACGAAGAGTCAAAGAACTTGATGCATCCAGGTGCCAAGAGTTCCTGCAGAGTCCATCCCCGCTTAAACTAGCGGCTCTCACTGAAAGCATCGTCATCGCTAACCGGATGGACGTCGCTGAGGTAGGCGTAACAGATGGCGGAGTCACCATACCACTTGTACATGGAGTTGATGGCTTCGGATAGCTCAGCGCTGCTGGCCTTGTCGATGCAAAATGTGTCGACCCACACATATGTAAGATCGTCCTGGAGGGCTTGCCTGCAACAGCCTACTGTCTTTTCGAGCCTGGGGTCGTCCCGGGAGAGAGTTGGGAACTCTTGAAAGGTGACTTCATTCTCAATCCATGTGTGCGAGAGGATCGCATAAGGGGGAATGTCATTATCGTAGAATTGTTCCAATTGGAAGGTTTTAGCATTGAGTAGCCTCATGGCTAACACGGGGCTGGTAACTTGTCATAACAAGGTGTCATCTTGGTGGAGAAAAGTCGCTACAAACCGGAGTTGACAAGATAGCCAAATTTCAAGACCGTGCCCAGAAGTCACGTGCTTTGTTGTCTCTTTTCTCAATATCACGAGATCGCTCTCAAGCTTCGTACAGTTGCATTATTCTTGAGCCGGGCTGCTGTCTTGGCTTCCCGTGACGGATTTGGCGATAAGGACGTCAATTTGGTCGTTTCAGACGATGACTTGTTCAAGGGCACTTGGCGAAGCCCCAAATTGTACTCCATGAAGGATTGTCTTCGACCAACTCCGCCATGCATGCCCGATTGATCAGGGCCGCGAAGAATGTGACTTGAAATACCTCCCAGTTACTACCAGAGGCCTCAAATACTTAGAGATAGTCATTTTACCTTATTAATCTCGAAGAGGGACATAAGACCTTCATCTTATTGCCGTTTGCTTCATCAGCCAGTTCTTAATTGAACTCTACCCTATATATTTATCTTATCAATCAATGTGGCTTTCGCCCACTGAGCCACATTTAAAGCACAGGCTTAGTACAGCGCGAAAAGAACGCGACACGACGTCGCGTCGCGGTCTTGGACTGGGCTTATCTCGCGACGCAGCCAATGTAACGCGTCTGAATGAGCTAACAAACCTTAATGTGACCCCAACCTCACTTAAATGATGCAGTGTACATTGTACTTACACTCCAAAGAAACCGCTGCAAAAGTCGAGTCAATAAGGAGTTGAAAAGATAAAAATGCCACGAGAGAGAAAAGCGCTGAACAATATGTTGGGCATGTCATTTCTTGGCAACTCAGAAAGGGATTATTATTTCCTTCCCAAAGCGTCCAAGACTGAAGTAAGTGTCATTCTCAAAGCTAGGGACTTGTCGCTGCACGCCAGCCTTCGCAGTATGCCGTTTGACGTCAGTTGCACTCAACGAATGTCACCTTTGCTTAGGTATACTATTGACACGAAACGTCTGCTTCGCGTCTTATTTACAAGGCCCAGCCCGTAACTTTCCTTGTCGTTTTCTGTCCCATATCTTGTGACTGTTTACTGCTCTCCTTTTCCTCAACCCTACGTTAGGCTGCTGGCACAAAACGCATCGCATTCCCGTCGCGGCGTTTTGTCTAGTATAACTCTCCCACCCTTTGGGCCGTCACCCGGCAACGCACCATGTTCTACTCTGAGTCCCTGCTCCAGAAGAGCGGGCCACTCGCTCGCATCTGGCTTTCTGCCAACCTCCAGCGCAAGCTCTCAAAGAAGCATGTGCTCCAGTCGAATATCGCCGATAGTATAGCTCTCATGATCACACCGAGCCAGGCACCCATGGCTCTCCGGCTGAGCAGCCAGCTACTACTCGGGGCTGTTCGGATTTACCAACGCAAGGCACGATACTTGCTGGATGATTGTGATGATACTTGGATAATGATGCAGATGGTATCTAAGATCCCTTCTTCCGTCTTATGACATGTGCTGACGTCCCCAGACGTTCCGACCAAGCATAGACCATGATCTGCCTATCAGTCTTCAACATCCCGACCCCGAAACACTCACACTTCCTAATGAGATCATACCTTACAATGGTTTTGAACTCGCCCCTCCCCCAGACGCAAACTGGCTCCTGTCTCAGATAGGAGACGTGGGCATTGTCCCAATCAGCCCCAAGCGCCGAGTCACACTACGTGACATCACCTTACCAGAGATTTTGACCCCGAGCCAATATACTGGGATGTATGAAGAAGCTGTGGTGCCTACGGAAGGTGTAGACCTTGAGCTTGACTTCGGTATTGAGATTGGTCGAGAAGCGCCAGCTCCTCGCCCGTTTGAGGAGGAAATGGTCAGCGAACTGGAACCAAGGCCAGCTGAGAAGGAGGGCCCTGAGATTGAGCCGCCCTTCGAAATAGAACCGGGCGAACTGGCATTCGGGGGCGAAGAGTTTGAGTTCCATCCAGCCGACATCACTGCCCCTCCACTTCCCGAATCACCGTTGTCCGAGATCAGCGAAGAGATCGTTCAGCAGATCGAGGAGGAAATTCCTGAGCTTCGCCCATCTGAACCCCGTGAACCTGAGGAGGAGCGCCCACTACTGCGGCGGCCTGAACAACGTATCAGAAGGCGGAGGATTTTGGCGCCAGATGAGGAGATTACCCTTTCGAGCCGCCAAATTCAGGACCAGCAGACGAATCACGAGGTAATCACCAGACCCACGAGATTCTATCCCCGAGACCCGCTCCTAGGCGCCTTGATGGGCATGCAGGCATCCGGTGGTTTCGTCTCTTCTATTATGATGGAAGGACGAAGTGCTGCATGGGCCCCTGAGCTTCGAGGAGTCCTTTCCTTTGATGCCGTTCAAGAAGCGAGACAACTGGCACGGAAGCGTCCGGCTAGGGAAGTTGAAGTCGAAGTCGAACCAGAGCAAAGAGTCTCCAAGTCACCACGACTGGAAATTGCTGAGGAGCCAGCATTTGAGTTTGGAGAGGAGGGTGTTGCGGAGCCAAGCATTGTCGGCGGAGAAACCATGATGGAGATTCCCGCCTTTGAAGCCAGTCCCCCTTCTCCCAGCATCCCTGCTGAGCGGCTTCCAATCCCGATAACCACCGAACATGCCGTCTACACTTTGCGAGATCAGTTTGGCGCTGAGGCTGCCACCAGTTCCGAGGTTCGGGAGAGTAGGTCTGTCATTTTCCAAGATTTCGTCCCTGAGCAAGAAACAACCAAGGCCGAGGCAACCAAAATGTTTTTCGAGTGTCTTGTGCTTGCTACGAAGGGCGCAATTAAGCTTGAACAGGGGCTAGGGCTGGGGGATCCTATCCAGGTATGGGCGAAGGAGAGCCTTTGGGGCGACTTTGCGGAGAGGGCTACGGGTGGCGGAATGGTATAATAGCAGATCATGCTATAGAGTTGTAATTTTGACTTTGCTGAAATGTCCGAAAGGGGCCATCACTATCAGTCACTATATAAGAATACAGCCATGAACAAATGGCTATCTCAAGATCCAAGAACGTCAAACACCGTGATTAACCCACTGCTACACCTCTTCATGCGGTAACCTCTTAAACTTCCTACAGCACTCAATCTGGAGACTGTGCCTCATCATACACGACAGAGAAGTCCACCATCCAGGTTATAGTCCCAATCATGGCTCCCAACACCTGAAAGAGCAAAAAAGCTGGAAGTGGGATTATCCTTCTCCTTGACCTGGAGTAACCGACCGTAGTTGCTAACATAGAAGTCCTGCTAAAAGTTTCCGGAAAATGGGTTGGCCTGGTTGATGTATGCACGCGTGTTTGGCGCCCACTCTCGCCAGACAGCCTCCTTGTTCTCCTCTGCCCACGCGGCGGCGGCGGCGAGGGCATTCTGGGGCGACAACGTGTTAGTGTCAATATCGACGCCGGCGGCCATGAGATGTAGGTAGGGAAGAGCGAAGTCGGGATAGAACCAGCTCCCCTGGACATGGTCGCAACTCACGGCCGAATTGTTGTTGAATCACGAAGATGCGACCAGGTTGGTCCTGATTAATGCCCCGTCTGTGGACCAGCCAGTTGAGGGCGTCCCACTCGTCAGAGACCCGTTAGCGTCGAGTGGATGATTCGTGCATCTCGGCTCTGCAAGGGCGACGCAGAGGAGGGTATTAGCAAGAAGAGTCTTGGTATATAGCATAATCAAGGAGAGCTAGATGAGAATAAGACCATAGAGTGAAGTTAAAACATTGAAAGTACGACGTAGGATTTCACCTTGACACTAATTAGTTTAACCCATGTGTGATGAATGTTATGCAGTGGAGTGCCCGAGGTCGCTCGTATACTCGTATTCACGAGTCAGTCCTTCGTACCGCATACGAACCACCCCTGGGCGTATGGTGACGCTGAGATTCGTAGATCAAATCTCCAATCTGTAAATCTGATTTGCTCAACAGAGCCACTCCGTGAGGTATGTAGGTATGTCAAGGCAGATTGCGAGGACCGCGGTTCAATCTGGCCTAGCAAGGAGGCAATGGAAGGGCAGCCTCGTCATGCTAGGTATCTGTCTTTTCTTTTAAAACTGCCACCACCCGATTACCCACCCTCCTGGCATCAAACCTCCTCTTTAGACATTCGCTCTTGCTGAACACCTATTACCAGACGATCGACTCGGTTGCTTGCGGCAGACGCACTAGGATCATGGACCTGCAAGATAACACCTATGGCTCAACCGTGAGCATGCCGCCGCCGTATAGCACGGCTGTTCGCGAGGACGCCATCGAAATGGAGCCCGCTATGAAAGGTTTGTTCCCAAATATGCAATCCGCAGGCGGACATCGAAGCCGGCTAACTGTGCTTGATCTTCAAAGACGATGGCCGTATCAACATCGACATGAACTCGCGAGCGATCAAATACCTCTCCCTACTTCCAAACTTGAAGCCGAAGCCCATAGACGAACCCGACGAAGCTCCCCCAGCCTACTACCCCCCTCAGCCGCACGACAGCGCCCGGGAGTCCTTCCCAGTAAAACTCAACATCGTCATTCAGGTTGTCGGCAGTCGCGGAGATGTCCAACCTTTCGTGGCGCTGGGGAATGAGCTGCAAGAACATGGACATCAGGTTCGGCTCGCGACACACGCGGTATTTGAGTCGTTTGTGCGCGATGCTGGCCTTGGTTTCTACTCAATTGGGGGCGATCCAGCCGAGCTGATGGCATACATGGTGCGGAATCCAGGGCTTATACCCAGTATGAAGAGTCTTCAGGCGGGTGATATACGGAGGAAACGGATCATGATGGCCAACATCCTACAGGGGTGTTGGCTATCTTGCATCAGTCCTGACCCGGTATCCGCGGTTCCCTTCGTGGCAGATGCTATCATTGCCAACCCACCCAGCTTTGCTCATGTTCACTGCGGTCAGGCACTTGGGGTGCCGGTCCACATAATGTTCACCATGCCCTGGACGAGTACGGCAGCATTCCCTCACCCGCTCGTCAATATCAAACTCGGCCAAGGATCCAGCTCTGAGCCTTCTATTGTCAACTATTTCTCCTACGGTGTGGTTGAATTTCTCACATGGCAAGGGTAAGCTGTTCCCCAAGAGATGTAGAGGCAAAAGCCTATCGGGAGCCAGGAGTGACTGACCTTTTCTACCAGACTTGGAGACGTCATCAACCAGTGGAGAGAGGGCATCGACCTGGAGCACATTGCCTTTTCAGAAGGACCGTGTCTAATTGAAAAGCTCAAAACACCTATTACGTACTGCTGGTCTCCAGCGCTTGTGCCAAAGCCTGCAGACTGGGGCTCCAATATAGGCACGTTCGCCGTCGGGTTTCTTACTGTTCCATCGCCAGCTCTGAGCTAACAACCCGCAGATGTATGCGGCTTCTTCTTTCGCGAGCCGCCGGACTACTCGCCAACCCCAGAGCTTCACGAGTTCCTGCAAGCCGGGCCACCACCCGTGTATATAGGCTTTGGCAGCATCGTGTTAGATGATCCGCAACGCATGTCTTGCATGATTCTCGAAGCCGTTCGAATCACAGGCGCCAGGGCCCTTATCTCGAGAGGCTGGAGCAAGTTGGATGGCCCTGACTCGAACAACGTCATGTTCCTGGGTGATTGTCCCCGTGAGTGGCTTTTCCCGCATGTAGCTGCTGTTGTACATCATGGAGGAGCTGGCACAACTGCTTGTGGCTTGTTGAATGGGCGGCCAACTACGATCGTACCATTTTTTGGCGAGTAAGTGTTTTTGGGTGTTCGACACATCGTCTTATTCTTACTGACAGTGATCTTTTGCGTCTCAGCCAACCATTTTGGGGAAACATGGTAGCAGCTGCCGGGGCAGGCCCTGAACCGATCCCCCAAAAGTCCTTGGCCGTTGACAATCTCGTCGAAGCCATCCGATTCTGTTTAACGCAGGAAGCTGCTGAATCTGCTGCCAAGATTGCAGGTAAGATGCGGTCCGAGATGGGCGTCAAGGCTGCTGTGGCATCCTTCCACAATCATCTTCCTCGAGACGAGCTCGAGTGCGATATCATCAAGGGCCAACCCGCTGTGTGGACCTGCTCCAAGAAGCACCGCCGGCTTAAGCTTTCCAAAACGGCGGGAGAGATTCTTTCGAGCCATCTCAAGGTTAATGCAGGAAGCTTAGTGATGTAGACTTTGACCCTTAACCCTCGAGTTTAGATTGTCAGTTTACCAATCCAGCTTCCAGGTACGAGAGCCGTCACACCGTCATAGAAGCACGTCGATGGGAACCAATCACCGGCACTATAGCAGCTGCCATAGGGGTTAGTGCCGACCTGGCCAAGTCGGCTGTTGACACCGTTGTCAAGCCCATGAAGACCTACCAGCAACGGAACGAACCAGACTCAGAGCATCACCTTGATCCTGCAGATGCAGCCACAGTGACGGCCCTTCAAAGCCTGGATGCGAGGAGAGCGAAGCACTCGAGAGGATGCCTCAGCACAGCCAAGTCTGTGTCCGCGGTGTCAGCACATAGTGTGTCAAGACTGCTAAAGCAACCTTTGAAGGGTTTCGTCATCATCCCATTCGCCTTCGCCGAAGGCTTCCGCAACGTTCCCCTCCTGTATGGCGAGGAGGTCCGAGACTATGGCGAGATCTGCGACTGGAAGTCAGGTATCACGTTTGGGGCTAAGGCCGTTGTGTTTGGCATGGTAGACGGCATTGCCGGTCTTTTCATTTTGCCCTACGAGGGTGCCAAGAAACAAGGCGTGCTTGGAGCTGCGAAAGGGGTTGGAAAAGGTGTTGCCGGCCTAAGCAGCAAGCTCTTCACTGGTATGCATGTCATTCCCAGTTTCCCGGCATGACGACTCTAACCAAGACAACTCGCAGCGACCGTCGGTTTAGGTACTTACCCCCTACAGGGAATTTACAAGAGCATACGGCGTCTCGCCAAATCCAAGACTCGCCAGACTATCCAAAGGGCTCGGTTGGCTGAAGGCAAGTACTTGGCAGACAAGGGTCGTGAAAGGGGCGTTAGTGACAAGGCCATCATGGACACATTTGATGCCATGACGGCGAGGGGACTTCGGACTTAGCATGGTGCAGAATTAGTTTCATTAATACAGAGATGTACTTTTTGGGCCCCTTAATCATCTATTCTCCTTCAAAAACTTCACTCTGTGGCCAAGCCATAACCTCGCACCAAAAAGGACCAATATGGCGCGCAATTAGTTCCACGAGTGTTGACCCGGCACCCCCAAGAAAGACCCAGAACTCCCGGTACCGATGGACAATGGCGGCATAGTAGCTCAAGACAGCCAAGGCTTCCGGGCGGTGCTGGTAAAGAGCGTCGACATAATCGTCTGGAACGAGGAGTGGCCAGGCCATGGTGGCATGGACGGCCAGGTCGAACCGCGTGGGCTCCAACCTGATCGTGTCCAGCACCCACTGAACCTGTTTCAGAGCGTCCAAGCACGCGTCTAGGGATAGTGATGATATGCCGGGGGTTGATTGCAGAAACTCTCGCATCCTGGCCGTGTCGGTTCCAGGTTCGAGCTGGTCGGCTCTGTCGGCCCAGTCGACGATGTACAGCAGAGGCTTCAACTCCGACTGAAGGATCAACCCCCAGTATTGGTTGGTGACGGCACGTACCCCACGATGAAGGCGGATATAAGCTACAAAGGCGCTGATAAAGGCGACCAGACTATGATGGTTGTTGGCGAGGGTGTTGCGGAGCACATGGACGCCGAGTAGAGTTGCAAAGACGAACGAGGTTAGGTGATTACTCTCAGAGATGTCAGCCTTGGTTTCGTTGAAGGCGGACAGGGCGCGCGTCTGCAGTTCCGTAGCCTGTTGGTGGTAAACTGAGGCCATAGCGGGATCGGATACTGCTCGATGGAGCGCCGAGAGGGCAAGTAATTGGTCGAGGAGATAGGGCGTTGTGAGGGCATTGTCGACGGCGAGCGTGATGATTGGCTTCATGTCGCACTGAAGCGCCATGAATTCAGCCAGGTTACATTCTGCATGGTGAAGGAAGGCTAGGTCCATGGCGGTAAAGGTCCCAGCCTCGGCTCGCGGCTGGGGGGTTTCTGAGACACGGGGCGTGGGCGTGGGCGAAGTCGGGGTCTCGGGTTTCTGATTCTGATACGAGCATGGGCGGTCGCCGAAAACGCACTTTGAGCATCTGGGACGGCCCTCGTCGCATTTGACGCGGCGTTGCTTGCATGTGACGCAGCCGTTTCTCGATTTACGGTGCGTGCGTCGAGTGTCCTGGCGCTGGCTCGATTGGTCTGACATTTTCGTATCCGAGCGGGGGGTATGTGGATGTGCACAATCTGGCCAAGAGAGATGGAAGAGCAATTGGGAATGCGAGCAATTTACGAGACGCCTGATGATGTGGGTTGAGCACGAGTCAGTCATGAGTACCCATGCCTCCTCAGGCGCTGATGTACGACTAACGCATGGCTTGACTCGTACCGAGTACGAGAGTGGGGTCCTTGTACTCTTGTATAGGCACAGTACACTAAACTAGTTCCACACATAGTTGTATGTCTAGCCAATACCCAACCCTTCACCAACGTAGATAAAGCGTCACATCTCGTCGACTATTTCCATGGATACAAACTTGTTGTATATATATATATAAGCCATCATATTTCTGCTCTCTATCTTGTTTCCTCAGTTTATATTCCTTACCCGTGATTTACTCCTTCGAGGGCCCGTCTTCCAACACACCATCGAAACCCGCTCGACATAGCGCCCAACCCTGTCAAACGCAATGGCTGAACTGAAACCTTACAGAGGAGATTACTATCTCTGGCTTTACATCCCTTCTACGCCTGCCGCAGCTTTGTTCACTGCTCTCTTCACCCTGGGAACGGCCTACATCGCGTGGCGCATGTTTAAGAGTCGCACTTGGTTCTGCACTGCGTTTGTTGTTGGTGGCCTTTGTATGTCAACTATTATTGCTCAAGCTGTCCCTATTAACTTGCTAACTTGAAGCTTGTCCAGTGGAAGTTGTTGGTTATGCTGCGAGGGCTGTAGCCAAGAACAAGACCGAACAACTCATGCCCTACGTCATTCAAAGTACCTTCATTCTCGTCGCCCCCGCCCTATTTGCTGCCACCATCTACATGATCTTGGGACGCCTCATCCGAGCCCTCGACGCCACGGCCCTGTCCATAGTCCCTGTGAGGTGGCTTACAAAGATCTTTGTTTGCGGTGATATAGCCTCCTTTGTCGCTCAGGCCACCGGGGCCGGTGTCATGGTGACGGCCGACTCGATGAAAACGGGCGAGAATATCATCTTGGGCGGCTTGTTTATTCAGATCGTCATTTTCGGCCTCTTTGCTGTCACAGCAGCCATCTTTCATGTTCGGGCCCTACGATGCCGTCCCCGTACTTGCATTGAGTGGGAAAAGACCATGACCATGCTCTATGTCGTCAGTGCTTTGATCATGGTGCGATCAATCTTTCGCGTTATCGAGTATATCATGGGCCATGACGGATACCCGCTTAGGAACGAGTGGACTCTCTACGTCTTTGACGCTCTGTTGATGTTTGGCGTCGTTTGCATGTTGGCATGGAGATATCCTTGTGACCTGCGTCCTCAAAAGAGTCGAGATCTGGACGTTACCCTCGAGTCGGCAAGTAGAGAACACACAGGAATCTTTGCCAGGGCCTGGCGGTGCCTGCCGTTTCAACTGCTCAGGGGCTAGCGTCAGCAAAGGGTTGAGATATAAGTAAAGAGGCAAGAAGACGCACACAGGCAACCGATTAGAAATGGAATGAAAGCCCATGTTCTCGACCCGATCAGGAGTTGCAGGTGACGAATCGACACACCACCAAACAGTACGGCGAACAGGACTGCTGGCGAAGGAAGGATCGAAGTGGTATAGTTTGAATCCTCCATCGCTCGACTCAGACTCGGTATCTCCAGCCATTTTTGTGTGATGCCTTACAGAGCTGCTGGGAAAACAGAGGGGAATGTTGATAGTCTAAAGATCAGGAGGAATGGCGCACGAAGGTAAGTGCTTGAGGCTTGGGGCTGGCTCAACGACTGTAGAAGGACAATAGTTTTAAAGGAACAACATAACATGTCTTGATAATAACGAGGCGAATCCTTTGCCGTTAGTTGGCAATCTTGGACATCTAAGTTAATGCAGGGGCACAGAGGGAGGCAGGGTCTAGGTACAATGCTTGGCTTGCAGCGGCTGAGCCAAGATTATGACCTGAAACCAATGCATCCAAAATGACCGATACGAAGCAATGCGAATGCCCTCGTACTTCATCGGTTCGAGGTTTCAACTTCGGCAACCTCAAGTCCTTAGCACTAGGCTCGTATTCTGTACGAACCCCCGGTAAACTCCACTTGGTGCTCCACTACTCAAATAGTACGTACTTCCTCTACCAAGGTAGCCTACGTGCCAACCTACTACCCAGAAAGTGATCTACCGACGGACGCAGTTCGGACAATTGTCCTCGCCCCCATCAGTCTTGTACACGCAAGCCTCAAAAATCCACATTGTAGGCTTCGCTAAGAATACCAAGTGGCCGGAAATATGGCCTCACGAGAGGTATAGACATCTGGGTGACTACAATTGGTCCCCGATTGTTGAAAAGGGACAAACATGAGTACCACTCGACTCAATTTCACATCTTCAAATGCATCTTTTTAGGCTCTTAGATTCTGCTACGCTCCTGAAAGTGGTCACCTTGGCCCATTCAGCCTTGGGAGCTACTTCGTCTACTAGGGCATTCGTTTGTTTCCGGCCTCACTCTGATGGCCCAGCTGGGTACTCCCGATCTGATGGTGTCAGCGTGTTTCCGTCTGGAATTACGGTTGCAGCGACTTGGGACAGAGATCTCATGTACAAGCGTGGTGTCGCGCTCGGTGAAGAGTTTAAGGCGAAGGGTGCACACGTCCATTTTGGGTATGTCAGTCACCATAGTGTGCTGTGATGCTGTGCTCGCTAATCCTTCTTAAACACGCCTTCCTCGGGGCCTCTGGGACGCCATGCCCTAGGCGGACGTAGGTGGGAGAATTTCGGGCCCGACCCCTATCTAGCGGGTGCTGCAATGAGTGCTTCAGTGCTCGGCATTCAGTCCGTCGGCGTTCAAGCATGCTCTAAGCATTACATCAGCAACGAACAGGAAACGCAGCGAACCTCAAGCATCCAAGGAAACAATACAGTCATCGACGCCATCTCTTCCAACATTGACGGCCGCACCCTTCACGACCTCGACCTCTGGCCCTTTGCCAATGCCGTCAAGGCTGGAACTGCCTGCATCATGTGTTCTTACAACCGCGTCAACGTCAACTACTCTTGTGCCAATTCTGAGCTGATGGCTATTCTCAAGGAAGAGCTCGCGTTCCTGGGTTACGTCGTGTCAGATTGGTATGCGACACATGGCACAGCTAGCCACGCCAATGCAGGCCTTGATATTGAGATGCCCGGAAATGTTAGTGCCCTGGCTGGCCCTTCCTACCTCGGCGGCTGCTTCTTAGCGCCGTCAAGGACGGTCAAGTACCGGAGTCTCGCCTTGATGACATGGCCGAGCGAGTCTTGACCCCATACTTCCTATTGGGACGACTACCCTACCGTTGATCCCGCCAGTGGAGCTTCCTTCTCTGTCTATCAGTACGGACACAAGTCCGAACTTCTCCTTAACTTTCCAAAAGTCCCGGCGCGCGACGTTCGTGGTAACCACGCCACGCTGATTCGGCAACCAGGTGCAGCTGGCCCAACAACTGGGTTCATGTACCTTGATTACGGCCAGAATCCTAAAGGTTTCGAGACAGGGACGGTCGACATTGGCGGTGGCTCAGATACTGTCAGACGTACGAATCTGATCACACCACTAGATGCGGTCAGAAAACACGCCGAGATGATGAATGGTCGTGTCCAAGTCCTCCTGGACAACGAGGATCTTGTAGATGGACGTTTCAGAACCATCTATCCTGTACCGGATGTCTGCCTCCTGTTCTTGAAGGCATACGCGTCGGAAGGCCAAGAAAGACGTTCTATTGAACTTGCATGGAACGCGACCAAAGCTGTAGAAAATACAGCGGCAGGGTGTCCAAACACTGTGGTTGTTGTACTTGGGCCAGGAGTCGTCACGATGCCCTGGGCAGACAACGAGAACGTCACAGCCATCCTCTCGGCGCATTACCCTGGCAAAAAAGAGAAACTCAATCGCCGATGTTCTCTGGGGCCGCGCTGAGCCGTCTGGCTGTCTTCTTTACACGATCCCCAAGAACCTTGCTGACCATGGAAAACCTATCGTCAACCTCAGTCAACCAGTGGTGGACCCTGATGCCTGGCGATCAGACTTTGACGAGAGACAGATGATTGACTGCCGACATTTCGACACGGACGGTATTGAGCCGCTCTTTGAATTTGGATTCGGCCTCTCCTACACCCAGTTCAATATGTCGAGTAGCCTCACTGTTCATGTCAGCCCCGGGCTTAGCTTTCACGCCGACGAGTCTAAGGGAGTTGCTCCTGGTGGCTTAAAGGATCTTTGGACGCCTGTGGCTGAGGTGATTATTGGGATCGCTAATGTGGGAGACTCGGCGGGGACTGCTGTACCTCAGCTGTATGTGTCCTTGCCCGCTGACAAGACTCGCGCCGATGTTATGCAGATGATTACCCCATGTCGGCGTTATCCTGATGCTGCACACATGCACAAGCTGTTGTTTGGAGAGCTTCACGGTGCCCTAGGATTCTATCTCTCCATCCATCTTGCCTGATCTGCTCAAATCGAACAGAAGCTTTTCGAGCAACTATTAGATCTTGACTTCTTTGCCCACCTTGCCATCAGGGTCAATCACTGGCTTGATTGACTTTCGCGCGTTTGTTACTTGTTCAAATGCGTGGCCAACCTTGAGCAGGGTCATGTCTGAGTGACGTGTCCCTACGAAAAGAATACCAAACCCGGCAGCTCAGTCAATATTGATGCTTCGAAATATAGACTCGAGCGTGCTTACGTAATATTGGGACCTGTTGATACAATGTCCAAATTTGTTCTTCTCCAGCTTTTGATCATCCGGGAAACGGCCGAGGGGCACCGATAAACATGGGCATCCGCCCACTTCAGCTGTTGTGTCGGTAGCCCCAGTTAGAACAATTAAATCACACTCCGTTCTGTCCAATAGCTCTGGAATCTGCTTTGCCATGCGTTGGCGTCGCTTCTGCGAAGAATGGTACTTGGACGAGCCCGGAGGGGTTTCTTGGCTGAACCTCTCTGCCCTCCTCCACGCCTCCATGCCGTATTCTGCCTCTGCCTCGCTGGGCGTTGCGGTGGTATGGTTCATGATGTCTTTTGGTGAATGAAGTCCCAAGGGATTTTTCTCGAAGCCAGCGAGATAATCCTTCATATCTGCGTTTGATCCATCGAGATTATTATACAGCTGCACATGGGGCCAGACAAGACCGAGGACCGGCAACCTACTCTGGCGCAGCTCGACAAGAAAAGAACACTCCCATTCATCCTTGTTGTTTCCGTAGTACCCTTTACGAAACTCTGAGAATCCAACATTGTCGACGATTGTAGCACCAAGCCTAGACAGCACCGATAACGCTTCGTCAAGGTGGCGCGCCTTGACTGCATCTGAACTGAGAACGTGCCGGGGGACCTACGCCAGCCGTCAGCTAGTACGCAGCGCGACATTCAAGCGTCGTAATCTTTCTTAGACTCACGCCGATTCGCAATCCGCGCAGGTCGTTTGAAGCACAGGCTTCGGTGTAGTCCTGCGGCCGAACCACGTCATGTTCATCCCGTGGGTCCTTGATTGTAAAAGGATCATGCTCGTCTTGTCCGTTGGAAGTCCAGACTCAGCCTATTTGCTTTGATGGGCGGAACCTGTAACCAACCTGCAATCACATTGAGGACGGTCGCGGCGTCGAGCACGGAAATGGCTATGACACCCACAGTGTCCTGCAACTGACTTACAGGGTAAACTCCATGGCGAGAGACGACTCCAACGGTAGGCTTGAAGTCTACAACAGCAGCCCTCGATGCAGGGTTGATGATGCTACCGTGCGTCTAGCATAGAGTTAAATCCGCGCATACGATCAAGGGCAAGCTTGTCTGTATGCCATTGTGTTCAAAGATGATGTGTGCGCCAACCAACAAGTTTGGCAATTCGCCGAGATGTTGCATTCAAGCTCTAACTAACATTTTCCTTCCCGTACTCCTTCACGACCGAAACCTTCTTCCTTCCCCTTGAGTCACTCCTATGACTCAACGACTTGAAAACCTTGATTCCCCCTCCGTAAGTTCCACCTCTTCGCCACCTGCACATGGTGTTGAGAGACTACAGCTTAAGAAGATAGAAAGGTAGATAATTCTCTTATTTCTTATATAGAGGTTAAAGTAGCTAAAATACCTATAAGAGATTAGACCTTTTATAATAATATAGCTAAATATAACTTTTCTATTATTATAGAAATTTAAGTAAATTATGATATTAATATTAGGTTATAATATGATAATATATTAAAGATCTATTCTTTGAGGGAGGTGGAAGGAGGGGGAGAAGAGGCAACCGGGCTGTCTATGGTGTGGAAGAAGGAGCCTGACGACCGCGGGTAGGGGTTAGTTGCCGCCCGGGAGCCTCCCCCGTCCGATCTCAGCGTGTGAAGTCGCGCAATGGAATGCCTGCTGACCAACGAACAGGGCATGCTACTTGGGGGGGTCTCTAATTCGTCCGCACCTCTCACCCGTTAGTTGTCCGAACTGTATGTGCATGGCCTCCTGGATACGATGCATCTGTATCTTGTGACCTCGAGTATGTCGCGCCTAGCCCTCCAGCCTATGCCTACCACTCATCATCCTGATGCAGCGTTATTGCCATTCACGATTTCAACGATGCCTCGTTCGATTCATGGAAGAGTGAGGGGATGGACTGGCTGGAGCTGCTTAACGAGCAACTGCCGCGGGCTCGTGTGATGGCATTTACATATACCGCACCATCTCTAGCTAATTTTGAGGGCAGAATCAAGGATATTGGCTATCACCTATCAACGAGGCTCGACGCTGCTCGACAAAGTCAAGAGGTAATACACATGCGGTCTCAGCATACCCGTAGCCCAGCTGACTCGGTGCTATAGGAAAAGTGCCGCCCTCGCCTTTTCATCTGCCATGGACTAGGGGGAGTGGTGTTAAAGAAGGTTTGTGTGCCCGAGCCGCCCAAAAATCATGAAAGTTCTAGCATGTGGGCAGGCTGTCAATTTAGACGCCGAGTCTTGCGTGGTGGATGACCAGTCTGCTGTTGCCTTCTTCGCTACACCTCATACACCAGGAACAGATGACCAGGCGAAAGACCTTGTCGATAACTTGGTCACTATTCAGTATCACGCTTGGTCTGATATATAACAACATCGGCGCTGTGTGGGCTACCCGAGGTGACCGGGAAATCGGCGCGGAGGTCACAGGCAAGGCCATCGAACACCGTGAGAAATGCCTTTCCCGAAGCGACCCAGATATCCAAGAGCTTGCGACCTCGTACAGCAACTATGCAAATCACTTGCGAATGTTGGGCCGAATTGAGGACGCCAAAAAGTACTTCTTTAAGGGATTGGATATCCGCCGCCAGTGTCCTGGAAGTACCCCGGAGCTTGAGGAGTTCACACTGGGCAACATTGCCGGTTTCTTCTCTGAGCAGCCAGACAAGGAATCGATGGATCTCGTTCTCAAGTACATCAGACAGGCAATGGACTTGCATCCCAAGTGCAGCAAGCTCAGCAGCTACATGCTCATATTCGAATACGGCCATGGCAAAATTCTCGCATCACTCGGACGATACCAAGAAGCATATGATGTACAAAAAGAATGTCTGAAAAAGCGACAAGACATGGAGGGCGACAGCCACTACATCACTGGCACTTCGTTTCACCGCACGGGCTGCCTGGCGTATCAGCTCAGTAGGGATCCGGACATCTCGCCGGAGACGCGCACAGAACTTGAATCAGAGGCCATTCAGATGCTCCGTGAGGCGCGAAATACCTTCAGGATCAATTCTCAAGAGCCAAGTTTACCACCTCGATCGTGCCTGAAGCTTGCGTGGGTGCTAAAGGAGGTTGGACAAAGGGAAAATGACATGGCGAAGCTTGGTGAAGCAGGCGAAATGCTGGCGGGAGCACAAGAGGGTTTCAAGCAAATAAAAACGGGCAATGTCAAGTTTCCCACTGATGATTTGGAATTGGATCTCTTGGTCAGACCAACGTTCAGATGAGGAGCAGGCCCAATGCTCTTGAGATATCATTGCTGGGGAAGACTAGCTGCTTTCTTACATTAGCTTTTCTTTCTCTTCATTTCTTTCCTTTTGGGACCAACCTTCGTCACTCCCTTAGATAGAATCAAGAAGCGTAATTTCAATCATCTCTTCTACCCGCACTCCTATTACATACCTCAAGCTTCCAAGAGTCATAAGCCCGGTCCGCTAGCTTCTATGAGCTAATTATCTATTTATGCTACTTCTAGCTTTCAATGGGCATCGTGTCAACTCCATACTCTCAGCCGGTGCTGCACAATTAGGGACATCAAAAAGTCCCTGAAGAGACTACCACAGGGGCTGAGCGAGACGTATGCAAAGCTTCTGATGCGGTCATGTCCCGCAGACGTTGCGCTTGTGAAGAAGATCATGACATGGCTCGCCTTCTCCTGTGTTCCTCTCACACTTCCCCAGTTGTGGGAAGCACTCACAATCGAGAAAGGGGAAACGGTGATTGATGATGAGTCTCGACTACGAAGTCCTCAAGATATTCTACTCCTTGGTAACAGTCTGATCGCTGTCTCACCAGATGGTCACGTTGCACTGTCTCACCTTTCTGTTCGGGACTACCTTGTGTCCGCCGAAATTAGGAGCAACCCGAAAACGGCGGTCTTTGCTCTTGATCCTGGAATAAGTCATAGGGAGCTGGCTCAAGATTGCCTCACCTATCTCTTGCTCTCTGACCTATCTTCTGGGCCATCCAACATAGAACAGGAGTACTTGTCCAGGTTGGCACACTTCCCACTGCTTCAATATGCCACCAAATATTGGTTCTATCATGCTCGCAACGCGGCAGTCGACAACGAACTTCAAGATCTGACCATGAACTTCTTCGCACCAGAGGCAAGGGACAACTTCATGTCCTGGGTTCAAGTCTTGAACGCAGATTCGCTATTCAAATGGAACGTTTACCCCAGACATGCAACATCCCTTTACTATGCTGCCTCTCTGGGACTTGACGAGGCGGTTGAGTCTCTACTTGGATCAGCAAGCCTGGAGGAGGTCAATGCTCCCGGAAGTCGATTTGGAGGTACAGCCATTCATGCCGCAGCTATTCGGGGACACGTCTCGATCATCAAGCAGCTAGTTGCTGCAGGGGGTGATGCAGGTAAGGCAGACTTCAACAAGGTAACTCCTCTGCATAGTGCCGCAAGTCGACGTAGCGTGGAAACCATCAAGGTCTTGTTAGAGCACGGAGCCCCAAAAGAAGCCAAGGACGGTATGGATGGCAAGACCCCTGCCGATTGGGCTAGACTAAGTGGTCATGTGGACGTGGCGAGACTGATTGAAACATTTTCTAAAGAGGTTGCTCCGAACAAAGAGCGCAAGGATAGAAACGGAAAAGGCACGAACAGCAAGTTGCCCCCAGACACATTTTCAGACTCCATACCTCATACAATTGAGGTGTGGCAACCAGGCGTCTGCTTCTTCCCCGACTTCTACGAAAGGAGGTCTGGTCTAGACTGCTCTCACATTATTGGTATAACTATTGGAGAAGAGTCTTGTACCTTTGACAGCGACTTTACGTTCACACGGAGTGAAGGGCTAGACGATCGACTCCAGTGTGGTAGATAAGCGGTTGATTTCGGTTAGTCGCATGTTATTAAATTGCGATCGGCGACGCTGGTAGATTGTTTAAACTTTCTTGATAACATGATGGTGAATTTTAGGTCTTTTATTTTAGTCTGCCACTTCTCTTCTTATCATAGCGGCTAAGATGTCGGTATTGAACGTAAGGCAGTTTTTCACACAATGACAGCTTTGAAACACACTACACAGGGCTGTCACAAGGCGACGCCAGGGGCCAACAGTCAAAAGGAACGTGATCTATTTAGAATGCAACTCGGCCTTGGGGCTTTGAAGACCAAGCATCAGCCGAGACTGAGTCAGTTTCCCAAAAGTATGTACAATTTCATCCTTGGTTGCTATAATTTCGCCTTCAACCTTGGATCCCGAGCTCGGTTGAGGAGAAGTCAAGTGCACTTAACCCCTCACCGTATCCCTGCCGGGGCGGCCTTAACGGAAGTTACCCTGTCCATGGCAGCGAGACAGGGGAGGGTTGTTTCCCCGCTTGACACACATGGAAATGGCTCCCTCGATCCACTTAATCCCGTTGTAGCTACCATCCTTGCGACTGTCGGCATACCAAGTACCGATCTGCCGAGCAGATCCAATGCAGCCGCGGAACTGACGGCCGGATCGTCGGGTTGTGATGGGCTTGGTGATCATGACACCGCAGTTTCCGTTCTTGACAGTGCCCTTGGTGATGACGGAGGTCTGGGTGGTCCAGGTGCGGCTGTAGTTGATGCCGAGTGACGAGCCGAGACGGTCCTTGACGAACTTGATGTCGACGCCGGCACTGCCGCCGACAGTGTTGGAGATACTGTAGCCAGAGGAGACGCTAATGTCCATGTCGCCAACGGCGCAGACGACAGGGGACATCTGCATGTCCCAGTCGACAAAGGTCTCAGTCTTGTCCGTGACAATGTAGTTGGTGTTGTCGCACGAGGCGCGCTTCTTGTGGCCGCCCTCAGCAGCTTCAACATCCTCAAGATCAGGGATATCGGAAGCGTTGTAGGAGACCCAAGAGGGATCAAGCTCGGGAGCACCGATCTTGATGCCAGCAGCCTTGAGCGAGGCCAGGTAGACGTCCTCTTTGACGACGTACTCTTCAGATATATTAGTACATGAATGTAGAAGACGTCAGGGCGAGAAGTTATAACTTACCAACACCATCGACGGGAACAATCACGTCGATAGACTTGATCTCATAGCCCGAAGTCCATTTGACCGCGCCGGGAAAGGTTTCGGCTCCGGCTTCCAGAGGCATGGCGCCAGCTACGGAAGCGAGGAACAAGCCAACAAGGCCAAGGTGATACATTTCGGAAACGATTGGGGAGTTGTAAGAGTGAGTGTAAGAAGAAGGCTGCAGAGACTGCGAGTTGAGGTGATGATTTTTCTTCCAAGAGCCGTGGAATCGACCAGCTATTTATCCTTCACCGTGATGACCATCATGCTGTTGAGAGTCTTGTTGTCGGCCTGGCGAGGCGACAGGGGGCTTACACTGAGCCATCCTAACTGCCGTAGACATTCATGCGAACCCCTTGAGGCCTTGAGGGGTTTTCGTGATCCTCTCAATCAACACACCGACGATGATCCCACAAGGTGTCGTTTATCACCCCACGTTGGAGATAGACCTAGACCTATGACATCTTGGCATGAAATCTATCTAACCTCGAATTCTATCAAAGAAGCACGTGTGTGTGCATTGTCATTTTAATAGTGTTTCGTCAGTAGCGCGCTATGGTTCGTTCACCTCCCCGTTTGGATCTTCGCGTGAAACAGAAATTCGTATAAGGGACCCTTGGGCTTCTAGACCTCGTGCCGAGTCCCACAATGGAAGCCTTTAACGCCATGACATAGCAAGGGTCTGTCAGCCCGATGACACCTGGCTCGTGGAAATTTACGATCGCTACAGTTCCGAGCTCTACTATCTGGGTCAAGTGTCACCTCCCGGCAGGCATGTCAAACCAGCCTCGACCCACCAGGATAACCACATGTGATGCTATTCGGCATCTACCTTCTGGATCAAGCATGTATAATTCAATGCGCTATGATATCTCCCAACCAGGACTCAAACTCTATCCACGTGCGAGACGAGCCGAGTCGTCCGTCTTGGTGTAGAGATCAGCTGTCTGTCGGTCCGAGAGAAGATTGGAAGAAGGGAGAGATCATGGGCATCACGGCAACTCGGCTCTGGCCGTCTAAGTCGTGGGGGCTGGGTGATAGAAGAATGGCTGCTGGATGGGAGACATGGGTCATGGTCACGCCTATAAAAGCTCACTACGCCAACGTTCTTCTCAATCCTCATCAGACACAAAAATCATTCTATCTACATCTCAAAGGCTTCATTAGCACCTCGATCATCATGCAATTCTCCATCCTCACCACCTTGGTCCTCATGGCCGCCAGCGGGTTCGTCAAGCTCTCCTTTCCTTATGCCTGGTTGCCCCAAAGGAGCTAACAGTTGATGATCCTCACAGTGCCAACGCCGACCTTCACCGCTCTGCTGCTTGTGTCTCCAACAGAAAGACGTCTCCCATCGGCGGCACTCCTTGGAGCCCCAGCTACAACTGGAAGACTTCTTACGAAGTCCTCCCTGACGCGACCCGATGTGCTTGCAACTACTACCGCAACCGCAACACTGGCAACAAGAAGTGGGACAAGTGCCCCGACTGCAATTTCGTGAGCCTTGACTTTTACCTTTGCCATTGTATTCTGGCTAATCTTGTCTTTAGGATGGCATCATCTGCAACTCCAAGAACGGTCACATTGGTGGCGACGAGGTAAGATCACATTGCCCGTTATGAGGAGCGGTTTTAACCTTGCTGCAGTTCACTTATTACTGTGAGAAGAAGTGTGGTGCTCAGGGTGCTGAGGCCGACTAAAGCTGCCGCGTGTGGTGAGGATTTGCCGTCGAGAAGATGTTGTGATGAGAAGCCTTCATTTGGTCATTCGCGGCTCGTGCGCTTTTGATTGTTTCACTGTACTTAGTTCTAAGCTTAAATTCACATCTGTACATGCCCTGGAACTTGTAACCCTAGCAACTAGAGGACCCCTTCACTAAGGGAGCTTTGGTGCTGATGGGTCATGATGTGTGTTCTCGCGTTGCATCTGGTGTAATGTCACATTGGAACTGTGGTGTAGCTATTCTTGGCAAACCTAGACAGGGCTGAGGCAAAATTGGGCTTGTGTTTCATCTTTCCCTTATTCCCCCTACGTATTATAATATTTCACAATCGACAGTTCTGGCTTGTGGGTTATTGGGCTAGTATTGGCTCGCTCCGTCTGAGATGGTTTGGAGTGTAGGGTACCCACCTTTAGTACTTGAGTTTCCAGAGTTCTCCTGACCACCCTTATTGAGGACGACAACAATGGGATGCTATTGTCAATAACAATACTATGGTAGATGATATTTGCTATTTTATTTTCAAGTTTGCCACTACAACTTGTCCTCTGTGTCGCACTGCCACACTGGTTCGTCGCTTTCATTGTGAAAATTTGTTCTTTCATAGATGCAGCCTGGACCTAGATGGAAACTGAACCCGAAGATCGTGACTTTCATTAAAGCCGCCAGAGAGTTAATTCCCTTGGAGTTGGAAAAAAGCCGAGCTCCACTGACGACAGACGAAGAAGTGGCGATAAGTTGGTGACTAGACGAGAGCAATACCCATTTCGACCAAGATTGAGAAGGATTCAATGGAGGGGGACCAGATACACGCAATGTTCAACAATAAGAACGAACTAAGTTCAAGACAACTAGAGATGGGAGATGTTTCACCCCTGGGTCACAGAAAGCTTTTCTTCCTCAATTCAACCCTTGGCAGAGAAACCCCCTTGATTCAACATGGGTTCAAAAACCACTTAAGCCCGCATTGAACTCTCCCAATCCAGTGTGGCATTCGATGGTGGAAGACCAAAGCAACGAATTCCTGGGTTCTCAGGGTCTTTAGTATGAGTCATCTCGATCGCCGACCTTCGCCTGTGATTTCGGTCGAACCAGTACTGCACCAGCCCATACTCTCCAAAGACGTGCACGAGAAAGGCATCCTCAGGCTTGGGCTCCGCCTCGACCATCTTGACCCAGTATGGCGATCCAAACCCAACACTTCCCTCCGGGGGGAAGTCCCTGGGCGCCTTGGCAAGTTGAGCCAGCGTCTCGGCATCCAGCATGATGCAAGCAGCATAACGCATGTCACCGGAAATCGAAGTGCCTTCCTTGGCCGCGACCCATTGGTTGAAATATTCGCGCACCGTGGCCACCGAGGCACTGTCCAGCCGCGTCTCATCTTCCAGCATATCCTTTTCGTAGCGATGCACAATCTCGTCATTGGGACGCGTGTCGACCTCGACGGGAATATGGCCAAGCTGGAAGCTGTTTTTCTTCTTCCACGCGATGTCTTCCTTGACAACGGCAGCCTCAGAATTGGCCTCCACCTGCGCTATGCGGCCGATAAGAGCGAGGGCGTGCTGAAACTGCTCATCTGATTCAGGTCTATAAGCGGTGCGCACGATGGCGAATCCCCATCGCCTGTGTCTGTGGCCAACCTCCAGCACTAAGACCTGTTTGAGCTGGTGCATGACGCGGCGATGCCATCGAGGGTCTCCCTGGAAGCGTGGTTTCCAAAGTTCGTCGTCATGCACCCAGGAGGGGAATTCATCCAGGCCAGAAGCCGATTGTGCCATGATATAGAGGAGTGAGAAGGATGTAGAGCTTGTGAGTGAGAAGGAAAAGGAGGGGGCGGTGTGAGGGATCAAGTGGAATACCCAACACCATGTGGTGCCTCAGGGGGGTCCTATTAGACAACCTTAAAAAAAGAACGCCAGACAGTCAAATGACGATGAGAGAATATCCGCTACAATTTGTCAGTAGCTTAAGTTTACATTACACGACTGTTACTAGGCAGTTGAGTGCTATTGGTGTGGCTGTGTCTCGGCGGTTCGGCTGTTATATGCGGCCGAGATGGCCACCCATGGTCACGGACCTCGTAATCTTTTTTCGTACTTGCTGATCCCTTAATCTGTCTACCCATGCTCCCTGAAACAAGGAAACCTATAAGCAATTGAAGTGTGAAAAGGCCTTGTTTAGAAAAAGCTATATAACATGGTCGTGGCCATCCCATACAGCATGCCAGATCCAGCCCGCATTCAACCCTTAGCAAGCCCTTCCACCTACTACACATCCCCTTTGATACAACGATAATGGTTGCTGTATCGATTCTCGCCGGTTTGTTGGCCTCTGTGGCACACTCTGCCGCATATGTCTTTCACCCTGACAACCACAATACTTTCGAGAATGTTCGTCCACACCAACCCATGCGTGATTACCCAATATTAACCTTCTCACAGACGCGCATCCCGGCGCTGTATGATCTCTCGGCCGACCAGCATGACAGCGGCTCGTTCTGGACATGCGCATTTCTTACGACCACTACGGGACGACAATACCTATCCCTTCAGCACATCCTCGGTTCCAACAGTGCATCGTCCGTCTGCAAGTCATCCATCCTCGATTTGAGCTCCAAACAGTACTGGAACGATCTGACGTATTGCGAGCCTACCAATGAAACAACTGCCGGCACCGTTGGAGTGCACCTGGACAGTTACGGTTTTGGAGCGACATCTGAAGACAAAATCAGCTCCATGTATGCCTTTGGTGCCGGCGAGAACTACTCGTATGATCTGCAATTCGCTGCCAAGTCGAAGGTGCTACTCAATGGCGGCAATGGTGTCATCACATTCGGCCTTGGATTTGTCAACTCGACTGAATGGGCTATTCCCTCAATGCGAACAACTGGCACAGTCACGCTGAACGATCGGACTGAGGCCATTGACCCCAAAAGATCATTCACTTGGTATGATCGACAGGCAGGATTCGGCGCCCCTCGCAATTGGACTTGGTTCCAGCTTCATTTCCCCGGTTCCGAGATCAAAGCCAGCATTTGGGCGTACGACCTGGTAGACACAGATACGGTAATGACGAACAGGTTTGCTACAGTCCGATTTGGGGAGGAATCTCATCTTATCCTCGCATACAACCTGCATGCGAGCGACGAGTCCTGGACATCCCCAAACACAAACATCACATACCCACTCCGATGGACGCTTGAATTCGAGAATGGAGATAAGTTGTTTATTGCATCTGTCAGACCGGACCAGGAGATGTATGGCCCCAGGGCTATTGGAGATTCCGTCTACGCAGGCTTTGTCACAGCCAAGGGCAGATTTCTTGGGCAAAGGGTGGGATACGGCGTGGTTGAGATGATTACGCTAATGTAAAGAGGGTGGTGGCCTTGAATCTTGGATGCCAGCTTAAAGTTTCCCTTTTCTACTGTAACTGTGTTAGAAAGTCTCACTTAGTAGGGACAGAAACAGTCAAGTCATTCGACGTCGCATTGACTCGTTCGAACGACTTTTCTATCCTGTGGCATTTATCGCGAGATATCTGATCCAGGCACGCATGCTTCATACGCTTTCTAGCCACTGCTTTCTATACATTCACTCTGTGCCCCCAATCTCTCTGTCTGCTGGGTCAGGCACGGCCCTGAGCTTCTTAATGACCTTCGCCGGGGAGCCAACAGCCACAGAGAATTCTGGAATATTCCTGGTGACAACGCTCCCAGCGCCAATGGTGGATCCTCTTCCAATGGTAATACCAGGCATAATGATCGCGTTGCTTCCGATCCAGCAGTCATCTCCGATGGCGACGCTCTTCGCGTACTCTCCCAAATCACGTCGAGACTGGACATCTGTATCGTGGGTGGCCGTAATAATAGTCACGGAGGGGCCGAACATGACTCGATCCCCGATGGTGACGAGTGCGCTGTCGAGAATCACTAAGCTGATACCATGTCAGTCTGCCCTCACATTTTAGGGAGCATGAGGGCCTACCCAAAGTTGGAGTAGAAGCGCTCTCCGACGGAAATGTTGCATCCGTAGTCCACTGTCATGGGTGGCTCAATCCACGTTCCCTCTCCAGTCTTTCCCAGCACCTTTTGGAGCATATTGCTGTATTCGGCTGAGAGAGACTCGGGAGTAGCGTCATCGGGGAAATGGTTGTTGAATTTGTGCATAATCTTTCGGGCCTGGAAGCGACCCATGACCAGCTCCGGGGCAAGACAGTCATACCTTGACGAAGTGTTAGCTCTGTTCCCCTGTCAAAAGCTAGCCGAGGGTATTTACGCCACACCAGAGATCATCTTCTCGTACTCATCACACCAGGGTGTGTTGTTCAAGGTCTTGGCGACCTCGATCACCGCGGCGTTTTTCTCCTTGCTGGCCATAATGATGTCGAGAGGGGGATAGAGAGCCTGAAATTTGAAGAGGGAAAAGACATATTCAGCTCGGGGAAGGCCATTATGTATGGGACTCATGAACTGACAGTCTACTCCCCTCTCTCCTCCTCCAAGTACAACACGGCATGTCGGCCCGCTGGGTTATATTCGGGACATGTTCGGATCAAGTGGAGTCAGTGGAAGTAACACCCCGGACTAGCTGTCTAGCTGCAGCTTTTTTTGATCACATTTGCTTCATCACCCCATGTCATGCCTAAGCAGAGGACGGGGAAGTCCGCCCCTTCAAGAGCCGGGCTAAAGAGGACCTTGGCATCTTCCCCAACCTCTCCTGGGATTGACTTCTGTTCGTTTATCTCCACATCTAACTCAAGGGCCACTTTGCCTTGCCAGTGACCTCGGTGGGTCTCCTCAAACGTGGGCTACAATGTACAGATCCAGATCCCGGTACAATTTACCTCAATTGTGGTAGTACTTCTCTTTCAGTATAAAGGTGTGGTATTTATTTAGAAGTCTAACCCTTAACTCAAGTACCATAGTAGACACACATGTCAAACTAAAGAACCTCAAGGACTCTTTGGTGACATGTAACCAGTTAAACATCGACGCCATTGAGAGATATCCTCAACAGAAATGATGCCCGGATCTCATCTGCTCGAGCCTTGAGCTCCTCAACATCCCAGTTCGCCCAGACAAACTTGTCTCTCAGAAAAGCAGCTTCATCCGACGCAAGCCACACAACAAAATGTCCAGGTAGCTCAACTATAAGTCGTCAGTATCATGCGCAACACATCAACTGCTTGGTGATTTGGAAGAGACAAGCACCACATACCTGTGTCTGGGCCAACCGGGATTCTTGGGTTGATCTCGGTTCCAACGATGCCTGGGTGGAAGCTCGCCACGTGAATATCCGGGTTCTCAGATGCATAATAGTCAAGCATCTTCTGTGCCGCTCCTTTGATGGCAGCATAATTCCACACTCCTGGCACCTCTGGGAGAGGAGCCCAGTGACCGATGGAAGATCCTGTGTGCAGCAACTTTGCACCGCGAGCCGCCAAAGGGGTGAATGCTTGCAGTGAGTTGAACGGGCCGAGAAAGTTGATCTCAAAGCCTCGACGGATCTCTGCCTCCTGGTAGCCGATAACAGGAGCCTCTTCCGGAAGGATACCGGCATTGTCGAGGAATATGTCAATCTTGCTCTCGATTTTAGCGACAATCGCAGTTAGGGCCGCCTCAATGGAGGCGCGTTTGGTAACGTCGCCTGTCTGCAAGATGACCTGGGTCGACGAGTTGGCTTCGGTAATGGCCTGGCCAGCAGTCTGGAGGCGGTCGAGGCGACGCCCAATGATAGACACCGACTTGGCATTGGCCTGGGCAAAGGCAATTGCGGCAGCCTTACCAATGCCTGTGCCGCCGCCCGTGATGACGACGTGCTTGCCAGCTACCGAAAGGTCTGGCCTTGTGGGCGAGATGGCTGGGTAGGTATCATTGTGCCAGGTCTTGGTGAACGAGGTGATACTATCGAAGGGAGGAGACGCCATGGTGAGGTAAGATGAGTTTAGGGCTATGATGAGTCAGTTTTTCTTGATTGAGATCAGTTTCACGGTAGAATCTTCGCTTTCTTTTATACCTCGCAGAAACAAGTCGATTGCTAAGCCAGCAGTGAAAGCAGGGGGCACATCTGCTTCCGCGGAACTCAGGCAGGAAATGCCACATCTCCATTGATTGGCATATCCCCTTCTCGCTCCACTCTGCTTACAATTCGAGTTTTTTGGCATCTACTCGCTTTAGCACATTCCATGTTGGACTTCCAATGGAATACGACAAAGGTGGTAGTGGGGAGTGCAACTAGGCACCTCTTGGCCCGATGTTCTTAGCAAACTTAATCGTAATAAGAACGAACAAACTACAGCTGATTGCTTAATAAGGACTACAAAGCCATGATTGAAATTTATTTAGGTACTACTTATCATTTATATCCAATGTATGATATCATTCAATGGCACAAATCCTGATTAGATATACGGAGGCGGACTGCGTAAGCCTGACGCTGCAGCACCTCGCATGACTCCAGTGCCCTCTTGAGTCCATCAAGGGGTACTTGCCGAGCCATATCGTCCAAGAAAGAGAATGAAATAGTTGCCAGGCACTCGTCGTATTCCATATTCTCATGGTATGGGTTGAACATGTTGTTAGCAATTAAACAAACTCCCGCAGATATGTAAGTGCAAGCAGTCATCCTACAAAAAAAAAGTTAGCTTGAGGATTATGGAACGGTCGTGTTCTCGACGAGGACCCAAATTTCTTACCAAATGAAGGCGGGATCTTTTTGTCCAATGCCAGCGAATAGCTTCATGTATTCACGACACTCGTTGACAAGCTCATGCCAACCAACTGGTGCAGGTGCTGGTGAGACCACTTCATCTCGAACGGCATCTCTGCCAAAATCTTGCAGCGTCTGAAGCCATCGGCTTTCCATAACGTGAACCTGGCATATGGAGATACGGCAGAAAAGGTGAGTAGCGAAGAGGACGCCAAAACATCTACATGAGTTGACTTCACCCGAACTCAATATGGCCTCGGGCCGGAATTGTTGCGGCACCCGAGAGAACCAGTCGTCTAGCCTATAACGGAGAACGGCTACCTTCTCGAGCTTCTCGTGACTACTCAAGCGCCGGGAACTTGTTGAATACATGGCGCCATAAATCTCTCCTTGAATTTGAGCCAATTGTACCCGGGATAAGAAGAAATTGAAACTGGATATGCCGTCGGCACCGATGAAAAAGCCAGCCCCATCTTGAGGATCAGACGAAGGCCATTCTAGATCGATGTCCATTTCTCGCTGGATAGGTGGCTGTTTGGTTCGCATGCTGATGTCCCGATCGAGTATATATGCTATCCAGAACACACGGCACTTTTCCAGCGCGACATTACTATCGAGGCACGCCGAGCTCTCTCGTGTGTGTAGCCCTAGCTGATGCGCCAGGCGTAAAGCCATGGCGATCAACATTGTTGCAGGTTTCAAGTCTTGAACCCCTTGCAAGAGTAGGGTCATTCCGACGAGAACTTGTATGGTAAGTAGCGTCGTCTCCCCCATGACGACATTGGTGAGCACAGACTGGGCGTTGTTGGTGTACTTGGCCGTGCTTTTGCCAGGCGTCGCTTCTTCGGGCGGTGTCTGACGGTGAACCAACGCGAGCACCGTGTTGATAGCCGCCCAGGTAGTGTAGTCTCTTTGATCCGAGGATAGGTACCATCTATTAATGAGACGTAACAATCCGTCAGGATTAAATAGTGGGATGGCTGAGTTGAAACCAGCGATATATTGTTGCGCCGCAGACATGACCTCGTCTTGGGGCGGCAGTTCCAAGGGCCCATTGCGGTTGAAATCAGCTGCTTGGATGTCATAGGCCGAGGGAGGGTCAAACGTAACAGCAATGACCTCGTCCCTGTCTTCAAGTTCACAGATTCTCTGTCTAGCTTGGCTCAGGCTGGCTTCAAGACTCTCCACCCGAGCTTGTAGGTCCTCAGCAGTTTTACTGGTCTTTTGCTTTCTACCGCGGGCTTTTCTACTGGCTGCCTCGAAAGTACACTCCGAGTGGTATAATACGCAATGGGAGCAAGCGGGCTTCTGGCCGTCACATTTGATCCTCTTGCGGTAGCAGACATCACACGCCTGGGAATTGATCAGACATTGCACAAACACGAGTGACGGGATGATTGGATTTTGATAGACCAACTTTTCTTCGAGGAATAGGTTGCATAGCGCCTGTCAACGAATGTGATAATGAGTTTTATGAAAGTCAAATCTTGGACGCGTTTTGAGCGCAGTGCAGGTGGTTGTCCGGGCTGTTGACTAGGGTCCTTGTTTAGATAAAGGGATGTCTTCCGCGGAACCTCTGCTGATAAAGCAGGCCTCTGCGAGCTGGTTGTTCAACAGGGGTCTAAGCCAATCACGGTTAGTGTCTTCTTCTGCTGAATTGCGATATAATCTTAACAGAACCACATGGTGGTAAGCAGCACTAAGATAGTGCCCTAGCAAAGCGCCGCTCAGGCTGTTAGCCTTGGTTCAACCACAGAGGTGATACCTAAACCCGAAAACTTCAGACGAAGTATATTACGGTTCCATGTAATCCACCCAGACACAAACCATGGTCGGGACAATCTCTACCGATTCTTACGCGGTTTTTCATCTATTCTTTCCTTTTAAATGAGTAGTCGTGGTTCCGGATGAAGCATTATTAGTGTTTCCATGCCCAAACTCCAACACAGGCAGTCAACGTGCACCCACCCTGTACATCCATTTCAGCTAGAGTGGAGGCCGTCTTGTGAGTCCTCTGCTGAATAGATTCAAGCCTCAGAGGAGGGAATAGTCCAAATCTTTTAAGAAGAATTGCTTTTGTCTAGGCAGCTTTGAGGGGTCGGCTCGTTGAGAGTTTCACAGACTACCCTACGCTCTTGGCGTTGGCTTCAGTGCATACCTAGGCTGTGCTTCAGAAGGTTAATGTCGACCTGTTCAGCGATAGCGGGGCGCAATCATCTTAAACACGAGACAATTGCCTGCCTGGTTAATGGATGTCCAGTTCGACACCAAAACCAGCTTTCAAGCATCATGGCGCTCTCCCTCCCCCGGCGTCACGTCAAAATATGCCTTACCTACCTCTGCCCACTACGAAACGCGGTGGCTCAGCTCGGCGCTTATCGACAGCCTGATTCTCAAAGGATCAACCCACCCCTCATTTATTCTCACTCTTTGTTCAGCTTCGACTCATTCAACCACATTCCTTCATCCGAGCAAGAGCTCTTGTGCTTTCGCGATGGATCCTCTGTCCATCGCGACCTCTGTGGTAAGTGAAACCTCACATTCTCGTCTTGACGAACAAGACACGCCCACTGATGCGGTATTTAGGTCGGGTTAACGGCGACATGCCTCACAACCTGCAAAAAGCTGTCCGACCTTGCTGGAAATTACGAAGACGTGCCTGTAGTCATCGCAGTGATCTGTTCCGAGTCAACGCTTATCAGTATCGCCTTGTCTGAGCTACAGATGAAGATTCTTCGGCGAGATGACCTCTCACAGGCTTGGGCTTCGCGAACCGACGTGCTGATGGCCTTCGAGACGGCTCTCACTGGATGCATGGTTGTCTTTAGCTGCCTTGAGGCCGGGACTAGACAACTTCAATCGCAGAATTCGTCTAGTATGGGAGTATGGGCCAAAATCCGATTCTTGTGGAACTAGGACCGATTGAAAGACCTCCTGAATGCTCTCAGAGGACAGCAGACCTCAATAGGCTTTCTGCTAAAGCTTCTCGAGACGTAGGTATCGTTTGACAGACAAGAAGCATGTACTGATCCAAGATAGGGACGCTCTATCAGATATCCAGCGAAGTCTTCGCGACAATAGGTCCAGGATCCAGGCTAGTGCATCGCAAGCCCAATCACTCCGGTCAAGAAACCCGAGCATCAAGGTGGGGTGCGAGTCTATCTTTGACAACGACACTGCCAAGCTTAGTCTCTTTGACATCGAAGCCGTCTCAGCTGTCGCTCCCTCAGAGCTCGATTTCGAATTCGACGACTTGGTCCTGAATAGCCAAGCGTATCGACGAGCCTTTGCCAGAGCACAGGCAGACACCGAGCAGCCACATATACACGTCGTAGAAGGCGATCTCATTGACTTTTCAGAAGCTCAATCTTCCATTGACAACTCAGACGCCGCAACTATTCGAGAGCTGAACCAAGACCTCCAAGGCTTGAGCATGGGGGCAGATCCAGAGACATCTACCAGAGAGACAGCTCTACAACAACCACGACCACGGAGAAATTCGTGGGATGCACAAGAAGACAGCTTCAGCCTAAGAGAAATAGAACACCCAGAGAACCCAGGGGTACAATATTCTCAAAAATTGCCCCAAGAGAAACCCCACGCCAGATATTGTGATAAGTGTTCTGAGCCCATGCCCGGAAACTTTGTGAGGGCTCTAGATGGAGTATGGCATATCGACTGCTTCACGTGTGCTGTAAGTACTGCCAGGTTAAAGTACATCCAGTTTCGAGCTCACCCTGATTAATAGGATTGCAATCAACCTGTGGCCGCACACTTCTTTCCTCATGATGACAATGAAACTCAGAAACCCCTATGTGAGAGAGACTACCACCGGAGACTTGATTTGCTGTGTTTCAAATGCGACCAGGCTTTGAGAGAAAGCTACATCTCGGCCTTGGATCGAAAATACCACATTGACCACTTTCTGTGTGATGACTGCGGTGTCATCTTCAAGGCCAGCGACAGCTACTATGAATACAAGAACAAACTCGTCTGTGTGTGGGATTATTTGAAGGTTTACGCATCGCGATGCGAAGCCTGCAAGTTTCCAATCCTAAAGCGATTTGTGGACTCTACAGACTTCGAGGACGGCCCATCTACAGTTTGGCATCCAGAGTGCTATATGATAAAGAAAGAATTGGGCATCGTCCTCTCACTATCATGCCGGGACCGCGAGTACCTCGATTTGTTAGATGAATGGGTTGAACGAAAGGGCTCTGACATAACCCTTTCTAAACTACCTGATATACAAGAGCAGCATGAGGCTTTCCTAGTGGACCTCCAGGTGGCTACGTTGCAGTTTCTCGATGTCTTCCAACAGACAGCCACAGCTGTCTTGGCGAGCAAGGAGCATCTAGGCCAGGCATTTGAGCACTGGATTGCTGTCATCGCCTTGACAGACCTCCTTTTCCGGCTCGTTTCCGAAGTGACAGAAGGGAGTAAGTGGAGCGCTGCGTTACTTTGGACAGCCGACCACGTTGCTAACGCTCTGGAGTGCCTACTCACAAGCATATCATCCGTTTCAGCGCTGCCCTGAAGAAATACGCTATCGGTTTTCATCAAGGCACTGATCCTCCGCCTGATTCACTCTGTGAAGACCTAACCGCGGTAATAAAGCAAATTCTCAGGGCCGGGCTTGGATCTATCCTCGCGAACCAAGACCGCAGTAAGCTCAACAAATTCATAACAAAGTTGTCGGCAACATCACCACCCGAACTCAACCTCCCCTACCAAGGCGAGCCGCCTAGTGGAACTGGTCAGGGTATGTTGTGCGAAGGGTGCCAGGAGTATGTCAAGGCGGACGCATACACTGAGATTTCGATGCCCAATCTGCGATGGCATCCTGAGTGCTGGGCGTGTGTCGCATGCAAAGACCCTGGAATCCTCAACCCGACCCCTAGCCGGAACACAGACGGGCACTTCCAGTGCTCATCTCTGAAGTGTGGATGGGCCGGTGTAGTGACTTACATTCCAAGCTACTCTCAAATAGTCTATCTAATGTGGCTGGCCTGGAATGAGATGGCTGGGCGCTGATGGCCTTTTTTTGGACGCGTCATTATTGAGAACCTCGATCTTAAGATAGAAAAAAATATCATATCAGAGATTTGAGCCTTCAAAGTGACTTATCATACCTATGCTTCAACTCTTTTACAGTCTCCAACACCATCGTTATCATGTCAGCTGTGGAGAAGATCTCGATTGATAGCCAGGTCGGCCCGAACATGGCTTCAGTCGCATGATGACGACTTCACACTTGCAAGGGGGAACTCAGCTAACGGTTTTCATACGTCATAAGGAGCCAAACCTCCATTTGGCGAGCTCGCTGAGAAGTGCCCGTTGTGATGTCTGTCTTGGCCATGATGATGTATAGATAGCTTGAGAAGTACAAATGTTGGTTGGTAAGTTGGTACAATTGAAGTAGGACGTTCTTTTCCCCTTTTTTTCAAGAGTTCTGCTCTTGCTCTGGTATTTATACCCCGTCCAACCCCCATGTTGAGATGGGCTCTAAGAGTATGTATTTACAGCCGCGCATTTTGAATCGTGCCGTCGGAGTTTGATGCATCAAAGTCCGCATCTTTGGAGGACTTGTCAATCAATCCCGACAGGCGACGCACATGGCGACCAAGGAACAACTGATACCTGTCAAAGTGGCATCTTCCGATCTAGAATCCCGAACTCCCAACACGTATGAGGGGTCTCAGACTCCTAGATACGGTTCCCGCGCGTTCTCGCGAAGAATATATTGGTAAGAATGAGGTCTATTTAAAGATATTTCTTTATAATAAGCTCTAAACTAACTTTTCCTCTCCCCCCCTTGGCTTTACTCGCCCCGCGCCTTAGTCCGCCTCTTCGACCTTCGCTCGTCCGTTACTCGTCCATATATTAACTGGGAAGCAGGACGCGGGCTTTGGTCTTGAGAAATCTTCACAGTCTGGGATAGCTCTTTCTAACACAAGAACGACTGGACTTTTACCGGTTAAATCTGCTTAGGTGCGAGATTCTTCACCGAATAGGCGGTCCTCCTTCCAGCGTTCACACGGTACTTAAAATAACCTCTCTATGTACCTAGGTACCTACCTGAGAGAGAAACCTACCGCAAAAAGAATGTATTAGTGCAGGATGGGAGAAGTAGCAGGATGCCCCATTAAGAAGCTCGCTCCTTTTCCGTGACAAGAAACATTATCACTGGCAGTCGCTTTTAGAAGGCCTGAACTAGCTTAATGGTTGACGTTGACTATAAACTATAGCCAGGTATGTCATATATATCTGGCTCCCCAAGCAAGGCTAAAGTCGTGGTCTAAACCACGTGCACCTCAGAGAGGGGTTCCAAGATCTATACCAAACCATACTAGGTGCAACGACCTCGATGTTAGTACCAAATGTACCAATTGAAGTTGTCCGACCTCGTGCTTGCATCCTTCGAAGACCTACAATTATACCTCGTTCTACCCCGTAACAATCTACATAATGTGCATCCTGTTAGCTTGAAAAATACCGGACCAACGACTCGCCATAACCGATTGTAAGTGAGTTAGTTCCAGGAACTTGTATGAACTTGTGGTCTCTACCCTCTGATCAACGGGCTCTCTAAAAATAGGCATTCAGCTACAATCGCAAAAGACACTTGGTACATGGCGGCATCAAGCTTCAATACCCAAAATCACCTACAAAATTGTGGCCATAGAATCACCTAGCTGACAAAAGAGACGATAGGTTACGCAGCAGCTTACGAAGCCCTTTGATATCAGTATCAATTGTGAGATCAGCTCAGCTCAATGAGAAGATCAATAGCTGAGCACTAGTGCGTGCAACTTATGGGTTCTGGCTCCAATGAAGTGATTCGGGTTTTGCAGACCCTTGCCCTTCATTTCCGCTCTATCCACAACTGCCGCAAATACAGGGGAGCCCGTTGGATCCGCCGACGCCACGATCAATAGTCTGGGAAACTAGTTATCAGTCTCCAACTTAGTACGCGCTAAGAGACTACGGGAGTTTTTATTCAGGAACGTCGCAAAAGGGGCTTTTACTAAAAGCAAGCCATAAACACCAAAAGACCCCGATAGCTGTCCTCCCCTCCTCTCGTTACGCTTTCCTTTCCTTCACACTCCGCCGTAACGCCACTGCCGCCATGAGATCTACCATTCCGTTGCTGGCGTTTTGCCACCTCTCACTGGCATCCAGATGCAGGCCCTACTCTTCGGCGGTCACTTCCATCTTGTCCACAACGACCGATGTGCCCAGTGACACTGAATCCGCGTCTTCTACAACCCTATCCTCAACCACGCCTCTTGTGGAAACCGACTCATCCACCACTATTTCATACTCGACGACTCTCTCAGAGGACAGCAGCACTAGCGAATCTGCCACTTCAAGCAGCGGATCGTCTTCCACCGCTAGTGAGACCGAGAGTGTCACCTCGGATTCGTCCACCATCCCCACGGCTTTGGCCACGACTCTGAGTGTTGAGCCCTCGACTACAACGACGTCTATCTCGCAAGAGCCTACCAACATTATTGTCAACCCAGGCTTGGAGGATTCAGACACTATAGCCCCTTGGGTACGACTTGGCGGTTTCGGGAGTGTGTCTATCTCTACCACAGAATTCCATGGAGGCAGCCAGTCTGGCTATTTCACTGGAGCACCTGGAGGCCCCGCAAACATGGGTTTTAGACAAAACATCGACTCTTCTCTGCTGGAAGCTGACAAGACATACCGGTTCTCGGCATATGGAAGGTAACAGTGGCATCGGGTTGCTTCGTCACATTTGTAGGATGTGGCACAGGAGACGCATACTTCAACACTGCGAGCTTTGGAGGCAGCAGTGACTGGATCCTGGCGACAGTGACGTGCTCTTGGACGCAGGCGCGCTTGGACGCTGGAGCAAATGTTCGGGTACAGGGCACATGTGAGCGCCTTGCTTTCTATATGGATGATGCTGTCCTTGAAGAACTGGAAGCATCATGATAGGACGCATTGCGATAGCCCTTGTACGTTCTTAGGCCTGGTAGAATTATGTGAAGGGCATAGGGCCTGGTAGAGCATTCAGTCAGTTCTCACTGCCCCAATGACAGGCTCTGTGTAGGGACTGAAAATGGAAAAGAGACATGCGTTGCTGGTTCTACTCTATCTCGATTTGCGTGCCTTTGAGTTTCATGCTTGTACTCTCCTCCATCCCTTTGACAATCTCTCCCAGCATTAGCCCTGGAAAGATCCCATATCCGACTACAGTAAATCGGTTCGTTGTGTTAGGAACTGCTCGTAGAATGACTGGGATCCGGCAGCCAAACAGAATCCAGACCTGGTCTCCCGAATTGACACCGGAATCTTTATCTAGAGTCCCCAACCGTCCACCCGATGTCCCTACGAATGTCACGTAGCTGATATGAAGCATTGGTATCAGCGCCGCCCTTTCGTCTCTCGATAAAACATTCGTGGGCGTGTACCCTCCAAAAACAACATGTCGGAGACTAAATCCCTCCTGCTCCACCTTGGTTGCTGCCACGCACAGGGCCCGAAGCAACGCGACTCTCCTCGCTGGCGTTGGTTTATCCTGATGGTACATGGCACGGTAACGTTGATCTCTCAGCCATGAGAATAACAGCGACGTGACTTCGTCTTTCTCGTAGAGGGGTGACTCGGCGGCATCTGGCCAAACACGTCGACAGTATCCTTCCAGCTTTTGCAACCACTCGAGAATGGGTAGACCACCTGCTTCTTCCCGTTCTCCCACGAAGGAGACTGTGTCAACCAAAAGGCCTTCTGCGGAAAGTGTCAAAGTGTCTTGATTGACAGTAGCACGGGTCGCTCGAGTAGTACCACAAGCTCTACTCGCATTGATAAGCCCCCAGTTGATAGTGACATGTGGCATCCAGGTTGGGAGGCCCTCTCGATCCGAAGCAGCGTCAGGTGCGTGGTTTCCTTCGAAGGCCAGAAATGAGAGGTCGTGATATTTGTTCAGAAAAAGGCTGAATACTTGAGAGTATATCTTCAAGACGGGAGCCTGGTAGTCAACCCAAACCGCGTCCTGGTCTATATCGGCGACAAGTCCCAAGACACCGTAGACACGATCTCTAGGCTCAGTCATCTTCAAGCCAGATGCCTGCAGGAATAGATGTAACAATGACGATCCAAGGATGTCTCGAGTTATCTTGAACCGTTCTAGATCTTTCTCCCCGTGGACCTGACGACCCTTGAGCAAGCTCTCCCTGGCACGTAGTATACCGCCTCCCAGAATCTCAGGGGTCGAGGAGTCTTTTGTACTCCCGTCAATGCAGCGAGAAAGCTCAGACAAGGGGCCGGAGAATTGAACCATCTCGCGCTTGATGACACCCACTTTGTCCTGGAATTTCAACAACTGCGCCCCGTCAAAAGCATCACGGCGACAGTAGACCTGAATCTTTGGAGCAAGGATCAGTTCTTGCTGTATCCACAATCGACGCCAGTATGGGTTGCGAAAGATGTCCGCGACTGGGTACCAATACGACGGATCGTGAAAGTCGTCAAGCTCTACCCCTTTTCCAAAGTATTCTAAGTCTTCAAACACAGATGTGATAGGTTGTGCGTTGTGGTCGAGCCAAGCGCAGACAACTTGTGCAGTGGCGTATATCGATTGCATCAGCTTAATCTGATGCTCCTTATCGGCATTATCGGGCTGGTTTATGCAGAGGGCATCTGTCCAGACGACGCGTGGCTCGCTTTCATGTCGCAAGTCGTCCAGAGCTTTCCTGAGATTTCGGCCTACGGTAAACTTGGCGCCATTGACAGAGATGTCGTAGGTTGGCCGAGGCGGTCCCCATGTGTAGCTGAGCGCCTCGAAACTAGGCTTCTCATCCAAAGAGACGTTGAAGAGACGCGTGATAACCTTGCTACCAGGTTTACCGGGGTATAGCTCTAAAAGTCGTATTTCTCGTTTTGCTGGATCCAGCGGCGCGTACTGGAACGATGAGGCTTTTTTCGGCCTCTTTTCGACAGCCCACGAAGACTCAGCCGACGGTGGGCGCTTTGCTCGTCGCTTCCCCATATCAAGCATGCTAAAGCGATATACAAAGTTAGAGAGCAGAGACAAAGTAAAGCCAAGGTACCCGCAGGTAGATGAAGGAGTAGCTACCAAAGGTTGAGATGGTGCGGGGGTGAAAAATGATCGCACCTGAACGCAAAGAATGAGAGGTACATGGATAAGGCTGCCAATCAGACGCTCATCTTACCCCTGCGGCTGAAGGGGGACATTGGCAGATGGGCATTTTCAGATTTCCACCATTTAGGAATGGTCATGCTACCGTTGCAAGATCTTTGGCCCTGAATTACTTGCTCTCATTTCATGTGAACAGTTCTAGAGGCAGGTGATTGTAGGAGCTTGTTTGTCATCTCCGGGAGAATTTGTAAACAACCCGAGCGTGGGATCCAAGTTCACTCGGCGCCAACTCCACGTAATGGAGGTCAATTTGTGGTATGAATTGTATGATGCGCTAAACCCGGGGGTTAGGGTTTCTGTGCCGTTTTTCATCTCAGTCTACTGCAGATTCTGGCCTTGAGGGCAGCCTTGATTCAATTAACAGCCGGAGACCGCTTTGCCCCGGTCCTTATAAATCTCAGATTGAAGTCGGAGGAATATCAGTCCGGCAGCGCCAGAAGGATTCTAGGAGGTAATCCTTCGGTCCTATAAGAGACAGCCGATGGAGCCAGAATGAATAGAGAAAACAGACCTAACAGCAATACCAAGAAGCTGGACATTCATCATGCCATCTTCCTCGCCAACACCGCTCTACCCCGACATTGCAGACATACGTCATGCTACCCCGGCTCTTGTCGAATTCCTCCGTCACTATTTCCAGGCCAAAAGCCGCCATGATGCAGACGAATGGATCAAAGACTTTGATACTTCCAAGATCACCTATATTGAAACAGTTCTCGGTCTTCATCTCAACTCAGCAAACTTTGAGGCCACGACGAAAGCAATAATGGCGACATGGGGCGCAGATGCCAGGTCTTATCCACTCCGTATTATTGGCGACACGCATAGCGCGGTCATGTTCTTTGTGGACACTCCAGCCATGTTTGGCTCCGAACTTCGTGGGATTGCCGCACTTGACATGGAGAACGGCAAGGTGGTTCGCCAGGTCGACTACTGGGACGGGCGACGAGCTCCCTTGGCCGAGACAAGAGTTCCCGAGAGCCAGTACCCCACTGGTTTCGGAGAGTTAGCCGTGCAGAGGACTCGGAATCCAGTGCTGCAGGGCATCGTCAATGAGCTCCATGCGGGACTTTCGACGGGCAACAGCAGCATCACGGCGGCACTGTTTGACGTTGATGCTGTTTGGGAGGATCGAACTACGCGCACCGTACTCGATGGCCGATTGGCTATTGAGCGCTACCTTGCCAGGGCATTATCCAGCTTGCCATATGGTACTGACGCGACTGTTAGACATGTGGTAGGAAACGAGCAAGGCGGCGGATATGAATGGATCGGCGGGCCAGGCGCAGTCGCTCGCCATGGCATGACAGCTCTTAAGCTCAACAAGAATGGCTTGATTACCTGGATCTGTCCCGTGTGGGATGCATCGTACGCTAGCGACGTTGCAATTGCAACGCTCCTTAGATTCGCGATCGAGGAATAGGGGGCGCCTGCGCAGATCTTCAACAGTTCATCCTCCAACATACCTATGTCGAGTAATGGTACTCATAGTCTTTGCTGAGCGGCCGAGACGACTCAGGCGATGTGCTTGAGTATTTGGGCATGGTTATTCCGTATTACCTTACCCATAGACTAGACGATATGGTATACTCGTAAGCTCTTTCGGGGTGCCTTTCGGAAGAGCATTGCGGCATCGCATCGAGGAAGTTAGCACAGCTATAATAGCCGCAACACACTGCAAATCATATGAAAGTTACTTCATGCTGAGTTCCGGCCCGTGACTTGGAACCTTTAGTGACCCCAGTTTTCGAGATAACGTTGGGCATTTCAAACCCTCCACACGCATAAAGCCAAGCTACTCAACTCACTTCTCGAATTACCATGCCCTCGTGAGGTCACAAGACGGTCTTTTCTCGGCTTCTACAAACACCGCCCAGCTTTAAAGCTATCCAGAATCAACAGCAAAACTCCGTGCCGCACAAGCCTCAATCGGCTACCAGAGGCCTCGCAACGCTCCACGAACAGTCACTTTTTGCCACTCCAAACAAATATCCTCTCATATTAACTTATCGTCGCTCAAGGTTTCAGAACTCTCAACGATAGCTAGAATTTAAACACACTCACCTTCCTAGATCCAGGCAACGAATTTAATTATACTCTTATTGCAAGACGCCATCGATACCAACCAAGCGACATATTCCGGCCGTTTCCGATGCTCTCGCAAGACCCATCCATCATTTCTACACCCCAACTAGGGAAATTAGGAGTTTGGGGAATTAGTTAAGAGTTTGCCTTTAACAATCGTGACACATATCCAGACACATACAGTTCATCATACTCTCTTTGCACTGCCCTCTGCACTGCCCTCTATAGAGCCATTGGCTCTTGGCAATAGTGGTGAGTGGTCGCAGCCGACGTTGCGACCCTGTGGATCTCCCGCGTCAGACCGTGAAACCGTCGTCTCTAGATATTCGCAGCGACTTCCGATATCCCAAGAGATTTCATGAACTCAGTCATAACATACAGTTAACTCATAAGGGGGAGATATTTACTTAGCAATTCCCCGGGTATACGGCACAAGCACTGCCACCGAGGACCGGGTGATAGCTCAGTGTCTATATAAATAAAAACTAATAATAAACCTAATATAAAAGTTAATAGATTAGAAAAATATATTATAAAAGCTATTCTTAATATAAATAAAATTAATAATAAAATAATATATTTTATTAAATAAAAGAATTACTTAGACTTAAAAAATACTTAAGAAACCCTAGAATATATTATAAGTATATAATACTTTTTAAAGAACTTTTAATAATAATATTAAATAAAAATAAAATAGACTTAAAAATAATACTTTAATTAATAACCTTATAATCCTCTAATAATTAAACCTTAAATAAAACCTAAGCCTTTAAATTATAATAAGCCTCTTTATTATAATATTTTACCTTATTTAATTTATTTAAATCCTTATAATTATAATAAATTATCTTAATAGCCTTCTTATAAAGATATTTCTCTTTATAATAAAGCTATTATAAGTAAGATAAGGCCTTTAAGAGGTTTATCTTAGTTTTTTCTTTTTATTCTTTAAGATAATTTTTCTCCTAAGAAATATAAGTAATTAAGATATATTAATATATATTTATTACTAAGGAAAATATTAACCTATAGGTTTATAAAAAAATATTATTAAAATTATAATTTATATACTCTTTTTTAATATAAAAATTATAATATTATTTCCCTTTAGTTATTATATATAGATAGTAATTAATATAGAAATAAATAAAGTATTAAGGTATCTTAAAATTAAATTTATTAATTAAGCGAGAAAGGTTATTATAATGCGTAATAGTAAGTTTAGGGTAAGAAGATAATTTTTTAATATAACCTAATATTATATTAATAAAAGAAATAATTATAAGTCTAAGTTATTTATAGTAATACTTAGTCTCTAAAGCTAGCCTTAGGGATAAGACTAATAGAGGGGAAGCCTTATATTATAACTATAATATAGTCTAAGGTAATAATACTAAATAGAAAATTAACCCTATTATATTAGCTAATTATAAGGAAAGAAAATATATAAGTTAAATAAGGTTGATTTAATTCCCCTTGACTCTATAAGTTAAATACTAATAATTTAACTCGACTTAAATATATTTAACCTAAAAGACTAAATAGTATATAAAATATATATATTTATATTTTTTTATATATAAGTTACGTTAGCTATTAATATAACTTAATTATACTTAATACCTTTAAGTATATTATTAGATATAATATTATATTACCCTTTAAGGCTATATAATATAATCTAATACTAATATAAAAACTAATATAACCGGTGTATCCCTTAGGAAATATCCTCTTATTATAGATCTAGTATATATTTTAGCCTAATACTATTAATATAATATAGCTAGTAGTTAACTAAGGAAGGCATTAAAAAACTAGTTTCCTATTTAGGTTGTATTAATATATATATAGTTTCTAATTATCCGCCAAAAATAATATTCTATACCTAAATTTTATTTTTAATTTCATTCCTTAAGGCTCCTTCTAGGTAACTCGCTTATAGGTTACGTCTCCTGTATTCCTTAAAGCTACTAAGAAGTCTTATATGTTACGACCCTCGCGGTTACGTCACGTGGTCTCCACATTTCAGAGAACCCAGGGACCTATCAGAGGAGGACCGACGTGCTCCAGGAACGACGTCGGTCCCAACCTATAGTCGGTCCAAGCAAGCGATCTTCAGGCTTAGTTAACCCATTAAGGGCCAGGCTATAACTATAATAAAGAATAAATCTTAAATATAATATAATATTATAACCTAATATTAATATAATAACCTAGTTAAACTTCTATAGTAATAAAAGAGTTATACTTAGCTATATTATTATTATCACGGCTATAATATGAGCCAGGCGGGGAAATATAGTAGAAATACTCTGACTAAGCAAGGGACCAAAGGGACTAAATATCGCCCGCATCGGTCTAGGGACCGAATATTAGAAATATTAGTCCTACCTTAGACTAAACCTAGAAAATATTAGTCCTAAGATTAATTATAAGTATATAGAATGCGCTTATTATACTTTCTTATATAATAGCTACCTTAGCTATTAATATAACTTAGTTATATTTAATACCCTTAAGTATATTATTAGATATAATATTATATTACCCTCTAAGGTTATATAATATTCTCCTCTATTAATATAAATTAATATAACCGGTTTATCCCTTAAGAAATATCCTCTTATTATATATTAATAGCTCTTATTTAGAGGATTACTTAT